TCATGTACAGTAGATGCCCGGCTCCCCACCCCCCTATCTCAGGACTGCCAACATTTCTGAATCTCCCTTTCGCCGGCTTTTCGCTGGCTTTTCCTGCCTTGGAGACCCCCCCCCCCCCCCCAATTCGGAACACTTCTAAATTTACACCCCCCCCCCCAATTTCAGGTGAGCTCTAGTCGATCGAAGGGGACTGGGGGCCAATGCTTTTTTACTTTTTAAAATGAAATAATCCTGAATGAGCTTTCAAAGCCGGCAGGAATTTCAGGAATTTGATTCCGGGATTTGATCAATTTTTCTATGATATTCAAGATATTTTATAACCTCCTTTTTACATTTCTCAGGAGTCCAAAGAGAGAGAGAAAAAAAAACCCACCCCCTTTTTAAAGAAATTAAGATTCGAGAATGGTACAACGAATCGTCTTCTTTCTCTAATGATTTAATGAAACGTAAAAGCTTCCGCGCTTCGCGCAAGAGGGGGGGAAGGAAAAAACTGAATTCAGATGAGGATTAAGAGTGAAGAACGGTACAACGAATCGTCTTCTTTCTCTAATGATTTAATGAAACGTAAAAGCTTCCGCGCTTCGCGCGGGAGGGGGGGGGGAGACTGAATTCAGATGAGGATTAAGAGTCGAGAACGGTCCAACGAATCGTCTTCTTTCTCTAATGATTTAATGAAACGTAAAAGCTTCCGCGCTTCGCGGAGGAGGGGGGAAGGGAAAAACTGAATTCAGATGAGGATTAAAAGTCGAGAACGGTACAACGAATCGTCTTCTTTCTCTAATGATTTAATGAAACGTAAAAGCTTCCGCGCTTCGCGCGGGAGGGGAGGGGGGAACTGAATTCAGACGAGGATTAAGAGTCGAGAACGGAATAACGAATCGTCTTCTTTCTCTAATGATTTAATGAAACGTAAAAGCTTCCGCGCTTCGCGCAGGAGGGCGGAAGGGAACAACTGAATTCAGATGAGGATTAAAAGTCGAGAACGGTACAACGAATCGTGTTCTTTCTCTAATAGTGTTTGTTGTTTGTTCGTTTATGTGTGTGCGTGTGTGTGTGTGTGTGTGCGTTTGCGTCTGTGTGTGCGTGTGTGTGTGTGTGTGTTGTGTTTGTGCGTGCGCGAACGCGCGCTTGCGTAAATTAGTGTGGGCGTGTGCTCGTGCTAGTATGTGATGACTATCGCCGATCATCCCCCCCCCCCCACTCCTCGGTACGGATTTACGCCCCTGCCTAAACTATATATATATATATACTGACCGAATTTTATCCACAGTGCATTCGCAGCTCCTCCCTTCATCCGAACCAGGTACCCCCTTCCCATCTGGTAGAACGACATCCCTATATTATAATCTGCCTGACATGCATCATCTTGGCCCAAGACGATAAACAGGTGTAATTTCTTTTTACAACGCTTTGTGACAAAATCCAATTTTTGAACGAATTCCTCCTTCCCTAGCGGAAAAGTGGAATAATTAAGTTTGAAAATGAAGTTCTTTGTATACGTTGCTCTGTTGGCGGTGGTACCTGCTGTTTTTGGTGCAAGTAAGTGATACATTTTTTCTAAGTTTCATAATTTCAGCACAAACGTGATTGTGAATCGTGCATGTGGATCTGCTTTCGACTGACGGATTATTTTTTCGTTGTTCTCTCTCTCTCTCTCTCTCTCTGTGGCGGTCATGTTGTCCCTCTGTTTCTGGCTGTCATCATCAGCTCCACGCCTCTGTCATTATAACCCATGGACTTTTTAATTGCCGAAGACATGTCTAACTCTAACTTCTAAGTTACTGTTCTAACTATAAACATCGTGTAAATTATACAAGTTTTGATTCGTCAATGACGCCATGTCAAGATGTATTGTCAGGATGACAATTTTAATGCTCTTTGGAAGGCTATTGAATTATCTTTTTTGAAAAATATCAATGAAGATGTCTTACTCCTATGGAAAACTCACCCCCTAAGAGTGTTTTGAGATCGCTTGGTAACATACAGTTAGCTGAATCACTCCGTTCTTGGTATTTATTTAGAGAAAACGCTACTATAGAGTTTTATGATTCTAAATACTCTGAACCGAGCGGATGTCAGCTTTTTTAGTACAACAGATCTATTTGTTCAAAATCTAAGCAATTTTTATTTCCCATCCTGGAGGGTGTTTCATAAAGAGTTCGTAAAGTTACGCATGACTTTACGAACGACTTGTATATGAAGTGCCAGATAGGATGCCCAAAGTTTTTTCTGATATTTCCAATAACCTCAATTAAACTATGGCAAAAAATATACTTTGCATTAAAAATGGTTGTTAGAATAAGAATGTTAATCTACATTGCAAAGTTCAACTTAATAAATAATAATCAATAATGATTGAGCATCCGATTTGGCTTTTCATATACAAGTCGTTCGTAAGGTCATGCGTAACTGTACGAACAGCTTTATGAAACACCCCCCAGGTATGATAGAATTTTTTTTTATTTTTATTTTTTTATCATTTCTGACTTATTCAACCAACTACTCAGTCCAAGCAACTAGCTATTTGAGGAACTTGTTTTAGATTTCAATATTCCTTCTACGGATAGAAGAAAGTTTTATTTTTTGTTGAAGAATATCCCAAGAGAATGGATGGAGAAATTTGATATTGACATTGTTGGTGTTCATGATACAATAGTTTTTAAATTATTGAGTTAAAAAAAGTTCTTAAGAATGTTTATAGCTTATTGCTTATTGTAAAATGGCGACTGGCTGGAATGCTCCCCAGGGAGTGGAGAATGTGCACACCTTGTGTGCGGGTAAGCCTGAATCCGATGACCGGGGTAATAATATGTTCCGCGCCTAGAAACGTAGTATTAGGCGCATTATAAATGTGAGCTATTATTATTATTATTTATTGCTTGGTCCTCATAGCCCTGATAAGAGATATGCCTATTAGAATAACAGTTAACTAGTATACAAATATACACTGCCTTGAGAGGTTCTGGTTAAAACTATGCGCAAGAGGTGACTCCAATAGTACTATCTGCTGAGGGGCGCAGCCCCGAAGCAAATGGTACTTTTGGAGTCTCCGAGGCCCATAGTTTAACCAGTACCTCAAATAGAAGGCATGGTATATTTGTTTTATATCCTGCATCAAAAATTTGTTTAAAAAAAAAAAAAAAAATTGGGAAAAAAAATGTTAGAACAAAAAAAATGTCAATTTTTATCTAAAAAGATTTTAAATATTTTCATTAAATTAAGATTTGAAAAATAAAATTGATTCAACTCACAAATAGTAAACCAAAATAGTACTCTCATATAGTACTTTCTAAAAATAGGTCAAATATTTCTGGTCATGTGACAAGCTCTCAACCAATCAAAAGCCAACAAATTTTTGATGCAGGATATAATACCTTCTAACACTAACTGGGAAAAGGTCCATATTACAAATTGTTTCTGCTCTATTGATACTAAAATCAGATGTTTTTATTTTAACATTTTCCACAGGGCAATTGCGTTGAATGATTTTCTTTATAAGATAAAAAGGAAGGAATCACCCAATTATGCTCTATGTGACCAAAAAAAGGAAACAAAGTTGTCCCAATATGGCAAAATCTCCTCACAGTGATTCGCCAAAAGATTCCAATTTCAATATTTTCTAATTTTGAAAAATTATTTGGAGTTTTTGGTTAAAGATTCATCTCATTTTTTATTTGTACTGTTGAAATATCATACATACACTGTTGTAAATTTAATGACAATCTTCCTAATTTTGTGTCCTTTAAATCCTTTGTGAAGATTGAAACAGAAGGATATTGAAGATCATTTAGCCAAGAAAAGAAACAAATTACCTATTCACTTTAAGAAATGACGTTTTGATGTTGAATTTTCTTTCCTTTCTTTGTGAATACCCCTCTTTCTTTTTAATATGTTTGTATGTATGTATGTATTTGTTTATTTTACAACCTCTCGACTTTTGTACTCATGCACAGAAAGTGTTACTTTTAAGTATATTGCTGCCTTGTACATGTATTTCTGTTTATACCAGTTATACCATGAAATTATGGATCGGGGTGGCAGGAATAGCACTATTTTCTGAGGGGCATAGCCCAAAGAAAATAGTGCTATTACTGTCGCCGAGGAGTCCATAATTTCACTAGTGGCTTGAAATAGTGCATGATATATTTGTTTTATATTATTCAAACCAACCTTATATATTAAATATTAATAATAATGTTTACTGTCACTGAAGTTGTATATAGTGCAGGTGCTCTGGCTGGTGAGAGCAGTGCAGGCGGACATAAAGCGACCGCGACCGATAGCACATTGATCTTGATCGATCGCATATCTATGACGTCATCCATGGTATAGTGCTATGTTATAGTGCACTATACCATGGATGACGTCACGGTTACATCATAGCAATGTTATGTTGGGTCACGTAGTGCTCTGTTGACCAATCACTGAACAGGATTCCATTGATCAAAAATGTAATATATACTATACTGCTGCTGCTGCTACTACTACTACTTAAATTATTATTATATCCTGCATCAAAAATGTATTGGCTTTTGATTGGTTGAGAGCTCGTCATATGACCAGAAATATATGAGTACTATTGGAGTCACCTTTTGCGCATAGTTTGAACCAGAACCTCTCAAGACAGTGTTAATTTGTATATTATTATTATTATTATTATTACCTTCACTGCTACTAACTGTCATCTGCTACTACTATCGAATTTTCAAAGGTATGATAACATTGAAAACAATTAATGGTACAGCAATGCGAATAAGAGCTGTTTATTCAGAATGGTTAACTGAAGATAAATGATGATAATATGACAACTCGACTATGAACTGTTTCTGTGGTTGTTCTTTGCAGGCTGGTCATACCAAACCCAAGATACCTGGAATCTCATCCCGGGTAGCCAATGCAATGGTAACTCCCAGTCGCCCATCGATATCATCTCCAGCATCGCCATCACCACTGATCTCGGTCCCTTCGTCCTCGATGGCTATACCGACGAAAACAGTAACATGGATTTGGTAAACATCGGGCATAATGGTAAGGATAACAAAATCATATTACTATATTCTGATGAATAACATGACTTAGTATAATGCAACATGACTCTATTTTGATGAATAAAATGACTATATTACGATGAATAAGATGTCTTTATAATGATGAACAGCATGACTATAAAATGACTATATTACGATGAATAAAATGTTTTTATAATGATGAACAGCATGACTATAAAATGACTATATTACGATGAATGACTACAAGCTATACGTGTAATAGCCTTGAAAATGTAACCATTGTTTTCTCTCTTCTCCTCTCAATGTAGTACACGTCGATCTTCATGATGAAGTGACGGACTTATACAAGCTCTCTGGGGGCGGTCTCCCTACTACCTACACAGCTACCTCGTTTCACTTCCACTGGGGGTCTATCAACTCTCAAGGCTCAGAACATCTATTTGACGGAACCTCCTACCCCGCTGAGGTAAGTCATGTGCAGGGGCGTCACCAGAGGGAGGGGGTGACCCCTTTTCCCCTTCTTTTTTTGGATAAATGTTAAAGTTACAGGATGTTTCTCCTCCTTTAAAGATACTGTATCCCTTTTACAGCCAACATCAACTTCTGTAGAACTTTGCAGGAATTATGAATATGTCATGTATGTCCTATCTGTGGAATTTAAACATTAGCAGTGTCCTAGTATTAAAATTATGCAAGGAAACCCGTTTACCTTCTAGCTTTCACTGTCAGACACTATTAAGTGACTGACTGACATCTTTTTTTCTTTGGTAATAACATAAAAAGAGCTGTAGCAAGTACTATACTTGTAATGACCAAAGTTAAACTGATTGAATCTTTGTGCAGCACAAAACGTACGACCATTCGATAAAAGGGTCTGAAAATCAGACTATTACTTAGGTGATTGAAATCACTTAAGTCGTTTCGACAACTAATGGTCGTTATTTTCCCACTAAAAGCAATTTTCAAGCCCTTTCGTTTTGAGAAGTTCTAAATTAGCATTGTCTTTGAAATGCCGTTGGAATTTAAACTTTTCATTTGTTTGGTCTGCTAATGGAACATAGTACCTTTAAGTGAACTGAACAAAGAAAAACAATACATTATGCTATTGTGTAGATAAACTCGTTCACAGATTTATTGCGACATTCCTTAGGACCAATTGGTGAGATAATTCTTTTGAAGGCAAACAAAAATCGGAAAATACAATATGAGCATTTATCGATGAAAAATAACACCGATTATTAAATATAAAATAATTTGGAATGTTTCGTGCTTGTGTGAGTGTGTGTGTGTGTGTGTGTGTGTGTGTGTTTACCGATGGCTAAGATACTCACGAACATGATTTTAAAGTTTATATACATTAATACAGCCTGAAAAACAAAGATGTTGTATTGCACTATAGGTGCAAAAACATGGGTCGATCGGTATGAAATCTTTTTTCTTTTTCCACTTTGGGCTGATAATTCTCATTTTTCAATGCATTCATTTTTTTTCTCTCCCTCTTTGGGCCTCTATTTCTCAGTTTTAATTGGTCTAATACACGTGTTTCAGCGACATCATTCCATTCATACCTTTTCACCTCATAATAATCCATGGTTTGCAATGTTGTGTTGAGACATCACTTTGTGTTTCCCAGCTGACAAAGTTGGTTTTTAACTACAGTACCTTTAAAACTTGTAAATATATCAACGGATTCCAAATTGATAACATTTTAACATATGTCTTGATGTATATGTCCCTGTCACCTCGTGTTTACGTAATTTTTCAAACTTTTTTCGTGCCTTCAAAATGTGTGATGAATAAAGTGTTGTGAGCCTCAGGTGCGGATCCAGGATTTCTTAGGGGGGGGGGGGCCCAAATTTGAAATTATGCGAGCAAAATATTGGTACGTAATGGTGACCAGCAGTGACGTAATGCAGGGGGGTGTTTCCCCTCCCTTCTCTGCAAAGCGCGGAAGCTATATATGACGTTTCATTAAAGTATTAGAGAAAGAAGACAATTCGTTGTTTGAATTTGAATTCCCCCAAGCCCCCCCCCCTATCAGTACGCCAGTGCCCCCCTTTTCTCTCTTCTCTTTTTTTCTTCTTTCCCTTTCTCTCCTCCTTAAGGTTTGCCGAGGGGTGGGGGTTCCAGGGGGTAGAGCCCCCGGGGACTCATGGAAAAATACTGCCATTTTAGCAATACTGGTAAATCACTGGTATCAAATTAAAAATAACCCATGTTTAAATTGTATTGGGAGTAACCCCCCCCCCCCCCCATCAGTACGCAAGTGAAAGAGGCGGAGGTGACGGAAGGGACTACCCCCATAAAGCTGTATGATAAGTCTTATATGTAAATCCCTCACAGGTTTTTGAAGTTTTGTTGTGTTACAAAATTACATTCTTTAGCAAAACTACAGCATAAAAACAAGCAATATACTTTTTTCACGCTTCACTTTTACTTTGCCGATATCTAGTGTGTAGTCCGAAGGGTTGTAAATATTTACTAGGTAAAGTACTGAGCAGGAAGGGACTTCTTAAAAAAGAGCAAGCTGAATATTCATTATTGGAACACTGATCTATTTCTATAACTTTTAATCTTATTAACAAACAGTGTAAACTGTACATGCGTGATACCAACAGAATACATATTTTCTACAATATTTACTTGTATATTTTTAGGATATTATGCGAAGGAGCGTAGCGACCGAGCGAGAAGATTTTAGCATTTCTATTAGTCTAAACGCTGTACTCTTGTGCCCACCAGAGCCTTAAAGCGTGTTGCAGTCTTTAGTCAGTATTTGCTATACATTTTGTTGGTGTGCACTTTTTCAAATTATCCATGGGGGACGATCCCCCTCAGAAAATTGAGGGAAGACGTGTACCCCGTCCTTCCCCGGGATCGCCGCCCCTGACTCGCACATTTCGCTTTCAATTGCAGAACGCTCTAGCTGTGTCCAAGAGAATAAATTCTCGGAATGTGGGGCATCTCGCAAAAGACATGGGCAAAAAATGTGTCGTGTAAAAAGCTAGGGAAGGACACAGACGCAAAGGCCCGAATTCACAAAGGCCCGAATTCACAAAGGAGGTTTGTAGACAAACCTATGTTTATGTGCGTCATAATTATATGACGCGTTTCAGTCAAAGGCTTGTCTAAACCTTGGTCTGAAACGCATCGAAACGCGTCATATGAAGCACATAAACCTAGATTTGTCGACAAACCTCCTTTGTAAATTCGGGCCAAAACCTCCATGGGTGCGATGTGACCTGTGTGGACGTTGGCTCCACCTATTTTGCGTTTTGCTCAAAAAAACTATCCACAAAAAAGGACTATGTATGCCCCTTTTGTGAAGCGACCTATTAATATTTATGTTCACATATCAGTCCCTTTTTGGATTGCCTTCCTCCCGCCCCCCCCCCCAAGACAAAATATTATCACATTGTTACATGACTGTGTGCACAATACATATTGATGTGTCAACCTTACGAAAGTGGTGTTTTCATAATGATTATTGACCTCCTTTAAATTTATATTTATATGGGAGACTTAAGAAGAAAACTGTTTACAGTCCAACTAAGGGTGTAGAGCATGCCGTGTAGACTAAAATGTGCAATGTTGTTCAATTTCTGAATTCTTTAATTAAAAAACTTGCTTGCTGTCAATAGTGTATACATTTCAAATGTCTAGTCCGGTTAAAAATAGCACGTAATGATTTCATTATTTGACACGTACTTCACATTGATTTATCTTATCGATAAGCGAAACGATTTGCATATCATGTATCATGTAACAAATATAACAGTAATGACAAGTATGGTTTTCCTGAAAATTGCATTATACAATGTATATTCATCGTTATGGAAAATATGTATACTATACAACAATGGGCATTTACATTTTCCAGACCAATGATTTAATTACGTTTAATATTGAAGCTGTTGCCCTTTGTATATACATGAACTTGAAATAATAAGTAGCCTTGAAAGTGTCGCAATAAATCATGTGTGAGTGAGCTTGAAGTTTAATGGTGTAGGTTTGATTGATACTGTATAGCCTTTAATGAGTTTTTAATGAGATATATCTCCAATCAAATCGAATCAAACTGAGTGATGTTATCGTACAACTAAACAATATCAATCTTCTGTTCTCCTAAATAAGCCTGGGAAACTTGAAAATTGCATTACAATGTGAATTCATTGTCAGTGAAAATGTAATACAATACACAACAATGGGCAAATAATTGTTTCCAGACCAATGATTTAAGTAAGAAGAACTTACATTTTATATTGAAACTGTTGCCGTTGTATATACATCAGGCGCGGATCCAGGATTTCTTTGGGGGGGGGGGGGGGGGCAAAATTTGAAATTATGCGAGCCAAATATTGGTTCGTAATGGTGACCAGCAGTGACGTAATTAGGGGATGGGTGGGTGCAGGGAGGGGCGAGTTTCCCCCTCCCTCCTCCACGAAACGCGGAAGCTTTGACATTTCAATAAATTATTAGAGAAAGAAGACGATTTGTTGTACCGTTCCCAAAAAATAATCCTCGTCTGAATTTCATTTCCCCCCTCCCGCGCTAAGCGGAAGCTTACGTTTCATTAAATCATTAGAGGAAGAAGACGATTTGTTGTGTCGTTATCCCCCTTTTTTTTCTTCTTCCTCTTTCTTTCTTCCCTGTATCTCCTCTTTTCCTTTTTTCTTTCCCTTTCCTTCCTTCTCTTTTATTTTTTGATCGGGGGGGGGGGGCAACAGCCTGGGAGCCAAGTCCTTTTGCCCCCCCCCCCCACCCCGATCTACTTCTTCCCTCTTTTCTTTTCTTCTTCCTCTTCTTTTTTTCCCTTTCTCTCCTCTTTCCCTTTCCCTTCTTCCTTCTCTCTCTCTCCTTTTTTTTTTTTTTTTTTTTTGCGGGGGGGGGGGGAGGGGGGGGGGCAAGGCCCGCTTGGCCCCCCCCCCCCTGGATCCGCGCTTGGTGAGCCTTTACCTCGAAAACTTTAAACAGCGACCGTCGCCCGAAAAACTCAAAACGGGAACGTCGCCCAAATCTCGCTGGTTTTTAGCTGGTGCAGTGCATGGTATATACACGTACAAGAGGCCGGGGTACACTTGCATGTTTACGTTAGCAGGATTTTAAAACTAGGACAGAAGACGAGTGAGAATTTTTGAATAATTAGATGATTGTATGCATGTATGTCCCATTTAAACAAATAAAATACTAATCTTTAAAATTAAAAAAAAAAGGTTTAAAAAGACAACTAACTCCTACGACAACCATCCTCTTTATGACAACTACCTACGGATAACTATCCTAGGGGTAGTTGTCCGGGCGTAGTTGCCCGGGGGATAGTTGTCCTAAGGGGTAGTTATCTGGGGGGTAGTTGTCCTGGGGGTAGTTTACTGGGGGTGGTTATCCGGGGGTGGATGTCCAGTAGTAGGTATCCGGATACGTGTTATTATTAGTGTTGATTTAGATAAATAAATTAATAAATTGCCACTCAAATGGATCATAAATGGATAATGAATCTAAATACTGATCAATCATATCGATAAATACGTTATACACAGTGGCGACGGGTGGGTCCAGCCACGGAAGGGGCCCTGCCATCATGGAGGGAACTCTGCGAGCGATTTTGGGGGTGTAGGAGGGGAACCTTATCTTCTTTCCGTTCCCGTCCCCTTCTCCCTCTCCTTCTGTCTGTCTATATGTCTGTCTATTAATTTCTGTCTGTCTTAGATGGTCATTCATTTCATTATTGAATTAATTCAATGACCTACATGGATACTACTGCACGAGCAGTAGAGGATGTAAAATCTGAATAAAATGTAACTACCCTAAATGACGAGAATCACGAATGGAACAACAAAATGAAGGAAAAGAAGATAAAGTAGTCGATCATAATAGCCACAATCCGGATGCAACTATGTTATCCACAGTGTTACTCATCTCTCCCGGAAACACAAATCGTTTAATCGAATGTCTTGTGGCATGAAAATATGTTGGACCAGGCGCGCCGGAAGCAGTTTGGGACTGGGGGGGCAAACATTCCAGGGGGCTCACATTCCAGGGGCAGTGACGTAATGAGAAAAAAAGTTCGGAAGGGGGGGGGGGGCACACGAAAAACCTGCATCACCACCAGTCTTACACGTTACATGCAGGTCCCGCGGAACGTTTTTCAAAGTGGAGTATTATCGATCAGGTAGAGCGTAAATTGGCGTGGGGTCCAGGGAATGAGCCTCGGCAGGGGGTCAAGGGGCTGAGCCCCCGGAAGCTCAGGGGTTTTAGGTATTTATTTACGGTTAGATGAGCATCCAGGGGCCCTCTGTAAGGCAATTGACGTGTTCCAAGGGGGGGGGGGGGGGAGAGCCCCCAGAAATTCAGAGGTTTTGATATTTAACTACGGTCAGATGAGCATCCAGGGGCCGTCTTATGGCCCTTGGTGTGGTTCAGGGGGCAGAGCCCCCGGAATCTCAGGGGTTTTAGGTATTTAATTACAGTCAGATGAGCATCCAGGGGCCCGCCTTAGGGCCCTTGGTGGGGTCCAGGGGGCAGAGCCCCCGGAAGCTCAGAGGTTTTAGGTATTTAATTAAGGTCAGATGAGCATCCAGGGGGCCGCCTTAGGGCCCTTGGTGGGGTCCAGGGGGCAGAGCCCCCGGAAGCTCAGGGGTTTTAGGTATTTAATTACGGTCAGATGAGCATCCAGGGGCCCGCCTTAGGGCCCATGGTGGGGTCCAGGGGGCAGAGCCCCCGGAAGCTCAGAGGTTTTAGGTATTTAATTAAGGTCAGATGAGCATCCAGGGGGCCGCCTTAGGGCCCTTGGTGGGGTCCAGGGGGCAGAGCCCCCGGAAGCTCAGGGGTTTTAGGTATTTAATTACGGTCAGATGAGCATCCAGGGGCACGCCTTAGGGCCCTTGGTGAGGTCCAGGGGGCAGAGCCCCCGGAAGCTCAGAGGTTTTAGGTATTTAATTAAGGTCAGATGAGCATCCAGGGGGCCGCCTTAGGGCCCTTGGTGGGGTCCAGGGGGTTTTAGGTATTTAATTACGGTCAGATGAGCATCCAGGGGCCCGCCTTAGGTCCCTTGGTGGCGTCCGGGGGCGGAGCCCCCGTAAGCTCTGGGGTTTTAAGCATTTAATTACGGTCAGATGAGCATTTTTTATACCTTATTTGTGACATTGGCAGGTCACTTATTTTTTTTCTCCGTCTTTCTTTCTTTTTTTCTTTAACATACTTTTTCAAAAAGGAGGGGGGGGGGGGGGGCTCGAGCCCAGCCACTTTGCAGACCATGACATAAAGGCTTCTAAATTAGCGTATTTCGCCTGACTGTAATTTGGGAATTTCTTATTTTCCAACAAACGCATAAAAAGGTATGACTTACAAAAGAAATGGAGAAAAAATGCCGGAAAATCATGTCACAACATCAACATTTGTAAATCAATTGTTTCGAATAAGAAATACATCATCCCCCCCCCCCATCAGTACGCCAGCGTTCAGGGGCTCATGTCTTCTCACCCCTATAACAAAAAAACGGGCACGCTTTCCCATTCTCGCACAATATGTCCACGATATGCGCGTATCGCTATTATAGAGACCTCCATTGATAAATACCGTATAGGTGGCATGCGCAATGTTTATGAAATTTAATTCCTGTGAACTTTCCGTTTCTTCGAATGGAATTGTATATGTGATTTAATTCAGGTTTTTATTATTGTTACGTTCTTTTGGATTAAAAATACAAGCCTTTACTGTTTTTTTTTTTTTTTTTTTTGGAGGGGGGGGGGGCGTTTTGGGGGGGCAAAAATGCGTTTTGCCCCCCCCACTTTTTGACTGGGGGGGCAACTGCCCCCCCTGCCCCCCCCCCCCCCCACTTCCGGCGCCTATGTGTTGGACCATATGAGTTCTTCATCAGGCAGGAACTTTTGTTTGAATTTATGTGTGTTGGCTGTGTGAGAATGGTAATAGAGGGCCAAATATACAATTTTGTGTCCTGTTACTAAGTGGATAGATTACGTGGATAGTGGATAAGTCGAGTTTTCCCTCTGTCCCGAGAAGATCGACTTACGCGAGGTTATCTGTATGTCTTTTGTACAAAAATTGTCGCTGATAACCTGACACTTTGAAGTGTTATTATTTTGAAATCGTGTTTTATTGGAATTTTAGCCTTTAACTTTATACCCCAAATAACAAGAATTCCTATACAAATTTATTATAGGAATTATCTTCCAAAGGTTCTTGTTTCAGGAATAGACCATATCTGTTCATAGACCAAAGTTGGCAGAAGAAAAACACATGGCTAACATTTCATACTGGATAAATGGATATATGTCTACAGAGTGAGTCAGAAAAAATGTCACACTTTTTAAAAGTTGTATTGTTTGAGGTATGGGTTTCATGATATGTCTTGATAGAGTTAGCCTCCCAGTACATTTAGGTACCATTTTCATTTGAATCTCTGCATGCAAGACTGAACATCAGACAATCTTGACAAAACTGCCAGATCTCACTTGCCTTGAGCCATAATGCATGGCCGTCCAGAGGATTTTTTGATGTTGGGGACCGGGGTAAAATGCAATTTAGTTATTGAAAATTTATTGCATTTTCTGTTTTTTTTTTTTTTAAATTATGGAAACTGCCCCCTATCCTAGCCCCCGCTGCGTACAGCTATGGTTCAGTGACAAAGCAATGGGCTCGTAACTGTGAGGCCCCAGGATCATAACCGTGTCGATGTGCTATATTAGTGCCCTTTTGTGGGGGCATTAATCCTCATTACTGTCATTTATGACTTAAGGGCGTAGGTCCCCTAGTTGATAATCATAGTAGCATATACATGCTTTAGCAGTCACGCAAAACACACATTGTCAAATTATTGTTCAATTAAATCTGAGAATGTATACTATTATCTAGATCTATTATTTTAAATTATTTTAAAAATAATACCATAAATGGGGTAAAACAAAAATATTCCAACTTTATGAGCGACAGTGTAGGAGATATAGAGCCCATAAGTAATAGTCTTGATTTTCAGACCATTGTACCGCATTGTCGTATGTTTTATGCTGCGCAAAGATTCAATCAGTTTAATTTTGGCCATTACAAGATGTGGGTTATTGATGTAGACAAATCCTTTACAGCTCATTTTATGTATGTTATTATCCAAGAAGAAAAAAACCCAGTCAGTCACTCAGTAGTGTCTGACAGTGAAGTCTAGCAAGTAAACAGGTTTCCTTGGATAATTTGAATATTAGGACACTGCTATCGTTTAAATTTCACAGATAGGACATACATGACATATTCATAATTCCTGCAAAGTTCTACAGAATTTGAGGTTGGCTGCAAAAGGGACATAGTATCTTTAAAATAGTTGAAATATTTCTGGTCATGTGACGAGCTCTTAACCAATCAAAAAGGATATAACATTATAGATATAATGACTGCCATGAGAGGAATAGTTGTTTTATAGGCTCAAGGGGATGTTGCATCCTGATATCACCCCGAGGCGTGCTGAGGGTTGATATAGCAAGATGCAACACTGATCCCCTTTGTAGTCTACGTGCATTGCGAGATCATGCAAAATTTGTCATTGTTTTTATTTCCAATTCTAGATTCAAACCTTTATTCCTTGTGATCCTGAAGGTGATAATAAAAAATTAGATGGCATATGAAAGAGCAGGTTTATCTCCATATTTCCAAAGGGGCGTCATCTCGTCATTACATGTAGATCTAGGCCTACAATCGAGATCGGTGGTTGTCTGCGCTGTGTGCAAATGTAGCGACCAAATTAAAAAAAAAAATTATGGTAGCCGCGCTCCGCACAAACTAAGTTTTAACACGTAAACCGATGGGAATCGCAACTATTTTCCTGATGGCCAAAATCTTGCGGGAATAGTCACTCATGAATGGGGATCGCAGCAAAACTTAAATATTTTTCTGGTACCCGGAATCTTACAAGAATATCACTCATGAAGAGTTCTATTGACCAGTACTGGCATGTTCCGCTCTTTATGGGAATGGCTAAAATCACGACTGCAATTTCGACCGATCAGATGGCTAGATTTTTAAAAAGAGGTATACATGTATAACAATTATCATTATGAATCCATTATTCATTTATTTAGATGCAGATGATTCACTACGACAAGTCCAAATACGCCAATATCTCCGCAGCTTTGGCCGGCTCGCAATGGGATGCAATCACCATACTGGTTGTGATGATTGAGGTAAGAGTGCCCTGTGTTCTTTTTTCCTTCTTATTCTTCTGTTTATCTTCAATGGGCCATGCAGCTTAATTATAACCAACATCTGTATGTAGATTACCAGTTGCGTATGCAGGTTCACTAAACACCTGGTTTACACCCTACTCTTTGCGATTCTCCTACTCACGGGGCCTCCAGTTAACGTTTCTGGGATTCTGTGAATATATTGTTATGATGATAATCATTAAAATGTACGCACTCTGTTTCATGGTTTTAGTTTATATTATTATTTAATCAATTTATTGTAGTTAATGTGGGACCCCGAGGAAGAACAGATCAACTTTGTCGGTAAATCTGAAGCGGGTGATCCCTCGATCTTCATTTTAATTTGAATATTTTCTTTTGTAGAATAGTCCGTGTTTCTTTATGCGTTATGATGTTTGTATTGCATATTCATGATTGTACATAAAACCAACCAACCAACTCTCTCTCTCTCTCTCTCTTTCTTTTTCTCTCTCCCTACCCATCTCTCTCCCTCTCTCCCTCTATAGGTTGGCGAACATAACACTGCTTTCGATTCCGTCCTGAGTCACATCAGCCAGGTCGCCAATTACTCCTCGGGCAACACCTCCCTGGGCCAGGGCAACCTCCCATCCTTCCCAATCCGCAACGTCTTGCCATCTGACCTGTCCAAGTTCTACCGTTACAATGGTTCCAAGGCGTTGCCCGATTGCAACGAGGCCATCATCTGGACCATCTTTACAGACACGATCTCTATCTCCCAGGCTCAGGTGAGTGAGAGAATGGGGTCTCGAGGGGGGGGGGGGGGGGGGGGGGTGTTCTAAGATGACGAAAACGTCTAACCCTAACCCTATGGATACCATTTTGTCTATTGCACCCAACGATCCTTATTTTTACCAACTTTGTACACCTCGGGATCATGTCAATCTCTAACTTCCTTTTTAATTAGTTTAGCTATAAAATAGCATGATACTCTTAGTTTCAAATGTTTGGTTGATGCTCCTACTAAAATGATGAGTATTACATTTGAGTATCCACACACCGTTACAGGAGAGGCACTCCCTATCTGCACTACCTTGGCAGACCTAAGGCCTCTAGCTCCACTGCAAGTTCCATCACTTTATTGTTCTTGTTCTTTAATTAATATTCTCCTTAATGTAGATGAAGTAAATATAGTAGTATCAGCAGTAGTAGTGGTAGTCGTATCAGAAGAAGTAGTAGTAGTAGTAAAAGTAGTTGTTTAGTAGTAGTTTAGTAGTAGGAGTATAGTAGTAGTAGTATTAGTAGTAGAAGAAGAAGAAGAAGAAGGTGAAGATGAAGAAGTAGTAGTAGTCAGTGGCGGATCCAGGGGGCCCGGGGCCCGCCCCCGAGTGCAACGCACTTTCACTGAAGATAGTAGTACTATCTACACAGTGTAACAACTTTTATTCTCCCATCAATGATGGGCGAACTATCTTTCATCACGTGATTTACTTTTGATCAATCGTAGAACAAGATTCTTAGTGTGTGGAATATAATAGTAAATAGTAGTAGAAGTAGAAGAAGAAGGAGCAGCAGTAGTAGTAGTAGTAGTAGTAGTAGTAGTAGTAGTAGTAATAGTAGTAGTATTATCAGTATAAGTAGTAGTATAGTAGTAGTAGAAGTATTAGTAAAGGTAGTAGTAGTAGTGGTAGTAGTAGAAGAAGAAAGTAAGTAGAAGTAGTAAGTAGAAGTAGTAGTAGTAGTAGTAGTAGTAGTATTAGTAGTAGTAATAGTAGTAGTAATAGTAGTAGTATTAGTATTAGTAGTAGTAGTAGTAGTAGTAGTAGTAGTAGAAGAAGAAGAAGAAGAAGAAGAAGAAGAATATACCTTGAATATACCTTGAAGGTCCCACCTCGCCATCGTGGTGATGAAGATCCCGCAGATAGTATGGTGTGGCAGGGTTAAGGAGGTCCCATGGGACTCATTTAAAAACCCAGGTTGGATATTTGTCGTTTGAAGCTGAAGAGTGTTGGAGCATCAATGGCAGTTTGTGGCAGCATGTTCATTTTATCAACAACTCTCTGGCTATAGAAATTTGTCCTGATGTCAAGCGGCTTCTTGTTTGGTTAGCTTCATGGAATGGCCTCTGTTCTATCATACATGTAGTTAGTAAACTGTAGGTTTGCAGTAGGTCTTCTCTCTCTTCTTTTCTCTAAAGTAGTTCGTTTAAGCTATTCTCTCTTCATATGGTAGTTGTTGAATATACTATGGATGAGTTTTGTGGCTCTTGCTTGAACTTTTTCTTCTTTTTGTCTTTTTCCAGTTAGGAACACCGGGCGTGCATGGCGTAGTCTAGGTGGTGTATGATGATTGATTTACACAGTCTTAAGATCACTTCCTTACTCTTGAATGTAAAGTTGCGGTTTATTATTCCTAGTGTCCTCTATTTTGCTGATGCAGCACACTGGGAGGCAACTTTCAGGGACTTGTGAACTAGAACTTATCTTTTTCTTCTGTACTTTCATTAACCTTGGAGTTGCCTAACGTATAGGCCTATGTGTATAGTGTGGGCTGTGGGTTCCAAAGTGCATGACTCCACATTAATTTGTCTGCATTGTATCTCATCTGCCATGTACTTGCTCACAAGGTGGTTGCTGGAGTTTGACATGTATATTTTATCATTGTCTTTTTGCAATGGTTGGATTAGCTTGGTGTCATCAGCAAATTTGCTAACTGTTGATTTGTCAGTTAGTCCAATTTCGAGGTCATTCATGTATATCAGGAAGCACAGTGGTCGCAGGACTGATACTTTTACTACAGAGCTGGTAACAGGTCTCCAGCTTTATTTGGCTCCCTGGATACCAACTTTCTGCTTGCGACTGTCGAGCCAGGCTGTTATCCACTGCAACATATGTTACCATTTATTCCAGGGTCTTGATCTTTTTGTTTACTAGTCTCCAATTGTGCGGACTAGGCCTTTGACCAGCTGCTTTGGATGGGTCGAGGTCTACAAACTTCTTTTTCAGATTTTCTTCAGTGATTTCTATCTCAGCAAGGAGTTCTACATCAGTTCCTTTGAAGAAGTATAATAGAATATAGTAAAAACTTAATGTCAAGAGGATCGTAACATCACATGGCTGAACAAATAAAGAAAGTTTGTCATTCCGATGCAAAAAAAATCATGCAAACTACGACTTCCAATGTTAACATGTGTAAGTATTCAGGCGCGTAGCCAGGGGGGTGGTGGGGGCGGTCGCCCCCCCCCCCCAAAAAAAAAACGCCGGCCAAAACACAAAAACAAAAAAAAGACTGAATTCAGATAAGGATTAAGAGTCGAGAACGGTACAACAAATCGTCTTCTTTCTCTAATAATTTATGAAACGTCAAAGCTTCCGAGGGAGGGAAGGAGGGGGAACTGAATTCAGACAAGGATAAAGAGTCAATCGAGAATGGTACAACGAACCTTCTTCTTGCTTTAATAATCAAATAAAACTTCAGAGCTTCCGCGCTACAGCTTCCGCGGAGGAAGGGGAACTTGATACAAAAAAAGGATTACGAGTCGAGGACGGAACAACGAATCGTCTTCTTTTCTAATAAAACTTCAAAGCTTTCGCGCTACACGCGGAGGCAGGGAAACTTGATTCAAACAAAGATTAAGAGTCGAAGACGGTACAGCGAATCGTCTTCTTTCTCTGATGAAACGTCAAAAAAACTGAATTTAGATAAGGATTAAGAGTCGAGAACGGTCCAACGAATCGTCTTCTTTCTCTTATAATTTGATGAAACCTCAAAGCTTTCGCGCTTCGCGCGGAGGCAGGGGAACTTGATTCAAACAAAGATTAAAAGTCGAAGACGGTTCAGCGAATCGTCTTCTTTCTCTAATGAAACGTCCACAGAAACTAAATTTAGATAAGGATTAAGAGTCGAGAACGTACAACAAATCATCTTCTTTCTCTAATAATTTATGAAACGTCAAAGCTTCCGCGGGAGGGAAGGGGGGGGGAACTGGATTCAGACAAGGATAAAGAGTCGATCGAGAATGGTACAACGAACAAACTTCAGAGCTTCCGCGGAAGAAGGGGAACTTGATACAAAAAAAGGATTACGAGTCGAGGACGGTACAACGAATCGTCTTCTTTCTCTAATGAAACGTCAAAAGAAACTGAATTTAGATAAGGATTAAGAGTCGAGAATGGCCAACGAATCGTCTTCTTTCTTTAATAATCTAATAAAACTTCAGAGATTCCGCGCTACGCGCGGAGGCAGGGGAACTTGATTCAAACAAAGATTAAGAGTCGGAGACGGTACAGCGAATCGTCTTCTTTCTCTAATGAAACGTCCACAGAAACTGAATTTAGATAAGGATTAAGAGTCGAGAACGGTCCAACGAATCGTCTTCTTTCTCTTATAATTTGAAACTCCCTCCTCCCTGCACCCTCACCCCTAGGGAGCTTTGTAAGTGATTCGCACGCTTCGCGTGGTCACTACCGCCCCCCCCCCCTAAAATGAAATCCTGGCTACGCGCTTGTAAGTATTTGATTTGGAAAAGACTAATTCTTGAAAGTTCGATAATGATTAATTCGTGTATTTTTTCTTCTAACAGCTGGACACGTTCCGCACCCTGTACGGCGATCGAGATGAATCACAAAATCGTCGACAACTACCGCCGCATCCAACCGCTGAATGGCCGCACAATCTACTACAGCAGTGCAGTTACCATCTCACCAATGAGGGCATTGTTTATCATGGCACTTGCACTTAGTATGTTGCTCAATCGCTTTTAGATTTAATAAGAATTGTAATATTTTTTTTTTTGACTGGGAAATTAAGTTTAATATTACGGATTTAAGAAATATAAATAATTAAACACAATATTCATTTATCAAATTCATCAAAGATACTAGCCTTCATGGGGGGGGGGGGGGGGGGCTTGACCTTGAAATAAACTCATTTCGATTTTATTTGTAATGATTGGTTGGTACATGTATCATGAAATTTTAAGTTTTAATGAAAAAGATTTCAGTTTAAAAATGTTAATGGAAGTAAATCTGATCCCTATGAGAAAATAAATTAAAATATGAATAATGCATTTGACAGTAAATACATCCCTTTTTCTGGTCGTCGATTGTCACCCCCCCCCCCCCCCCACCCCCCCCCCCCAAAAAAAAAATTATTTTATTGATCTCCCTAGATGTAAACTTTTGTGAATCATGTGAATCCATGTGTCAATGTTACTGGGATCTCAGCGGTAACTTTTACAAATATCTTATAGTACTGTTAGTTCTTATGAATTAGCCGTCGTTCACTTAGTATATTACAGGGGAAACAGTCAAACGATTTTAAAAGTATAGTACTTAATTTTATAAAAAAGTATTCATATATCTCTGTGCGAAACAGTAGGGTTAGTCTATACTATATGTCGCGAAAATGGTCCTTATTTACAATTGCTTTGTCATACTCTCATTTTGTCCTGGACCTTTATATCAATATGTCATATTGATATCGGGGCTTGAAATGTGCTTTATTTGGTTTATAGCATGAAATCTGATTAGATATTTTTGTAGATAAATTGGTAAAATTATAGGGGTTGAAATTGTTTTATAGACTGTTTCATTCGTATTTGCGAACGGCTGTAATACCGTCTCTGATATCATTGTACAGAAAACACAACAGAATTATTCATTTTGTATCATCCATCATTTAAAGGGGACAAATGAGGAGCATTATTGGCTCGGGTAGATAATGTCCGCTGGATAGTGGCAACCATGTATAATTTTCCGACCTAAGGTCATGCACGTCCCAAACAAGAGGTTATAGTTCAAACTTTAAGTTCAGGGTTCTGATGAATACGTATAGTCTATACATAATTTATATTTCTGCTTTTTAACAGATTCCGGATGAATCATTATAAGCTTTGATTCCTTTGTGTGTGGAACATGACCACTTGAACTGAACTAATGAAGCATGCAAATAGGAATTTAATCTTGGTGTGTATTTTTATGATTTTTTTTTTTTACAAAATTCGCTATATTCAGTTTTTTTTTTTGTATTTCAAATTTTGCTGGTAAAGATAACATCAATTCGAGATGGAGGATTGATTGTTTAACAGACCTTCATGTGGAGGTGTCTTGGTAATGTGGTTCATTCGCTTGACACTCAATCAAAGGGTTGAGGGTTCGAATCCCATTATAATGCGAAAGTCATTGTACATTGCTCAGCATTGCGAGCGTCTGTAAAATGACACTTGGCTGGAATCCGATGACTAGGATAATAATATTTCTTTAAATCTCTTAGAGACGTCATAGAAGTATTAAGCGCTGTATAAAATAAACTATTATTATTGTTGTCGTTGTTATTAACATTTAATGATGTGGGCTCTGCTTGCTAAGTAATATTTGCTTAAGAAATTTGATCACATAATATGAGTATTAAACAAAATTCTTTTCAGTTAGTTGGAAACCATAGTCTAGTGACGTTTGACAAATATGGGGTTAGGACACTGCATAGTCGATGTATATCATTCATTATTTTATATCACACAGAAAACTTTATTCAAGAAAATCGTTTTTGAAAGACTATAATAATCGTTTTTGTCATGTTGTAAAACATTCTTAATCAAAATGTTCTTGTTTACAAAATATTGAAGTAATAAATAGTTTTTTGTTAAAGGTAAGATTTTGCTATTTGATTGTGTAGTATTGTCCTAAAATACTGTGAAAATTTATGAATCCCTTATATGATTTGTTTTCTTTTCATTAAGTAAGTTCCTTGTAAAGTTTTGGTCTTGAAAGTTATAGAAATGTATTAACTTTATCGAAATTCGGTTGCCAGTCTCAGTCGATCCCAATTTGTTACTCGTATAAGTGTGCATGATGCAACCCTAAATAAGAGAAAAATTAGAAGAGTGGGAAAAAACAACGAATGAGAGTTTTCATGACAGCGATAATACTACAAAAATACTCCTCCTTGAAGAGAGAGAGGGGTAGGGGTAGAGAGAGAGAGAGGGGGGGGGGGTAAGGGTAGAGAGATTAGAGAGAGAGAGAGAGAGAGAGAGAGAGGGAGGGAGAGAGAGAGAGAGAGAGAGAGAGAAAGAGAAAAGCTTCGACACACATACACGTTGGCATTTACACTGTTGCCCACAGGCATTCTGATAATTATGGTTTACTCTTGTAGATAAAGTTTTTATCTTTTCAGAACTTTGTAGATTAATTTAAAGAGTCATTGAGAATGATCAGTGAGGTTCTGAAAAAATAATAAACGTTATCTTTTAAAAAATAATCCATATTGTCGAAATCACTTCATAAAAAAATGTAAGCAACAAAATATTCCAACTTTTTGGTCAACATTATAAACAGAAAGACAGTGAACGGAGAGTGGTTAGCCAACTCACTGTTAATTAGAGAGATCACGCGAGAGAAGGGCATGAGGGGTTAAGAGTGACAAGATAGAAGAGAGAGAGAGAGAGAGAGAGAAAGAGAGAAAGAGGAGCAAATACAGAGGGGGAGAGAGAGAGAGAGAGAGAGAATGATATAATGAAAAATAAGCCATATTGTCGCAATCACTTCATAAAAAAATGTAAGCAACAAAATATTCCAACTTTTGGGTCTACATTATAAACAAAAAGACAGTGAACGGAGAGTGGTTAGCCAACTCACTGTTAATTAGAGAGATCACGCGAGAGAAGGGCATGAGGGGTTAAGAGTGACAAGATAAGAGAGAGAGAGAGAAGAGAGAGAGAGAGAGAGAATGATATAATGAAAAATAAGCCATATTGTCGCAATCACTTCATAAAAAAAATGTAAGCAACAAAATATTCCAACTTTTGGGTCAACATTATAAACAAAAAGACAGTGAACGGAGAGTGGTTAGCCAACTCACTGTTGATTAGAGAGACCACGCGAGAGAAGGGCATGAGGGGATAAGAGTGACAAGATAGAAGAGAGAGAGTGAGAGAGAGAGAGAGAGAGAGAGAAGAAGAGAAAATACAGAGGGGAGAGAGAGAGATGATATACAGGAGAAACAAAAACAAAAAAATGTTATTATAGAGGAATACATTACAATAGAGATAGGGAGGGGAGGGCTCGTGTGCTGAAACACCGCTTCATTATAATTCGCACAAAAAACCTGATTGCGATAATAAAAACTGTTTACAAACTTTCTTGCAACCTTTTACGAACCCTGGCGAAACCCCAAATCCGCTACGTCCGCAAGCATTCGCCGCTCAGCGAGGATACCACTTCATACACCCATATTTCTTCATCAATCTATCTCCACCTTTCAAACTACCCTCTCGATGAGGCGGACGTGTCAATGTTAAGGCAAAGATGAAAAAATGTATCATCACACCTTGCAAATTTATGGCCAGTAAATGTAGAACCCCCCCCCCCCCAGGGGCGGATCCACGTAGTGATTTTTCCGGCCCACCCCCCCCCCCCAGCCCCCCAAAACGATAAAAAAAAATAGGATAATAACGTAAAGTTAACCTTTATAAAACAAAAAACAAAAGCGCCCCCCCCCCGCTTATTCGCCGGCTGGCTGAGACGGCACTAAATTTTGTATTAAGATTTGGCTACCCCCCCCCCCCCTTGACGCCGGCTGGATCCTCTGCAGGCGTGGATCCACGGGGGAGGGGGCTGACGGGTCAAAAACAACAAAATAATTATAAAAAAAAAAAAAAAAAAAATCTCACGAATTAGGTCCAACCCCCCCCCCCCCCGCTTATTCACCGACGGCTGAGTCGCAACTAATATTTTCTCACGGATTGGGCCCCCCCCCCCCCTCTTCCCGCCGGCTAGATCCGCCACTGAACCCTCCTCCCCCCCCCCCCCCATCGTTAGATAATTTCAATTTTGAATTTGCCACTAAATATACCACATGAATGACCCTATCTTTAATAAGTCGGAAATAACTGTTCATTTGCCTCTCGAACATTATCTGACACGTAAAAAACCATTTTACATGTGGTTGTTGTACCCTAACCCTAGGTAGGTAAGCATGTCAGAGGTAAAATGCCAGAGGTAGAAATGTGAGAGGTTTTTTAAGAAATAGATGAAACAAGTATGTTTCCTATACCCCCCCCCCTCCCACCTGTTACCCTCTTTTATCAACTTTTATCAAATCCAAACATGCGTTTGAAGCAGTTACTTTTAACATTGAGCCCCTTCTCAAACCATGACCATGCCTTTTCAAGAAGATGAAAATATAAAAGGTTTACGGACAACAAATGGGGACGGAGAGCAATAGCCAAACAAAGGGCAAGACGGAGCCACAGAAGGGAAGATTTCGTTTTGTTTTGTTTTTGTTTTAAAGGCTTAAAAGATGTACCCTGTGATTCATAGCCATGTGGTTCAAGTCGGTGAAAGAAGTAGCCAATAATCGGGCAAAAAGTCACAATTTTGGGGCCGAAGGTAAATAACAGTTAAAGAAAGAAGAAAATAAAGCAGCGCTGAATAATGACAGCAGAAAGTCCTTCGTTATTCTTTTTTCGACAAGCCTTATATAAAACCATTATCAATATTCATGCTTTTGTTTTGATATTTTACCTCTGATATTTTTTCACCAGCCTAGTATAGGCCTACACCTTTCCCATCGTCAGTGCGTATAATCCCTATTGTGTTGTACCTATTATGAGTTACTGACTGACTATATAATAAGCAATTGTGTGCATGTAGAGATACATAAAAGCAAACTAAAAGAAAATTACGTACTTCTTTTTATCTAATTTTATTTAGTATATGCATAAATGATCAACGTGACAGTGGATTCATAGTATACCCCAATGATCATCGTAGTACAAAGCTCTATTTAAGATTTACAGATTAAACTACAGATAGAGAGGAGAGTAATATAGGGGGAAAGAGAGAGAGAGAGAGAGAGAGAGAGAGAGAGAAGGAGAATAAATGAGTGGTTCACATACGCTCATAAAATATACATGGACGATATGTGTATTATATCAGATATTAAATGCATATGACTTATAGTTGCATTGCATTTATACAAGCAAACATTATAGTTTGTACTACATGAGTATTCATATCAATTATATAATAAGAGGTCTCACATGCACGGACCGTTGTTCCCTCGAACATTCCAACCATTGGCATTGTCAGGAACCTATAATATACATGTATATGTATATGTATAAGTACTATTAAGTCATTTATTTTAGGCATTCCATGTACCTCATTTACCTATTTTGTATTGCATGAGTTAAAATTTATTTAGAAAAGTGCTGTATTATGTTCTATATATCTAAATCTTCGGGTGTTTTATGGTACATTGTATTACTATATGCATTATGTCATGTTATTACTAAAATAAAAAAGAGTGTTTCTGCGGGATATATAATTTTCCTTCTGTTTGGTATAAACACTGCATTGTAAATTGATTTATACGGTATATATGTTTACAGAATATTGATATGTTACATTACATTGTGAATTGACTTATATGATGTATATGTTCCTAACAGAATATTGATTGTTACATTACATTGTAAAGTGATTATATGTTTATAAACAGAATATTGATGTACATAAATGAAGTTTAATAAATACAATACAATACATGTACAAGCACTGCTTTTCAACAGGCTCCTAACATTCTAATTAATCTATAATTGAGTATCATTGAGACGCGCTCATACTACATGTATATAAACTCTCTATGTTTTATGTCTGTCTATATTTTTGTGTAAAATGTGGAACAAATAAACTTGAAACTTGAATCGTAACGGACGTGTCGTTCTCGCGGAACTTCCCCCTCTCGGACATTCCGATCGTTGATGAAAGAGACCCAAGGCATCGGTCCACTTTGGCTTTATGAACCTTTGGTCAACTGAAGCCCTCTCTTGCTACTTTGCTACCTCACGAGATAACATTTCACTGTTCATAAACGAAAAACCTCTCTGTAGAGCTACACAGGAAAGGTGACATGAGCATGACCGCGACCATCGACTTCTTTACTATGTTTCAAAAGTCACTACAAAGTATAGAGGGCAATAAATTGATATTACAAAGTTGTAATCACTTTCGTGTTTTTCGCAGCTTTCTTTCTACTCTGTCAGACTAAAAAAGGATAATCTTCTGGGAATGGAGCTAAGGAAGCAGTCTTGTCTGGTACATCGCGTTGTAATACGGCATAGATGTCTCCACCGACGCTCTGACGTCATCAGGAAGATCATCCATAGAAGGAATAGGAGGAGGAGGCAGGAAGTGAGAAGTATGGAAGGCGTTATGGCAGAAGATGCGGATGAACTCGAAATCCTTGACCGGCATGAAAGCACACTTCCAGATATCCGTGATATCTGGATTCGCATCCCAGGAGAGAAGACTATCGTTGTACGGTATCCCGACTGCCTTGCAGTATTTGGAAAGCATCCCAGCCGGGTCAGCAAGCAAATCATCACTCTCCATGACAACCGGAGATGGATCAAGGTTTTCCCGGACGTGGACCCAAAGATCGTGAAGCTCTTTGTACAGCAGATCAGTCAGATTATACTTCTCCGGCACATCGCATCTCAGGTCGAAATCTTGTAGACTTTTCGTGATTTTCTTCCCAGTACCATCCCCGACGTCTTTGAGAACGGCATAGATGACTTTCTTCCAGGAGCTGTAGACCTTTGCTGGGTGACGGAGTAGGAAGGAGTGCTTGTAATTGCTGGATTTGTCTGGGAGGAACCGGAAGTGCTTACTGTCCATGGATTGGGACACGCCCTTGTAAAAGATGACCTTTTTGGTAGGTTCTGGCTTATCGAGCATTGATTTGACCACCGGGTACCTGTAATATTAGCATACAAAATACATATAATCATTTAAATGGTCAGGATAGAACTATTTTTGTTATGGTAGCTACATTGATCATTTCTTCCTTAAAATACCATTCCTAATTTTCCTTTACTTTTATAGGAACATTGAATTAATACAAGTCGAGTATAATGGCTCTTTTTCAAAGTTTATTTCTTTATAATGTACCAAATAAAAATGTGTATTAAGTTATTAATTCTTGCAACACTGCGGGTTACATCTCCGAAACGAACTAATATCATTTTGATGAATGTAACATCACACACGGCTCAGAAAGTTGTTTTTCCTTCTTTCTTCTTTCAACTGTAGGCCTGCATGAATGCGGATTTTAAAGTCCATACAAGTCTAAAAGAAATCATATCACCTCCACTGCACTCTAAATATGTTTACTAATTAAAGCTCTTCATAAGTTCATAGTCATTCACTATCCGATTCATTCTATGCGATTACATTTGGCCGGTTATGACTTTTCTCGTATTGCATACAACTTTGTATGCTATCACATGAGACATGAGCAAACTAGCGCATTTGAAAGAGGTGCAAGGGGCAGGCACGTAGCCACGGGGGGGGGGGGGGGGGGGCACGTGCCCCCCTAAATTTCCAAGATCGTTTGAACTTTATTAGACTCCTTTTTTTACCTCGATCGATTACATGTATGTGCCCCCCCCCCCTCCCCCCCCCAAAAAAAAAAACATCAAATTCTGGCTACGTGCCTGGCAAGGGGGACAATTCCCCCTAACTCTGACACAGAAAAGGGTCAACTTTTTTTGTTCACCCATTAGCACTTTTTTTCTTTTTTTTTCTAAAAAAAAAATTGAGGGGGGATTCGTTTGACCCCCCCCCCCCCCCCCCCCCTGCGTACGCGCCTGGGTCTGTGTAACTTAACTGCATATAGAACACGACTTAATCTATTTTTCTCATTTTAGATCGGTACTCAAGCAAGTTTATTTTGTACGCGACAATATAACGACAATACTCGTGTGCAGAGTGCAGACATGCACCGATCGATCCTCTTCAACGAAGTATGAACTTTTCATAAAACAAGGCATACACTTTTTGCGACAGTTGTTTTTTTCATCTCCAATTTTGCGATTTGTAATATCCCATCTTCTAATGTCGCTCTACTTCTTTCTATATTTCGCTCTGGCTACTCTTTACTCTATATCCCTTATATTTATACCCTCTACACTCCCATACCACCCCGTGTATATATCACCCCTTCTCTCTCTCTCTCTCTCTCCCTCTGTAACACACTCACACTCTCTCTCTCTCTCTCTCTCCCCAGAATAATTATCTGTCTCTCAATACTTCTGCCTTTGTCTCAATCTCGATCTGCATGTTAAACTCTCTGCCCCCTCTCAATTCTCCTTTATCTCTTACTATATATCTCCCTTGCCTCTAGTATGTGCGGCTCTACATCATAATTCATCATTATATACACGTGTATATTACACATTGTTTTGCACACACCACCATGACAACACGCTTTCAACTCACTTGAGCATGTCGAGTTTGACTCGGTCGTCATATTCCTCCTCGCAGATCATCACCGCTGCCTTTTTCCAATCCTCCTCGTCCAGGTTATCGGCATCGTGATCGACCACCTTGCCTACGGTCAGCAGGTCGATTTCTGCCTCGAAAGCGAAGTAGTATGTGTCGAAGAAGATATCGATGTCGGGAACGAAGCTCACGCATTTGCAGAAGACCGATGAGATTGACCTAGGCGTACACCACATCATAACACGGGCCTGCTGACTTGGTGTTGGGCCCGCCATTTTGGAAATGTTCATATATTCGGGATATACACGCACAATTTGCCGCGGAGTCTGCACGAAATATTCCTTCTTATATAGAGAACACAGCTATAGCGTTGGAATAAAGGTAGCTGGGTTAGCCTTGTCGACCTTTATACATGTCTTTGAAACAGGACGTCCCTGGATAATCTCTCTCTCTCTCTCTCTCTCTCATACACCCACACACATACACTGACGCTGAGTCTCTCTCTGTCTGAGTATATTATATATATATATTCATATATCTGTTATTTCTGTCTATGTATATATCTTTATGCGTCTATCTGTCTCTCTCTGTCTCTATCCACCCTCTCTTGCTCTTTATATTCCCCGTTCTCTTTCTCGCTCCCCTGAGCATGGGCCTACTACTGAATGACAATCCTTTTCTCTCACTTCCTCCCGGTAACTGTAAGATAAGAAAAGATAAGATATTTATTCGTCTTTCTTTCAAATGATACATAACATTAGATCATTACTGCCTTACTTCTGTCTTCCTCAGAGCAAATAGAGTCCCTCTCTCTCTCACTGTCTCTCTTTTTTGTTCTCTCTCTCTCTCTCTCTCTCTCTATCTGTCCCTCTCCCTCTCTCTGTCTGTCTCTCTCTCTCCGTCTCTCTCTCTCTCTCTCTGTGCCTCTAACTATTACACGTGTACATACATAACTATAGTCTCCGTTCATTTAATTTGTGCTCGAAAAGGTGTCTCTCTCTCTCTCTCTCTGTCACAGCAATACATGTATATCCTATTTTTCTCCCCACCACATAATCTCTTATCATGTAAAACATGACATGCAGCTGCACTAATGTCCTTTGGCAAGACATTGATCTACATTTGCCACACTCCACCCAGGTGAAGTAAATGGGTACCTGGTAGGAATTTATTCCTTGAAACGCAGCGCGCGTAACAGCTGCACTGCTAAAGCCAGGGTAATTATGCTGCATTATTGTAGAGCGCTTAGAGACTTCTGACAAAGTAAGTGTTAGGCTCTATATAAGCACTGTAATTATTATTATTAAATAGAACATACATTTTTGTACTGAATGCAACTAAAATTCATATTCATAAAGAAAAAAGATTGAATGCCGTATTTTTATGCATTTACTGTGACTCTGTAATGTTTAAGCGCATTTATTTAATTATTTACCCTAACCACTATAGCTGGTGTTTTTAAAAAAAATATTTGTTAAATAAAACCAATTAATTTGATTGCAAGATTATATCGTTAATTATTTTTAAAAATGCAATAAAGTACTCTACTCTATTCCTACTGAAATTATTTTAGTTTTTTCATTGATTCATTTTGTTTTTGTTTTTGTTTTTGTTTTTGTTTTAGGCGCATCTTTTTTAATAATAATAATAATAATAATAATAATAATAATAATAGCCTAATAGTCCACTCCAAATTTTATTAAACCGAAACGGAAATAATAATAATAATAATAATAATAATAATAATAATAATAATAATAATAATAATTCAATATTTTCTTTTTTTTTAATAACAAATAGTGTTATTTTAAAAAGGTATATACTTATGTTTAATTTGATTTTGGATTGCATTATTCAATTTATGTTTTTATACTGTTATTGTAGGCTATTAGGCATGGCTTTCTTGAAAAGCATGTCAACTGGCTTCCAGTGGAACTGAATAAAAACTACCCTGTTGAAAGAAATCATGAAAAAATAAATAAATAAATGATTGTTATTTTTTCGTTAACTGACAATTTTTGTGAAATATTTCAGTCTCTGGCTGTCAAGATAGGGGTAAACACACATTTGCAATTTTCTTCTTCTTTTTTCTTTTCTTTTCTTTCTTCCCACTTTTTATTTAGATACTTGATTTTTTTAAATATACATGACACTCTGTTCTCTTACTGTATATACTTCTATAACAGCGTCATGTACCCCCTTCCCGGCTGCTATCGACTCAAGCATTCAGGCTTATAATAGTTGCCTCTGCATTTATCTTTTTTTTTTCCTTCTTTTTCTTTATGTGTTTTATTGAAACAATAAAAAAAACAATCACAATATTTACAAGTTATTATAAAAAGATTACAAAAAAGCAGTACAGCGTAGATCAAAACCTCACGAAAAGTAGATGTACACTAAGATGCAGGCAGTTGCATGCGCATGTACCTATACAACATTATAAAACAACATTATAAAAAAACAAACTTCCATTTTTGAAAGTGCAATGGCAGTTTGTTTTCTTTTTTGCAATACGATATTCAAGACCTTTATTAATATAATAGTCAATGTAAGTTCTGATACCCTGAAAATTGGGTATTTTACTTTGAAATTTGCATAAATAAATGTAGTATTTAAGCATAATAAATAAATACGTCAAAAACATATCCTTTTCATAGCCAAACATTCTATTGAAACATTCACTACTGTATTAATCTTCTGAATAATAGTTTTAATGGTGTCATCCCAAATGGGTTTTACAGTCTGAAATTCGATGAAAAGATATAGGTAAGTCTTGGGTTCATTATCGCAAAATGAATGGCGAATTCTTTCGTTTAATTTTGAACAAGAAGTTATTTAATGCTATGGCTTCATGAAATAGTTTGAAATAGAATGAACGAATGCAAGTGCTTATAGAACATTTGAAATTATCAATATGAATCTTGTCCCAATTAACAGGGTTAGGGTCTGAAAGTTCTTTCCAGAATGTTAATTTCTTTTCGGAAACGTGTGGCTGTAGAATGACATAATAAACATAGGCCTATTTGGGATTTACCACCATAAAGTTTCAAGTTTTCAATTATATATATATATATATATATATATATATATATTTTGCATTTCAGTTTTAACAGTTTACGGAAATCAATTATATTATATGCTATCATTGTTAATTGAGTATTTTTTAATTTTTTGTATTAAGTGCAGAAACATCTGCAAAAATAGATTAAAAATACAGTTAATGCAATGGAGTGCAGTAGACCTTTCTGGAAGTATAACCTCAGACACTAATACGCACTGCCACTGGGACAGTAACTAAAAGATATCATTAAATCATGCACACAAGGGAGGAGGGCTTTTCTTGTTACACATTTTAAACCCGGGCACTGTTTGCATCTCTCACATCAGCACAAAACGATTGATTTTAAACTAAAGCAAAATCATCACTATGAGGTGAACTGCGGACCTATGCGTTTAAATTCGAGAGTCATACATTTCTTGATAGTAAGGCATGACTGCTTCGACACATTCTTTCACATCTTCAGTCAGACTATCCATTTCTGTGAGAGGGGAAGGAGGGAAGAAGTGTGTGGTATTAAAAGAATTCTTGCAATAAATTCGGATAAACTCAAAATCATTGGAAGGGGAAAAAGCGCTTATCCAACTGTTTGTGGTATCTGGACTTTCAGGCCACTTAAGTAGGTTATCCGAGTAGGGGATTCCAACCGCGGTGCAAAACCGGGGTAGCATTGTGGCCGGGTCGGATAAGAGATCGTCGCTGTCCAAGACAACCGGATTCGGATCGTAATTCAGCTTGACGTGTAACCAGAGATCATAGAGCTCTTTGAAGAAGTGTCCAGGTGGTGCATATACTACCGGCAAATCCTTAACTATGTGGAAAGATTCTGACCTTGTTCCATTTGGTTCCGAACCGTTCGGATCCTGATCCAGGTCCAACATTACTTTTCGCCAAGATGCGAATACCTTCCTCGGATGCCGGAGCAGAAAAACGTGTCGGTAACCGCATGATTTGTCGGGCAGGAATTGGTAGCGACCATCAATGCAATAAGCCATATCTTTTAAGAATACCACTTCTTTTTCCGGATCTGGGTTTTCCAACAGCTCTTTAATGTAAGGGTACCTGAAAAGGGATAAAAAACCGAAACAAACATAAATTATGCCTGATATATGTAGGCCTTTTTGAGCCTTGATCATATTATTCATAAGGATTTTGCGCATTATCATAAAACATTATACATATTGTTATTATTGTTATCAATATTATCATTACCATTGTTATTGTTATATTTGTTTTTAATTGATTTCATTATTATTCCCATTATCTAACACGATTGTAAAAACTTTCGGCAAATCAGTTTGAAGCCATTTCAATAGCCTTGTCCGTCACCAATTGAAATGTGAGAAATTTGCAACAATGACGTACCCCTCCGGAGTCCGGACAACTATAATAATTATATGGAATGTACAATAACTAGGGTATACCTGAATTGCCCTTGGCTTGATTTCTCGAAGTCTTTGCGATCGTGATTGTGCTTCAATATCGCTAGCATATTTTTTTGTTTTAAAGGTACTATGTCCCATTTGCAGGCCAAAAAAATGAAAAAGCTTAATTCCAACTGCATTTAAAAGATAATACTAATTTAGAACTTCCCTAAAAAGGTGGGGCTTGAAAATGTCTTCAATTGGGAAAATAACGACTATTAGTTGTCAAATCGACTTTACGGCTATAGAGCCCAAAAATAATAGTTTTGATTTTCAGACAATTGTACCGAATGGTCATACGTTTTATGCTGAGCAAAGATTCAATCAGTTTAATCTTGGCCATCACAAGAAGTAGGTTATTGATGTAGACAAATGCTCATGTACCCTTTACAACTCTTTTCATGTATGTTATTACCAAAGAAGAAAAAAAAGCCAGTCAGTCACTCAATAGTGTCTGACAGTGAAGTCTAGCAAGTAAACGGATTTCCTTGCATAATTTGAATATGAGGACACTGCTAACGTTTAAATTTCACAGCTAGGACATACATGACATATTCATACTTCCTGCAAAGTTCTACAGAATTTGAGGTTGGCTGCAAAAGGGACATAGTACCTTTAAATGATATTTTATTTCCATCCTCGTAATTTCACATAACAAGAAATTCACATAACAAGAAATTATCAAAATAAGCAATATAAAACAAGATTTTTGATACAAGACACTTCATGAACATAGAAAAAATCTCAGATTCTACACGATTTCACATTTTCTTTCTTTCATGTAACAGTGTATAATCAAAATAACAGTTGAGGAAGGTTTAAAGTTACATAGTACCATCCTGTCACACACTCTCACACCAACAAACCGGTAGGCACTTTTTAGGCGACTCTGACGTGAGGCGGAAGTGAATTCACAGTAAAGGTCACACGAAGCCTAATAAATATTCATGAGGCAAATGTTACTGATGGTCACACACACTCATCTCACTCTACGTTCGCCTCACCTCACTGTATGTTCGCCACATAGTAAAACCAACAGGACTCTGTCTTTGTTTGCATAATTGAATTGTTTTAAATTCTATATTCTAAAGAAGGCCCTATTATTTTCATTAAATTCGTGTTGCGCGCAATAATTTTACGTTCACTCTTGCTAAATAAAATGCTTCATTAAGATAAATAACGTTGATTGTTTTAATTCAGTATAATTATGGTACATCATTCTACGTTCGCCTCACCTCACTGTATACGTTCGCCACATAATTCTCTCACATGCCAACATGATTTATAGTTTGCATTGAATTGTTTTTTAATTATATAGTCCAGATTAATAGGCCTATAGGAATATAATTATTGTGCCAAATCTCATGTTAGTGACCTGTAAAGAAATCATTAAGAGAAGTGAAACATAAATGTTTTAATTTCTTATAGGCCTGGTACCTCACTCTACGTTCGCCTCACCTCACTGTACGTTCGCCACATAATTCTATCTAAGGTAATCCCACATGATTTTGTTTGAATTGAATTGTTTTTAATTCTATAGTTCCCAATTAATAGGCCTATAGGAATGTAATTATTGTGCAAAATCTTATGTTAAAACCTGAATACAGAAGAGAAAAATGGAACATAAATGTTTTAATTCACGTAGGACCTACATACCTCACTCTACGTTCGCCTCACCTCATTGTAAGTTCGCCACATCATTCTCTCTACCGTTCAACATGATTTTGTTTGCATTTAATTGTTTTTAATTCTTTATTGGCCGGATTAATAGAACTATAGGAATATAATTATTGTGCCAAATCTCAGAACCTTAATATCTAATAAATGAAACATTCATGTTTTAATTATATATGCCTACATCACTCTACATTCGCCACATAATTCTCTTTATCCAGGCATGACCTAATTGTTTGCGTTGAAATGTTTTGAATTATATAGTCCAGATTTAGTTATAGGCCTATGATAAGTATAAATGCATGTTGTGTATTCTTCTTTTTCTACATACTTGTATTGAGGGTAGCTGCCCTCATGGGGCGTCTCTAAGGGGGATGTGCGGGGTGCGACCACCACCCCCCCCCCCCCCCCCCACAAGCACATTTATTAAATCTCTGCCAAGATTCGCTGAAAGACTTTCAGTTCAGGTTACAGTTTTAGGTGTGCCAAAAGTTTTTATTATAATGTGTATTGTGTATGTATTATGTATAAAGAAATGTGTCTTTCTTGTACAATCTAAAGCAGCCCCCAACCCCCACCCCACAAAAAATCTCTCCTTGTTTAGTTTGTAAGATAAACAAAAGGAAAGGTTTCTGGTTGTTTAGTGTTAAAAGGTTCTATGGAAATATCAAAGTGATGTCCCTAATATGTATATATACTATTTGTGATGAGGGAAATGCTTGGGGTGGGGTCATATACTTACCTAATGTAAAATACAGGGATGTGCCTCTCTAATACATGAGATGAGAACAAGTTTGGTGTGATAGTTTGGTGTGATGCTTTAATAAAACAAAAATACATCATATTTCGTTCAAAGAACAGGAGAGTTCCCGGAGACATTAATGACATTTCTGTTAACAACATAGTCCTTCAACGTGTACATTCACTATCCTTTCTTGGTGTTACTATAGACGAATTCCTGGACTGGAAGACCCACATTAAAAATGTAACTTTGAAAGTATCTGGCAGCATTGGAGTATCATCAAAATTAAAATTTACCGTTCCCCAAAATGTTCTAATGTTATTATACAACCCGATAGTATTACCCCATTTATCTTACTGCAATATAGTGTGGGGAAATTGATATTTATCTCATCTAAATAAAATGGAAATACTTCAAAAGAGGGCGATTCGAATTTTAACATATTCAATGTATAATTCTCATACGAGACTATTATTTAGCAGAATGAAGATTCTTCCTGTCCAAGAACTAATATCACTTAATACTTGTATATTAATTTTATGTTTCATTTCCACACTGGTAATCTTCCACACATTTTTCAAAACATGTTTATTAGAAATTCATCCGTTCATTCACATAACACAAGGCAAAAAATGTTATTACACAAACCCCCTGTACGTACTACCCATGCACTGAAATCATTAAGAAATGTGGGAATAAGCAAATGGAATGATTTAAACGAGGATATAAGATCAAGTTCAACTTTGTCTAGGTTTAAAGTTTTGTGCAAAGGGGAACTATTTATTAATTTGTAAAACTGGGTAGGACTATAAGTTTTAATATCACATTTCGCATTTTTCATGTGTTTCCTCTTCTTCCTTTTTATTTTAAATATTCTACTCTCTTCTTCTCTATCTCTCTCTCTCTCTCTCTCTCTCTTATAATATGCTTTAAACTACATTGCATTGTGTGTGTGGGTGTGTGTGTGTGTGTGTGTGTGCGTGTGTGTGAGAGTGAGTATGGCTGAGTGTGTTTGCAAGATATTTGTAATTGTTTTGTAATAAGTATGAATATACATGTATCTCTTTTTTTGTTTTGCTTGTTATAGCATGTTTTTATTATACAGTATGTATTTAATTTGTTAATGGGCCCCATTTACAAGCTCTGCTTCTCAGGGGTTCATAGCCTGTCATCATATTATAATTATTGTTCCAGTACAAGGCAGTGTCATTGTAAATTGTTTTTAATGATTGGCTGAATACATTGAAATTGAATTGAATTATGAATAGAGAGAATATGAGTGGCGAATGTAGAGTGAGGTGAGGTGAACGTAGAGTGAGGTGTAGGCCTTTAGTAAATGTAAACATCTACTTCTGTATATTTAGGTCCTAATATGAGATTCGACACAATTAATATATTCATATAGGCCTACTAATCTGGACTATATAATTCAAAAACAATCAATGCAAACTAAATTATGTTGGATTTTTTAGTGTTAGAGAATTATTTGGCGAACGTACAGTGAGGTGAGGCGAACGTAAAGTGAGGTGTAGGCCTTTAGTAAATGTAAACATCTACTTCTGTATATTTAGGTCCTAATATGAGATTCGACACAATTAAAATATTCATATAGGCCTACTAATCTGGACTATATAATTCAAAAACAATTCAATGCAAACTAAATTATGTTGGATTTTTTAGTGTGAGAGAATTATTTGGCGAACGTACAGTGAGGTGAGGCGAACGTAAAGTGAGGTGTAGGCCTATATACAGTGAATTAAAGCATTTATGTTTCTTTTCCCTTAATGACTTCTGTGTTTAGGTTTTAACATGAGATTTTGCACAATAATTATATTCCTATAGGCCTATTAATCGGTGACTATAGAATTCAAAACAATTCAATGCAAACTAAATCATGTTGGATTTATGTGACGAACGTATAGTGAGGTGAGGCGAACGTAGAATGAGGTGTCATCATAGAGATATATACTTAATAGTATATATCTCTATGGGTGTCATATACTGAATTAAAACAATCAACGTTGAATTTTATTTAGCAAGAGTAATTATTGCTCGCAACACGTACGAATTTAGGGCTTTCTTTAGAATATAGAATTTAAAACAATTCAATTATGCAAACAAAGACAGAGTCCTGTTGGATTTACTATGTGGCGAACATACAGTGAGGTGAGGCGAACGTAGAGTGAGATGAGTGTGTGTGACCATTAGTAACATTTGCCTCATGAATATTTATTAGGCTTCGTGTGACCTTTACTGTGAATTCACTTCCGCCTCACGTCAGAGTCGCCTAAAAAGTGCCTACCCAACAAACCCAATGAATTCGATTGCATATGGCTCCGAATAGTCTCATTGGACAACGCCCCCTATCGTCAGAGTCCAGCAGCCTAACATGTTAGCCTACTGACTTTTACCCCCCAAAATCGTTAAAAATTCATTAAAAAAGCACATCCATCCGACATACGTTGAAACTAGCTCTTTCATTTGAACCCTCATGTCCCATTAACTTTTCAAAGTTCCCCCACCGTAATTTGGTCAAAATAGGTCGCTAGCTCGCAATTGCCTATATAACACATGTGAAACAAGTCGAACTTTGGACGCAAATTGCCACGCGATTGTAAGGTTATAGGTCAAGCACACGAAGGATAAGAAGCATGAATTATCATAGATCAGTTCTGATCGGTTCATTATGTCCATTTCAGCCAACCCCCCCCCCCCCACCGTAATTTTTCCATTTAGTATAGGCAAGCATTTTGCCGACGTAAGCAAAAAAATGAATTTTCACGATTATTTACAGAGGGACGAAATTGTGCACCACATCAAACTCCCCTACTTTAAGTCAAGTATTTCAATGTATTGTGTAGTTTGGTAGGTTTATTTTAATAACTGTTTAATTATCAGATATCATTGATAGTTTAAAGATGTGGAAAATATTCTTGTATTCTATATTTAGCAAAGCAATCTCACATACAAATTCACTACCAAGTGTCGTCTAAACCGCCGATTGCCGTCTGCTATGTACGTCCAGCGAGTGAAAATGAGACAACCGTAGCAATATGGTCTATTGCTAGTTCTATATATGCCCTGTTAGGGTGGTCTTTTTTCTTCTTTTTCCACTGATTCTACGGAATATCCGAGTGATTTGAATAGGGCCATCGGAACGGCTTGAGGATGAACTGGACTTTGGACTCAAGAGTTAGACAGTACAAACATGCCACCGTCGGAGACCCTACTTATTTGTCAAAAGCTTATTTGTCAAAACCTAATTTCTATTTGTCCAAGCTTGAAAAATGCCATATACAGATATAACAGAGGTATTAGTATAATTTATAGATATTGGGGGGGGGGGGGGTGGTTAGAGGGATGTTAGGCCCAATAGCGGGGCGCCATGCAGTGAGGGATTATAATAGAGGTGTGATGGTATGTAGAGTTGTGGTGCGCTAGTAGATACGTCACTGGACAATGGATCAGGCATGGTGTGCGGTTCGATTCCCTACGACACTTACGCCCTTTGGCAAGACATTAATCTACATTTAACGCTCTCCTCCCAGGTTTATCTTCAAGTTTCAAGTTCAAGTTCATTCGACTTTCTCCCAACAATAAGATCATATACAGCAGTTAAAGTAACGCATACAGCCGTTTACAGGTATTAATGAATTAATATGGAGTGCATGAGAACATAAGAACAGCATGTATATTTAATATGGGTACATATGGGGTACTAGGTATAAATCTATTCATTGAACAGCGCATCAGGGCAGCTGTGCTCACTCAACTTGACTCAAGGTAGGGTATAACCATGAACCCTGGTATAACACTAGTCAGGGGCGGCGATCCGAGGGTGGGTGCGGGGGGGGGGGGACCGTTGTCCCCCTCATTTTTTTTTAGGGGGGAATCGTCTCCCACCCGGAATATTAGAAAAAGTGCAAAAAATAAATGTATAGCAAATACTGAATAAAGACTGCAACACATCTTTAGGATCTGGAACGAAAAAAAAAATCTTATCGCCCCCACGCAAAATATCATTCGAAAGGTACAAGTAAATATTCTAGAAAATATGTATTCCGTTGGTATAGTAAGAGTGAAGTGTAAAAAAAAGTATATTGCTTGTTTTTATACTTTAGTTTTGCAAAGGAATGTAATTTTTTAACTTAACAATAAAATTTCAAAAAACCTGTGATCATTGCCGTAACCTTCGCCCCACTCGTTCACTAAGGTCCCTCGTCCCTCGCATTTAGCCCCCCCCCCCCCGATCATGAAAAGAAATCGCCCCCTGACAATAATATTTTGTAGGCGGTGATATAGATCATCTTCTGGTTTGGCCCGTAGTTAACATGAATAACAAGGGTTACAATCACTTGATGCTACTGTGAGGACTCACTTCATCTGGTCGAAGTCTGGTTTGCCCTCTTTGCTACAATCACCACCGCTGATCATGTTTGCAGTCGTCCACCAGTCCTTCATCTCGACATCATCGTATGACTTCATCGACGACGGATCAATGTTGATCCCTATGCTCTTCAACCTATACGCATGGGAAATTGATAAACCGTAGAATATATCAGAAGTATATATATAGGACATATACACAGGGGCGGATCCAGGATCCAGGATTTCTCGGGGGGGGGGGGGGGAGGGAGCCCCAAATTTGAAATCAATTCAAAATTTAGTATCCTGCTGAAATTTGAAATCGTGACGGCCGATATTTCGCTCAGTGAGGGGGGGGGGGGGGGGGTCTTTTTGCCCTTTTTTTGCCCCCGGAAATTCGAAAATCGAGCCGGTCAATATTTCACTTAACATCCCTCCCTCCTTGAGCAAAAAAAAAAAAATCTGATCACAATTTATATTTTTACTTTTTTTGGGGGGGGGTGGCCCGCTCGCCCCCCCCCCATGTATCCGCGCCTGCATATACATAAATACATATATTTATACAATCGGACATGGTAGGTCTCAGTCTCACAGGCGGCCCAAAACTCTTCGTCGCGTCCGGAGAGAGCAAATTTTTATTGGCCTTTGATGGCGGACGAACGAGAAAAAATAATTTTTTGAAAAGACAAGAAAAGAAAGAAAGAAGGGTAATTCAATTTGTGTATATTACCTGGTCAAACATCGCCGCGGGGGCACTTTTATTTTTTCGATACTTAATGTGAGTTCAAGATAATTATGAGAGATTGAGTTCATTGTTGGGGGTATGTGCCCCTACCCCGCCCGTACTACTCCTGGACTTGTAACCTTATGAAATGCATATTTATATAATTCATAATCGAAGGCATTTATGCAGAGAAACGCAATACTAAAGATGATCGTAACAAAGGCATGGCTGTACGAAAATGTGATGCCTCCGCCATTGAAAAGTTGTGAATGCGTCTTACATCCCTATTCCTGAGCTCCTACAAAGGTTAGTTGCTAGTAAAAGAAAAAAAATTGTCTTCGATCTTCAAAAAAAAAAAATAAGTGCGGGGAGGGGGATGACATTTCCCTCTCTTTTGCGTAATTTAAGGATTTAAAAGGGGCAACGTAATGCCCACGCCCCCCCCCCACCGATCGCAAGAGATGTCTGTATAGAGTTCGAATGAGTTGATAAGTTTGATTACTTTTCTCAAGAATGCCAGCTACCAATGATGTCACTTCAATGGCTGAGTTTATGTTGAAAAGCAACATTTCAAACCACATGTTGTTTCGCTCAAATACAAAGTATTTAAAAATCAATTAGGGCCTATACTTGAAATGAACATAATTATCGAGTATAACAAAAATATATATGGGATCTTATACAACGTCATGTATCACTTAATTACCTTTCTATGGCCTCGTTGCAGAAGTAGTATGGTTCAAAGAATACCTGCGTTTTCGGCACAAAACTCAGACATTTAGTTAAAATGGTCGACGTTGTCCTGGGCGTACACCAGAGCATTACTCGAGCCTGGTGGCTAGAATCCGTGGTCGTTGATCGGATTCCGGAGGTCGCCGATGTTGAGTTTGATGAGGACTGTGGTTCAGCCATGTTTTACCAAATCAAAATAGATTTTATACACTTGCTATATGCTAGAAACTTAAGTGAATGCGATCCGCTGTACAACATTCCAGAATCGGCAATATTGTAGTGGGTTCGTCTATATAGCGCTCAGGTCGGTCGGATTCTGCACACCAGGGCCTTTGATATCAATAGCAAGTTACAAGCTACTGTTATAAGCTTCTGAAACCATGGCATCTGATTGGCTAAGAGCACATTTGTCATAGAAATTTAGCTGTTATTATAGATAACAAGTTTTATGATATGGGCCCCTGGCACTCTACAACTATCATTACTTCGACTTTAACATGGCTGCTACCGGGGGCTGCTATAAATGGCGCACCAGACGTTTTTTTTTTTTTTTTTTGGGGGGGCGGAGTTAGGGTAGCCGCCCCCAAGTAAGGAGTTAAAGTTCCGATGTTCGGGCAATCACTAGAGCTCCTATAGGGCTGATATCGAGCGAGGTGCTCGAATGTACAATATTAAGGATGCTTTAAAATGACCATGATGACGTTTTAATTCTACATAATCACAGTCTAATATTATAATCCTAAAACCCTTTTTTTTTGCGCTGCTAAATATCACCTTTACCTATACATGCTCTATCATAATTATTTATCAGTATTGTTATAACGAAACATCCCTTGTATGAAACATCCCCCAACTCGCCCTCAATTAATAACCTTCCCGTACGCACAATGCTCATTGTAATTTGTATATCATTGACCTCATAATAGGCCAGTTTCGTTATGTAACCAAATGTAATGCATAAGTCTTTGTGAAGTGCCTCAATACATATTATTTCATTCACCTGACAAGAATAATAGTATTTCAATAAACAGAATCCGAACTGCATATATTAGTTGTTGCCAGGTTGGACAAACATTATGGCTTGACCTACCTAGCAACACTTTATATATGTAGTTTGCATTCTAACTATTGAAATACTATTATTCTTATCAGGTGAATGAAATAACTTGTATTAAAGCGCTTCACAAAGACTTATGCATTAAATTTGGTTACATTACGAAAATGTCCTATTAAACGAACAGATGATGATTAAAGCATCTCAATCAAAAGACACCGCACAACTAAATGAAAATGTGCTTAAAGAGAAAGAACAAAATTCATAACTTTTGCCAACCCGTTTCTCTTAATCTTCTGCTTTTACGCAAACAATTGCAAATGTTGAATTCATCCTTTGGTCTTCAGGTATTCACAGGGCACGAATCTGACCTCTGGTCGGGGACAAAGTCTAATCTGCAGGTATGGGAATCGTATGTCCAGACACTATGAACATGACAGACAAAGAAAGCGGACAAAATATACAGTTCCTCAGGTAGACAAAGGAACATCCCTTCACTGCTATTGTGTAAAAAGGTGAATATGCAAGTGACACCTGTTCTACACATGTTTACATAATAGCAGTGAAGGGATGTTCCTTTGTCTACCTAAGGAACTGTATATTTTGTCCGCTTTCTTTGTCAGTCATGTTCATAGTGATAGCCCTAAAGTCGATTTGACAACTAATAGTCGTTATTTTCCCACTTGAAGACATTTTCAAGCCCCACCTTTTTAAGGGAAGTTCTAAATTAGTATTATCTTTCAAATGCAGTTGGAATTTAACTTTTTCATTTTTTTGGCATGCAAATGGGACATAGTACCTTTAATACTCAACCCCAGGGGCGGCGATTTCTTTTCATGACCGGTGGGGGGGGGGGGGGGCGGCGATCGTGCTAGGGACGAGGGAGCATATATAGTGTAAACTGCGCTTACATGATACCAACGGAAAACAGATTTTCCACAATATTTACTTGTATACATTATGAAGGAGGGAGCGTGAATATTTTTTGCATTTGTATTAGTATAAACCCTGCACTCTTGCCTCCACCCCCCCCCCCCCCCCAAGCCTAAAAGTGTGTTGCAGTCTTCAGTCAGTATTTGCTATACATTTTTGGAGGGCACTTTTTCAAATCTTCCGGTGGAAAAATCCCCCTAAATAAATTGAGGGGTGGGAGCATGTCCCCCGTTCCTCCCCCTCTCTTTTTCTCTCTCTCCCTCTTATACACCACCATTATTTCTTTCACCTTTACATGACCATCACATACATACAACAGGATTTTACCCGCAATACTATTTCTACAGAAAAACATGAGTGTAAAGCAAACAAATTGGAATATTCTTTTTACAATTATTATATTGAATTGCATTGAGGTATAACATTTCTCATATTTTCAAGGATAGAAATGCTCATCTCATCAACCAGTTATCATCTACTAAAACAGCATGCATCTCGGAGGTCAAACATTATGAGCATTGTTAAATAAGTATATTTTCAGCATAGTCCGCCCCAACATACCTCATAATGAGGGAAGTAGCCTGGTTGACCAAAATACATTGTACACCAGTATTTGAGACTCGTAACATAGGAACGCTAGTCCAACAATTAGACAATGCAATGCACTGTGGGATAAGATTCATTCACTAATGTTAAATAGTTTTCCAAAGTACATGAACTACAACAATTTCTTTTGAAGACACACCAAGAATGTGTTCTTTTATCCCTTCAATGCCTCATTCACATTCGACTGAAAATTCACTTCATCAACTATGCTGAGCTAAACCTGTTAGATAATAATAGGGCTCTTCAAGTATCAGATGATTCATCCCTATTGCATTACATGTACTTATTTTTAATGTGGACCTTTGAGATCATGTCAATATTGGCATGCATTCACTTCACAAACCCCTTTTCTGACATGTTTGGCCTTATCGTAGAGTATAGTAAGTACAAATATCATTTAACAAAATAACACAATGTAACTGCACCACCATGCATCTAAATTTATACACTTCTTCTAACTGACTTTTCTCCCAGAAGAACACAAATATTATAATTGCCCTGTCCCACACACTACAAACCAAATCAATATATAATAGATATAATATAGAAGCTTTAGAATGCTGATTTACATCCAACATCACATTAGTAGGCCTACTACCTTTAGTACTATAAGTAAATAAACACATGTAACGATTAAAAAATGGTATATATCTTTAATAATATTTAAGCCAAATATCATTACATCCAGCAGAACTTATATCAAACAAATAGCAAATGGCGAAGTCCATGTCTGGCAGCACGTAAGTCAATAAGTTAGCTGTCCACTTTTGAGTACACTGACCACATTATCACATGGAAGGTGGGTTGTTTTGTCTCATGCTTATATACTGGAGTCTTTACTCAGACATTTGACTGGAGATCGATACGAAGGGCATGGGTTCAATGCCCAAAACGATACTTAGGTCCTCAGGAAAGGTATTTTATCTACTTTGCTTCTCTACACCCATGAGTAAAATGAGCACCTGGAGACATGCGTACCGAAACTCATTGTCGTTTGTTCAGCGTTGTTAGGCACTGTATAATTGCACATAGCTGGATTAATGCTCCTCATGGAGTGGAGAATGTGCAAATAATGTGCACATGATATTAGCCCCCAAGCTGAGAAGCGATAATGTGTGAGGGGCAAGTCTAAATATGATATCTCCAAAGACAATGTCAATGTATTATCAATGTTATGAACAACACAAATCCAGAATTACCTAATTTCTCTATAACCACTCATCATAAATGATTCATAATAAAGTTGAACTAAAGTGGTCTTGATTATGGTAAATCAATTTGACACAATGGTGAATATCTATTTCTCACTATTATCTAAATTCAAAGGTACTTTTTGAGGTAGATTAATGAGGACATGTTCTAGATTTAGCCGTGTGAGATATTAGAACCAAAAAGAAGGGAGAAAAAAAAAGAAAATGAAAGGAGGAATGGGTGAACAAAGTAGGAAAACTGCAAGAGAGTATTCGCTTGGTTTGAATACCGGTATCATAATGCAGGCCTTTTTTGTACAGTCTAAAAAACGATGAAAGCATGCAGATTTACATGTATAGTATATATAGCCCTCGCATTACAATAGGTGAAGAGATGATAAATGCAATGTCTGTACATCTATATGGTAGGACAAGAGGGAGTAATTGAAAGGCTGAAAATGTGACAAGAAAATTGCTGTGATGGGGGTGAACGTTCAAACCCAGCCTCAGTAAACACACTCCTGAAATGGAAACTGAACAAGTACATGAGGACAAGTGCTAGATACATTGCATTAAGAAAGTACATGGGCTGGCATGCATATTCATGCATGATAGAACAGGGAAAGCAAAACAAAATCATAACAATCACCTAAAAATTAATGTGTGTACAATCATTACAATATTCAACTTGAAAGAACTTGACCCCCGCAATATACAGTGTATAGGCTAAGGAGGGAGTCGGGCTAACTCGGACCAGGGGACAACTCGGCCCAATTACAAAAACGGTCAGTTTTTGCATGTTTAGGTTTAGGGTTAGGTTTAGGGTTAGGGTTAGAGTTAGGGTTAGAGTTAGGGTAAAATGACAAAAAATGACCGTTTTTGCAGCTGGGCCGAGTTGTCCCCTGGTCCGAGTTAGCCCGGATCCTTAAGGAGTACCGTATGAAGAGTACCAAGTCAGACTTGTGTACCTGTACAAATCGGGTAAGGGTGTGTTGACTAGTCTACTCACAAGTTGTTCTTATGTAAATCAAGATCATATTAAACAGAATTAAACTTGCAATATCTCTGTATAGAAGTAATATTTAAAGCTCATATTTTGAGGGTAGTATACCAACATGGAATCCCTGACATACAGAGCAAAATGTTTTTAGATGATTGGTACACTTTAAACATTTAATTCTTACTCAACTACAGACAGAATGCATCTGTGATAATAAAACTATGAAACATATTTGTCAGCAATAATATTATTAACTGTGCATGGTCACATGGCAGTTTATATATTCAGAGCAATGAGAAAATGTATGCCCAAAGAATAAATTTTGAGCTGTAAGATGGGTTGTGCATAAGTCCAAAGTAATGCAGTCTAATGATGAAAGTGTTTTGTAGTACCGGGTACATTGTACATTTAGGCAGAACAGAAAAAATACTTGTCCATCAACTTTTCAGATAAGAAAAATAACAGAAATGATGTTACCTAAGGAAATTTGAAACGTCTTGCATAGCATATAAAACCACAATTACATGTATGGCATGCAATTACTAGGCACACCCTATGCCAAGTCTCCTTTCCACAGCGTACTGAGAGACATAGTTGTGACACATGCACATGTACGTACTCGGGTTCAAAACATGGAGCTCAAAATAGTTCCCCCTTCATACAATCTCTATGGGAAGGAACTATTTCAGTGCTCCATGAATTGATCCTTGGGTGAGTATGCATGCCCATGTCACAACTCTCTCTCTCTCTCTCTCTCAATAGGCTATGCTTCTTTCTGTATATTGCCCTCTACCTTTTATTCATTTATAATTCATCCCCATCCTCCTAATCCACCATCATTCGTTTTCTCTTCCTATACAGCTTTAACAATTTGTTTTCTTTCAAATCTGATGAAGACAAACATAAAGCAAAGGATATTTTTAAAGAATACAATCAATCACACATATGACTTACTTCTAATTAATTCATTAATTTCTGCAAGTAGAAAGCAATGCAGCATTTCAAACATCTGGCATGCAAATGTACTTATGTGAAAAATCAACACATAAGTTGACATGTGTAAGGAGTTATACTAATATAATCTGAGTTTTCAATAATAAAGGAAAAAACAAACCTTTCAACAATCAATTGTATACAAGCCCTATACAAGCAACACAAATATTTTTTCATTACATTTACTTAAATTGTATTGAGATCCAATACATTTCAAGTAAATGTAAACATTTATCGATATCATAACAAAGTGAACACTATCTGCAGCATTTGTTTTTCCTTTGAACATTCTTGGCTTCAAAATATAAGACATCCCAACTGCATATGTATATGAATGATCAGAGCTCTATGCCTAGCAACAACATCAATTGGGGCAAATTACATGGTTATACATGTATAACAATTCTGTTTTAGGTATGAATATCTGAAAAAACAATAACATTTTATTATAGCTTATCACATTTTTATGGAAATTAATTGTACATGTACTGTACGATGAAAAAACATTCTTTGGGAAATTGCCTTAAATGAGAAAGCGTTATTTTTGTTAAGTTGGTTATCTTGTGCCAAATAAGTGAATAACTCAATAATATGTCAATGACTTGTATAAAATTTGACACTTGACCCCCTTTTACAAAAATACCTCATTGACCGATTTATGCGCAACTCTGATAAAATGATATCATGATGTGTACTTGAATCTGAATAAGACACATTGTCACATAATGTCCATCTATGAGTAGGTAATGAGGGATAGATGACGTTGTTTGGTGCAAAACCTGAATACATGCATGGTTGATCGGGGAGGTTAAATCTATCAACACTTTGGTATTCCTGCACTCACATTTTAAACTGACATCAAAGGTTGCATTGTTCATGTTCACAAACAAGGCAAGAAAAGATGACAAAATATTTTTTCAAAGTAAAAAATAAATTATGAAATCAATTCATAATTGAACAAAACAATCAAACTTTCAAGAGAACATGTCCACCCTCCACGTGTACAGTATATGAACTTTAAAGAGATGAACTTTCTCCTCGTCATTGCACAAGTACAGAAAGCTCACAATAAATCAGGCCAAAATCAGGAGCATTTAATGCACTGTCAAGTGTTGCTCACATAAGCTGAGGTAAACCACCAGTTTACTGAGGTTTTATTTTAATAAGTGTACTGTGCCTCAAATTGTAAAGTGAGTATGCAAGGATCATTGTTGCACAAACAACTTTTTTCATCCCTACTTGCCATATATTTATGACACACAGTCACACTCACAAAAAAAAAAAAAACTCAACATGGTTTCCTACAGCATATGTTAATGAGCCTTAACAGTACTTGCTTACATTATAAAGGAAGCCAAAGATAATTTGTAGAAATAGAAAGGTGTACGTTTTAGAGTTCAAATTGTTTTTGCGTATAACAAACCCATCTGTTTGAGAAGATGATTAAGACAGAATTTTGCCTGTAGTTGACAAAATGCTACAGAAATAGTGCTTTACCCTATCGGCTGAAGCTTTTGAACCCTTAATGATGTCACACTAAAATGCAATTTCACACCATTAGTCTGAGTTACATGTGAGGATAAAGTATTTGCAGATTAGATGTATACTCTTCTATTTATTCCAAACCCTTTTCACATTTCCATGTACTATATTAAACAAAACATTAGTTATCCAATCAAGACTTTACTCATCATTGTAGGAGAATATTTGTAATGAATGGTAAAATAATAATTGAAATCTGAGATATGCATGCAGCACTTGAAATTCATGAAATACATGAAAACATGATGATTCTCTTTCCCTGGAATTTTAGATTGCAGGTTACAAGAAATAGTTATTTTACCCCCAAAAGTCATGCATTGTAGAAAGATGTTGTAAAATTTCTTCATAATTCATGCAATCATGTAAACACAACTAAGGTGGTACAAAATAAATTTTAAAAGAATATATAATTCAAATTATTTCAGCATTAGTTAACATGATTCCTCCTATAATATGGACTATAGAATAAAAATTAAAAAATCACAAACCATAAATTTCATCATTACTGACAACGTTCACAATGTCACAGGAAGATTCTGTAGCTTCCTGTAATAATTCATCATGAACTCCAGCTCTGGAAAGATGTTTTTAAGATCTCGTAGGAAGCATTAATGATACCCCAGGATATCAGGGCCCGAGTAAAATTGAGATGGACTCCAAAGAACATGGCTCTCCAGCGGTAGCCGCGCTCTGCGTAGATCTGCCGAAATACGTACACGAAGGAACGGAACTCACCACCAACCTTGGACTGCATTCTCGTCTTAACCACGTTGACTGGAAACCATGCTGTACTAAGGATCGCACCAAGAATGGCCCCACTGATGAAATCATTCACAACCATACCCGTGTCTGTTTTCTGCTCAGGAAGCGCGGATCGGACCTTTCCACGCAAACTAAAGAAGAACACATTGCTAGGCCCGTTGCGCAGGAGGACAGCTGTCAGTCCACGATAACACTCCCGTATTCCAAGGGAATAGATAGTCCTGAGAGCATGGTGTGTGTTCCTAAATTTATTTTCGTTTCTGTGATCCTGAAGAAGTGTCTGAACACGCTCAAATGGTGCAAGAAGGGCTTCACAAGAACCTGGCAACAAATTAAGAATCACGACAATTACAATATTATTCTATGTACACTTGAGAAATTTGTTGACATATGAACTTACCTGTGTACGCCTTACCACCATTTTGACAATTTTTTTAGATATTGCAACAAAATAATTGCAAAGTAGTACACTGTAGCTGTAGAAGTAACTGTAATAATTTCCAAACAGACGCCATGAACAAAACGATATAACCATTCAACATAAGTAGAGAAAAATTTATTCACAAGTAGTAAGTTGCGAACTTGTGATAATTATCTAAACAATAAATTTACTCGCATGTACATTACTCAAATAAAGAGCCTGCATAAGCTGATAAAATAACTTCATGCTAATAGTTAACTCAATGCATATTAAGCCTGAGATAACCCTATTCAGATTATCATGGTTTAAACCATACAATGTAATTTAAACCTCATTAAGTACAATAACCACATGGTCAAAGTGATGGGCAATATACAAATGTATATGCTTACATCCTATATCCTAGTCCAAGGCAGAGGGGTTGAACCTATGGTTAACAATTAGTCATGGTTAAAATTTCAACTTCCTTGGATTTTTGGGGTACATGTAGCATCTCTTTCCTATCATTTCTTCCCCCCCCCTCAACTCTATGTGCATTTCTGTCTCCCTCTCTCCTTTACTTCCTCCCTCATTTTCTCCCTCCCTCCCTCCTTCACTGCCTGTCTCCCGGCCTCCCTTCCTCTCAATCTGCCACCCTCTCTCCCTTCCTGTACCTGCCTCTCTCTCTCTCTCTCTCTGTCACATGCAGTATTCTAAATGTATTCCTCTCAGTGTTACCCACCTGAAAGCAGTCCAGCTAGACAAAGAATCACAATTGGGTTGAGGCTAGGAAACTGGCTCTTGAAGATGCGGCTGAACTGCTCGTATGCTCCAAACATGACTGATACGGAACAGGTCTTCTGTAACAGTGGAGGTAGCACACCACGGTAGATATTATGTAGTCCCTCTCTGTTGATCTGGCGTAGGGCTTTTTTGGCACGAATTCCATGTAGTTGTTGGCGAAATAGCACCTGGAAGTTGAGAGATTTGTATTTCCTAAACTTAAGGTTGGAATAAATAATGCCTTAGGGCAATTCCACGGTAACGGAAGGACACTCAGACAAGATTTTTGAACTTCAGGTTCATACTAAAAGAACTTTTTTATTAGTATAAGATGTGAAACAGTACAGATATAATACCTATATAAGTGCCTTTAATTCTCCCCAAAAAAATTGTCATTATAGTTAAGTAGTTTAAGAATGTGCATATTAATTATCTCGGTAACGGAAGGACATAAAAATGGACATGGTTTTTCCAGTTAATTAGTGTTTATCCAAACTTTGTGAAGTTGATGAAGCTTTCCACTTGACTGAAACACATTTTGTTCCCCATAGTTTAATACATACTAATAAAACATTTCTTTTAGTATGAACCTGAAGTTCAAAAATCTTGTCTGAGTGTCCTTCCGTTACCGTGGAATTGCCCCTTAGATGATTTGTTCTTTGTAAGACTTGTATTTTGTTCGATTTGACCCAGGTTGATGAGAAACAGAGTCATGAATCTTATCCAAAAGAATTCTGGCAAACATTTGCCCAAACGGTTACCGATCAACATAAAAAAGAAATCACTTGCCCAAGTTGCATCTTATTCTACAATATCTTCAAGCAAACATAAAAATTGTTTATATTGCCTACCAGTATATGAAATGTCAACTTCCTCTACATGTATCTGTCAGAAGAACAAGGGTAATTTTATAATCTTGCCCCGCTCCCCCAACTAGATACAAGATACTTGAGAACAACATGATGACAAATGAAAGATACATTAAAGAAAATATTCTGAGCAGGTTTACCTTGTTCAAAGGAAAAGTCATGACGATGTTGACAAAAGCAGCCCCTCCTCCTGATAAATACTCCACCCAGTCTGGTCTGTGGATGATCGATCCTGATGCAAGCTCAAGTGAAAGGGATGACGGTGTAGACTGGCTCTCTGATTTCGAAAAACTTGGCATTGGTGGTATCGTTGAGGGAGAAGCAGATGCAGCGAGAGTTGCGAAGCTGAAATGCTGCGGCAGCCCCTTCGATGAGTTTGGCTGCTGCCCAACATTGCCCATGGTCTCTGCAATAGAGCTACATGTGTCTGACGGAGGCATGACTGAGTTCTATTTCTAGGGGGAGCAGCAAATAATACCATCTGGGTTGAGGAGGGATGTGGCTCTATGAGATGGAAACCCTTCCAAGTTGTTATGCTTGTAGATGAACTAAACAAGAAGGTAAATTATCTGTATCCTTTGTCTGTTTGAATAAGTAGATATTTCCTACATCTTGAAGAGTTATCATAAGACCTGCATAAAAGAACAAGAATCAAAGAGAAAGAAAATGGACAGTTAAAAGACGAAGAATAGTAAGACAATATACTATCTGTAGATCTGTGGATAAGATGCTTACAACGCTGAAAATGTCTCCTTTCACTTAGTTTCAGCATGTTCAGAGTAACTAAGGCCATGTAAAATTGATTTCATGTTGATCGTCCCCGCCCGCTTCCTTTTTTCCGCCCGCCTCCTTATTATTATTATTTATTTTTTTTTTTTTTTAAATAAAAAAAATAAAAATAATAATAATCGAGTACAACTTGTTTTAATTCCTTGTCAAAAATAAATATAGAGTTGAAATTTGATCTATATATATGTGTTCTCAGTGTTTTTCTTTTCAGGAAAGAGAGAGCATTGGATTTAATTTGCCCTTAACATTTGATACAGTCAACACATCTTGGTAGTGGTTTCTGGCATATACTCCCATTCTGGCACTCCTTTGGTAGGGTATATGCAGCATAGCTGGATTTCGATTTATACATGCATGGGTCATCACCCTTGGTACTTTCAATGTTGGAGTGAGGATTTAATACTTGGCATTCAATATCATGACGTGATGGTAGTATGCATGTCACTTAGTTGGCGTCCTCTGCTTGAGGCAGCTTCCTGTAGTGCAGACTTGGATAGACCAAAGCTAGCCTGTAGGTACGCCTTCAAGGCTTCTAATGAAAATGTTAAATATCATGTCATTCATGTAGATCTACATAAATGTTAAAACAACAATTACAAAATCAAAACAAAAATGACAATATATTTACAAATTACATATTTAAAATAAAGGCAACATTTAATATTTAAAAATAGATATTTTAGGGCAAATCAAACTCACTACAGCAATGTTGGTTGATGTACATATTCAATTATATACTATTTGTACACGCAGCAACCATCTTGGGAAAAATATCAAATATCAAATAACATGGTACACCCTCCTCCTCTTTTTCAAAAAATCCGGACGATCAACATGTAATCAATTTTACATGGCCTAATAGTAATACCTCTTCTCAATTTATAACATGTTTTATGCAAAAAGTAGAGCTAACTCAAGTAGAGTAAAGGAGCCCGTTTTCGGCCACTTAAGACAAAATCCTATTTTTAGGACTCTTTACTTCCTATTTATTATCATTTCTTGTTCAAATCATGAAGCAAATATTATTATTATTTAAACAAAAAAAGAATCCCAGAAAAAAATCACGAATTGCCATGACAATATTCATTTCAATTTTCACTGTTTTGGAGCCAGTTATCGGCCGAGCGTTTCAGTTTATGGCCGCATGTACAAAGTCAATAGGAAGCGCTCGCGCGCGCCGTGCGTTTCCGCGCTGATGTACAGCACAAGCGGGCGGAGCAGGTATCCCACGCCGGAGCTCCCTGGTGCTCGCCTGGCCGAAGACAGGCACAGCGGTGATCAGAAGTTGGAATCTGAATTAGACAGACATATCGTGTGTGCGTGGCAGGGTCCGGCTGCATTGATTTAATACATGCAATGAGATACTTTTGAGCTTGCGACTAACACAAAATCGGGCTCTTAATCTGTAAAATACTTGAAATAAAGCTGATTTTATGGTACCCATATTTCTTACATACACGCCTAAGAAACTCGATTTTTCAGATTTGGGTAGCGGGACCGGCGATTACATCGCTAAAATGTGATATTTTAGGATATATTTTCCAATGCAAATGTGGTTCTTCAGTGACACTGGCATGGTATGGTATGTGTGGGATATGTGTTATGCTATTATGCGATGTATTTTAGAGTGATTTTACCTTGCATCCAACCAATCGGCCGAAAACTGGAGCTGGCCGATTACCGGCTCCTTTACTCTAAGTAGACAAGTATCACTATCAAGAGCTACTACTTGGTTAACTCAGGGGAGCTCTGCCGCCAAAGACGTGGGAACTCCAGAGCCTGCATAGGAAAACAATTCAAACAGCGGATGAGACCGAGACTGAGAGCGAGAGCGAGCAAAAAAATGACATTTTGTTAATTTAATCTTAAAAAGACAAGTGAAAGTCTATGTTATTTATAATCAAAACACACTTTGTCTAGATAAGATATACAAATTATGTATGCAGGCACAACAAAATGTCACAAAGTATACCAATTTTTGATTGCTTACTCACACAAACAGAGTGAACAGCCACAAAATCATTTGTACATTAAATTAAACCATACATCATTTCTAATATGTGGGGGTAATACTAATAGTAATATCAATTAATAACAGAGCTCAATGTTTTTTAACGGTGCATGAAAATGAAGAGTACACGAGATGACTATGACTTAACATTATCAATGCAATATCCAATGAATGCAGCATCACTAATACATAAATATTTTCTTCATATCAATGGTGAATAAAGGTTATTTAGGCTCTTACAAGTCGAGTTTTACAAGGATTGATGTGGTATCTCGTCGTAAAACACTTACATGAACTGGCTCTCACGAGACTTTTATTTCCACAATGGGTTGTGGCCAATTAAAAAAAATTGCTAATTTCTAGTTTTATCGTCTACTCGTACTCGGACAGATAATTATGTTAATCAGCGGATCCTGGCAAAGGGGCGGAAAGTGGAAAGAAAAATGAACGAATAGAAGAATGGTAAAAAACATAACCAAAATAAACCAAACAAAGAAGTCGAAGAGCAACAAACTGAACAACAAATAGAAGAAGAAGAAAGATCGATCGGAAGAAAAGAAGATCATAAAGAAGTCAAAGAAGTTTGAAACGAACTTAAAAAGAACTTCACGAAGACTCTATGAGAAAGACGGAAAGTCGAAGAAGAAGAAGAAGAACTTGAACACATTTGAAAAGTCCAATAGGTTGCCTCGCCTGCTCGCCATGACTCTAGAATTTATTAACTTTCCGATCGATGATAAGAAACAGAATCTAGAAGGAGTAAAAGAACTTCATATACGGATCTAAGAATAGAGGGGAGAAGAACTAAGAAGAAAAAGAATAAGATCGAAGAAGAAGAAGAAGAAGAAGAAGAAGAAGAAGAAGAAGAAGAAGAAGAAGAAGAAGAAGAAGAAGAAGAAGAAGAAGAAGAAGAAGAAGAAGAAGAAGAAGAAGAAGAAGAAGAAGAAGAAGAAGAAGAAGAAGATGAATGAAGAAGAATTAAGAAGAATAAACTGATCGAGGAAGAAGGTCGAAGCCCGAATTTCTGAGACGGAAAGTCGAAGAAGAAGCTCAGTATAGAAATTTAATTAACTTAAAATGGAGAACGCGGAAGAAGAAGACGGATGATCGAAGAAGTAGCCGGAAATGAAGAAGAAGAAGAAAAGAAGAAGTTCGTGAAGATCGAGGCTATGAGAAAGACGAAACTAGTCGAAGAAGCTAGAAGAAGAAGAAGAAGAAGAAGAAGAAGAAGCCGAAGAAGAAGAACAAGAAGAAGAGAAGAAGAAGAAAATGAAGAAGTAGGAGGAGGAGGAGGAGGAGGAGGAGGATCGAGGAGGATGGGGAGGAGGAGGAGGAGGAGAAGAAGAAGAAGAAGAAGAAGAAGAAGAAGAAGAAGAAGAAGAAGAAGAAGAAGAAGAAGAAGAAGAAGAAGGAGCTAGGAGAAGAAGAGGAGGGAGGAGAAGAAGAAGAAGAAGAAGAAGAATTACGGAAGAAGAAGAAGAAGAAGAAGAAGAAGAAGAAGAAGAAGCCCCCACACTTTAATTTATCCCGAAGTTTATAAAACGGTTTTCAAATGACTTCAAGTCTCGACTGTCTCTCTTGTTCGTGATATAATGTGCGGGACGAAATTGCGTGATGATGTAGATGGCGTGTTCGACGTGCATAGACTGTTCATGTAGAGCCGAGAAGGGACACAGACAGGTAGTGAATGATTGGTAAATAAACATGTATTTCTTGCAAGAAGTAACTTTAAGAGCCATGAAATGTCAGTGAGAATTAATCTGGTGTGACAGAAGTAGTATGACTCTGAATGTTATGTATTTAGTTATATGTACGTCGTGAGTGATTGTTAATGTTATTTTGCCGTTTTGGCAAACTGAAATGAAGGCTTGCGTCGGATCTAGGCCTACTGCGGACGCGACGTGGTGTTTGACGTAGGCTCTGCATCTGTGGGACTGTCATTGTGTTTCGTATGCATCGACGTACGGCCCTACGGCTAGTGCCTTGCCTAGGCTAGGGACAGGGCCAGGGTAATCCAGGAATGGATAAGGAGTTAACAAGCTCTCCAAATTGTTGTACCTTGATTTACCTTGATGTTGGGCTTCAAGTATAATTACTTAGATCTAGTTCTATATGCCCCTCTGCAGCAGGATTAGTTAGTGTTAGGGTGTCTGATCGCGCACCCGATGTTGTGTGCTAAAATTCTTCCCATAGAGATTACACGCATCCCTATGCAGCCTACGTGCATTGCGCGACCATGCAAAAAAAGTCAATTTTTTTTTTTTCAAATCGAGATTCAAACCTTTATCAGTTGTGATCCTGAAGGTGATAATCAATGAATGAGGTGTCATATGAAAGAGCAGGTGAATTCCAATATTTCCAAAGGGGCGTAGCCCCCGAAATTCTAAAAATATCTTGGTCAAAACAGCAATTTAAACATTGTGTCCTGGCTAACTCTGAGGTTTGTCACTTTTGAGATATGACGCCCCGATCGATAAGTAGTCCCAGTCCTAAGGAACAATTCTATGTGATTATATTTTCGCTAGCCCCCAGGGATCACAACTGATAACAGTTTAAAAATACCCTTCTCGCTATTTGGTGGATCAGCTAATTAGGAGGCGTGCGCTCCGCTCAGTCCAAACCATGGTTACATCGCGTAACATCTCCGCGCACGAACGAAACCCCAAATTCAATTACACATTATAGTGACTGAAATTATGGTTGGCAATTCCCTCGATAAACCCGGAAGTGAATACACGTTATAGTCAATGGCAATATCGCGGAGACAACTCGCGATATTGCCATTGACTATAACGTGCATTCACTTCCGGGTTTATTGTGCGACGAACGCCAACCATAATAGTCAATCGCACATGTCGCGGAGACAGCGTAGCTCAAGCTGCAAGTCGCGGATTGGCTTAGCAGCATGCGTACGATATGCATACGCTTGCATATCGCGCGATACAGCTGTTTGGCTAAATTTAGCAAAACAACATCACTCTGCGTGGACGTCTTTTTCGTCGATTTTGACCAAAATGATATGAATATACCAGCGTGTTGGAGGGGCTGTAACTTTTGATAGAAACATCGGTGAGACTTGAAATTTGAAATGTATTATTCTGATAACATTTTTAATTCAAATATCAAACAAAAATGGTGAAAAACGATCCCAAATTGAAAATTGAAAAATCGTTCAGACACCCTATTAGTGTCTGTATGTACTCCCTGAGGGATTGCGCCTTACGTACACGTAGACCCTAATCGTATTACAAAATTCACATACGGGGTCTAAACAATAACTAGATCTAGTCTAGAGAATGTGATGGAATCGCTATCCTATCAGTATCGGGCAGTTGGGCAGCTGGTCCGAGAATCAAGATCGTCCGCAGAAACGAGGATATCCTCATGAACGCGGACAAAATGAGTCCTTAAAAAATACAAGGATCGTCCACATATTTTTCATCGGAGCTCTGTCTCTGCCGGTTGTCGGGTTCCCTATGCAAAAAACGGATTCCGCGTAAGAAAATAACCCCAGTTCACTGTCTGCTTTTATGGGTTGCCCGTCTTTTCGAGGATTTATCACTCATAACGTGAAGGTCTCTGTACCAAGTCAATTTAAAAATGCATCAGGAAATCATTGCGGAATAGGTTTTTCGCATCGCCAACACGCAGTAGACTATGGCTGTGCACAACCGTGTAATGAGGTATCGCGTACACTCCCAGACTTAAAAGCGAATACTCGAATATTTGGACGCCATGTTGTTGTTTTTTTTAGAAGTCTAATTAATTTTTTTTTTTTTATTTAAAAAATTTAATTTTTGTTGTTTTTGTTCTTGTTTTCACCACCACCATACCACGGGAGCAGTATGTCGGGTCCGTCTCCGAAAACTCACTGAATTTTACTTTGAGTTGCCGTTGAAGGCGCCGATTTAAAGATAAATTTGAATTCTGGTAAAAAAAGAAAATGAATTCTCACAGAATCTAACGAAACTTACACTGAATGTTCAAGATTACAAATAAATGTCATGTGCCAAACAATTTTGGAAGAAAATGTATACTGGCTGAGTAATGAGCATAGAAAGATAAGGAAATCAATCAGGGTAGTACTAGCCCCGACACCATGTGTGTTGTCCCATATACATCTTTCTGTGTACATGTAAGTGATTGTTACTTTACCAAGACTCTGCCAAATTTATGATGATTTTGATGACTCCAGAACCTTGCATTACACACCATTACTTACATGCTATATGATCAACTTTTCTGATCCATTCCACACCTTTTCTTTCACAATGCAATCGCATTACCAGAACTCAAGTTTATCTTTAATAATAATAATTAGATCTACAGTAAACAATGCTGTTTTAAAAACCAAAGATGGCAGAATAATCCATTTTCCTCCAAATCCAAACAGAAATCCGAACATTTGGTCCCAGTTTTTTAGTGGTGAGTTTGACAGTGATTGAGCTGGGAAACATTTTTACCGACGGTACCATGCCAGCGCCCGGCGCTCTCCCTGGCACGGGTAAGCATCGGCCTGGACAGTGCCAGGTGACCAGGATTTTTTTTTTTTTTTTTTTTTTTTTTTTTGCAGCCGTACTGGAGTAGTTGTCAACAGTGCAAGTATTCGACTACTCGTCGCAGCCCTACGGTAGATATATGAAATATCTGCGAAAATGCAGACGCATCTGTCCGCATTTCTGTATCTGTATCTGTCCGTGACGTACAATCACCAGCATCTGGTTGTCGCGTACGTAGACGCTTATTCTAGTCCTTATTCTCGGACCAGCGCCCCTACTGCCATCAGCTAACTCCAGTCCAGAGAGCTCCAGAGCCTGCCTAGGAAAACGATTCAAACAGTGGGTTGGGGCACATTTTTCTGAAATGTAAAGAAGTAGTAATTACAATTTTGACTTACCCAGTACAATTGTTTTTCAACTCCTCTGTACCAGGCCTCTCGCCAAGAAATTAAAAACGTGTGGTGCAACCCGAGGGAAAATTTCCCCCCCCCCCCAAAAAAAACCCAAAAAAGTAAAAATTTGAACAACTTTTACAAGTAATTTGATGAATTATTATCATTGTCAGGGGCGTACGCAGGGGGGGGGGTTAACCCCCCCCCCCCCTTTGGTTTTTTTTTTAATTTTTTTTTTTTAATTATAAAAAAAAAAAAAAAAAAAAAAAAAAAAATTACCCACGGCTAACCTAAATAAGGTGACCTTACCCCCCCCCCCCAACGACAAAAAATGTCAAATTTTGAAATTTCGAGACCCCCCCAAAAAAAAAATGGGTCCGCTTACCCCCCCCCCCACTGAGCGACTTTTCGGCCAGCGCGATTTTCAAATTTTCGGGAGCAAAATATTTTAAAACCCCCCTCCTGCGTACGCCCCTGATCATAGTATTATATTCCAGGTCATTGTTATATTTACCCTTGCACTAAACAATCAAAAGTATCAATGTTATTCTATCTGTCTATGTTGGACTTTGTGAAATTTGTTATCCAATGTTATGAAGAAAACAAAATGAGAATGATCCTAGATCTAGTTGTTTGGATTTTTTAAAGCTGTAATTATTTTCCTCATATTAAAAACAATACTGCATTTTCTTTTTTTCACAAAAATTGCAGTACTCAAATTTCTGCAAGTCTTTTACTTTATATTAGAGTAAAATAAATTCTGTCTCAAAATGAAATTTATACACCCGTGACCCGTCAATGAAAGTTTGATTTGAGGTCAACACACACACACAGACTAAGCCGCTGCGCTAAGCTATGTGCACACAATACCATACCTGCCAACCCTTACAAATAATTCAGAATATTCAGTTTTTTTATATTTCTAGGACCTGAAAATCCGGAAAATTCAGATTTTTCAAAATTTCGATTCGCGTGGCGCTAGGTCGGGCCAATCAGGAACGTTATCTGTGTACGCGTGGGCCTTTGCACTGTACATTCGTTCAACCACTTGAAATTATAATTTGAAGAAGTCTATGATATCGATGGATAGGGAAAAGGGTGATTCCTCGTTCTAACCCAATTCATCCCATACTGTATATCGTCTATTTAACACAGCGAAGAGAAAGTATGCATGCGCAGTATTAGTGCTGCCCAGTTGCTGCGAATATGAATATTCATTTACTCAATTCAAGATGGCTGGCAACAAATCATGTTGACGACAAGTCTTTCTCGGATTAAGCATTAATTGAAGATCTAAATTAGCAAGCTATCGTTAGTCAAAGTTCATATTTCCGTTTTTATTTTATTTTTAATAATTCAGTGTTTTCTGGGACGCTCTGTATAGATCTATCCCAAACGAAATAGACCCTACACTGAATTTTGGTCTAGGGAAATTGATATTTTATTTCCCCATTATTAACAAATTAAAATGATGATCAAAGCAATTGATACCAATTAAAATGTAAAAATATTTTTCTGATCCTCAGATTTTTTTATCATAGGAATCTACTAGAAGCCAACATTGACAAGTACGAAATAATAGCCTGATTTACAATAGGATTATTGAGACAAGGGAAAGAAAGAAAGTGCAACTATGCCTCAAGACGGGAGATACCGACGAAGATCTAGGTCCAGATCCAGGAGTAAAAGAAACAGAAGGCGAAGGTGAGACTCTTAGTCACTTATGGAGTAGAATGAAGTGTTTCTCATTTTAACAAGTATGAAAGCCTTACTGGCCTGTATTCTATATATGAAATTCAAACCAGTTGCTGGGGTAACATGTATGTGTTTGTTCAAAATCAGGTTTAATAGAGAGTTTCCATTTGTTAAATAGAAACTTAGACACAGGGTTAGGTATAACTGAATTAGAATTTTTCTTTTTAATTTTTTAGCAAAATGACTATTAAAAGAGAACATTGTCACCTGAGGTGCATACCGGTACATGCAAAATGCAAAATAATAAACATGCTCTTCAGCAATTTGTTGAGACTTTTTATGTGTAGGTTTGGGAAAGATGAGACCGATTGAACTATTAAAAGGTTTTTCTTGCTTTTCCACAGACACGGATCATCAAAGTAAGTACGCCCCCAGGTCTGAAGATGATTACGTAATATGAGGTGAACCTCCCCTCTATAGGGGATGCTATTTGCTGAAACAAGCCTGGGAATAAAAGAGGGGATGTAATGTGCTCATGCTTGAGTTCAGTCTGGAGGAGGAGGAGGAGGAGGAGGAGGAGAGAATTCGGCCTATAATTTCATCTCTTAATGTAGAAATTGAAATGGAGGATAACGAAAGGAGATAGAGGCAGTGATCATCTGGTTTAAATTGAGATGCTAACCCAAGGCGATCCACAAGAAATCCAGATGATTTGTTGATGTCATTGAGAGTGTTTTAAAGAAATGTTGCATGTCCTGGCCATCGCAATTATTTCTACTTCAACCTTCCTGTGCAATGGCTCGCATGAATCTCACTTTAGGTGTAGGCCTACTGTCCCAACAGATATGTTTTATTTGTATTGCAGCATCGTTTTCAGTAAACAATCAACCAATTTCCCTGACATTTTAAGCTTTTGTAGGGAATTATAATGTTAGGTGTTGGATGTGATATTCAAACTTCTTGATGTTTCTTCTATTTTTGTCTAGGGGTCTTATTCTTATGCAAAATCAACCCAAATTCTTCTCTTACCAATCACCCAAAGTTTTTGTTTTGCTCTAGATGTTAAGGGTTCAGTTTGGCTATAGTATACTCAAAATACGATCTTCAATTATTACTTATAAAAAAAAAATTTAGAATTCAATCTCAATGAAGAGTAAAACATTTTGTTGAGTAGAAAACATTTAGTTAATGCACATTTACACGCTCACATAGAATAGGGCAGACATGAAATTCAAGTCCTACTTGGGTTCTGCAGGGTTTTGTTTTATCCTTTATTTTCTTCATACTACTTTCCGTTTACCTATAAAATACCAGTTTAAGTTTTCTGAGGTTGGTTTTATCTATGCTAGCTATTTTTCAGGTGATTGGAAGACTTTAAGACATTCAATGGCAGCTATTTCACCAAGATCAAAATGAGAATGCAAACCATTTCACTAACATAGCAAATTACCAGGAAGCTTGAAATGTAAATTTGGGGAGTGCAAAAAAGGGAAATTTCTTTTGAACGAGATAATGCAATCATTTTAACATAACGTCAACCAACTGTCAGTAAAAATAAATTGTTGATAAATTATGAGGTAGAGGGTTTACTAAACAGCTCCATAAGTCCATATGTATCTGAGCTTTAGCTCCATATCTTGTGCAAATGTGCTTGGAAGAACCTTGAGACCAAATATACCTTCAAATAAAGTCTTTCCGTGCGGGGACGAAATGCAGGAAGGATTTCATAAAATCAATCTACAATACATGATGATCAAGATGAAAGGCCTACCAACCTTTGATGTCACTGCATCTAGAGGTTGCAATAACTTCTCAGATCCAGTGAGACCGTTATTGGCACTGAAAGATGATCACCTGATCTGAATAGATGACCACATGATCTCAAGTGAGGGAAGTGACCACATGATCTCTTAGATGATCAGATGTGGTGGTAATGAATGATGACGATGTAAAAACTTTTCTAAACAAGCCCAGTAAAAACATGAACAGAAGACCTTATTAGACAAATCTGTTGCGGCTTGAGACAAGTGGAGAGATGATTATGAAGCAATGCACTACACCACTTTCATTTTACACCTTGAGGACAACATTTGACAACATTGTCAACTTAACAACTGGAATGTGTTGAAAATGTGAAGTACCCAACTAAATTCTGGAGGCACAAAGATAATGTTGATGACGGCAGGTCCCTTTTTGACTGAAAAGAAGGTGCAGATCTGCAAGAAAACACAATCTTCACATGTCACAATCGGAAGGACAGGAAAAGCACCATAGATGGGGTATGGCGACTCTTTGAAGAGGGAAGAACAGACCGAAGAGGTGAACCCAGTCTGATGGCCATTTGATGGAAAGTCCAATCGAGATCTGGGCCCTGTCTTACAAAGAGTTAATATTAATCGCAACTTATTTACGATTGATATCAATGCAACTATGTACATAAGAGATAGGAGACTGCAAACTTTTGATTGATTGGAGGACTTGCGATTGATTCGGATCAATCATAACTCTTTGTAAGACAGGGCCCAGGATGATAGACACAAAGAAAGAAATTGTTGATTCAAGGTGCAGGTCCACACTGAACAATCTCTTTGTAATGAAGGAATCTGTATTGGCACTCTAGAAGAAATAATGCCAGAAGAATGATAGAAGATATGATGTTGTTTCACAAAACCGTCTTGACAACAAGTTCGCTGACATGATGACACCCCAATTGAAATGTGTGTTAAATATTAATCTACGCGTTTCAAAAGGTTGTTGGCAAACTTGTAATTATGACGGTTTCGTGAAATGCCGCCCAGGGGAGTGTTTCACAAAGACTAAGATTGACTTTAAGTTGGACTTAACTATGGCAGGACTTTCATGTCACTATTTTCTCTCATCATTTACCATGTTACATGTAACTGGCATTGGTTTCTAAAGGAGGGTACCAATCGTCACAAATCTGCAGAATTTACATTTTTTTGATCGTTCATTATTAAGATCATAATTGAGAGACCAATGGTGAGAGCAACTAGTGGCATGAACGGCCTGCCATAGTTAAGTCCAACTTAAAGTCGATCTTAGTCTTTGTGAAAGTGTGAAACTCCCCCCAGGTCCCAGGAGCAGATAAGAATTGTGACTAAGAGGTAAACCAAACCCTTCTGGTTGATGAACACTGATGATATGACCTATGTCACCATCTTACAGGATAAGGTGGTGTGATACCCAAATCCAAAGTGCAGCAATCCAAGTCCACTAGCATGATGATCTGGAGGGAAAACTGAATTGATGGATCATAAATTACAGCTGTAAAACGAGCTAAGGAAGGAACAAGATGATGAATGACACTAGGGACTTTTAGATTTGCACGTCGACATAGTGGACTGCTACGTGTGACGTCCTTTTAAGGCACTCCCACGTAGCAGTCCACGTTGTCAACGTGCAAATCTAAAAGTCTATATTGAAACTAACAGTGACCCATCAAGTCCAGTACCATGAGAGGGACGTTTGTTTGACAGACCAACTGAAGCTTTGAAGGGCAATACCAGAGAAGGATGAAAGAAGGGTTGTCCAGAATATATCAGACTTTGTCAGGAATCCCATCATACAGAGTGCCGTGGAGGAGAGGAGAGAAATCTACAAGCTGAAGCCAAGCAGATCGATGACGTGTAAAGAGAGAATACACATCTGGCCAATCAAACCATGTTACAAAAAAAGCGTTGAAAGAAAGTCTACTCTGAGAGCAACTCTCATTTGCCGAGTTGGATGGACTTCAAGGTATGTTCTGCTTAAAGGGAGACATAGACTGAAAGGCTACCAAGATTACAAAGGGATGAATGCCACACAGAACTGGGAATGAAAAGCATATCGGAAGGCTAATTATCTTGAATGACAACTACTCTTTTTCTACCTTATGCCAAGTATGAATTCTGTGATGGACTGATGAGAATGGCATGGTGCTCAAATGAACAACTGAAGAAACAAAATGAAGAACAATTACATTTTGTCTACCTTATGCCAAGTATTAAATTCTGTGATAGACTGATAAGAATGGCGTGGTGCTCAAATGGGCAATGGAAGGAACAACTGAACTACTGAAGAAACAAAATGAACAACAACAACTACACCTTATCTACCTTATACCAAGTATTTAATTCTGTGACAGACTGATGAGAATGGCATGATGCTCAAATGAATGCTGCATTGTCCAAAAGACAGACAGATGTGATAACTTTGAAGGAACAGAGGCTGAGATGTCAAAGGAACCCTTAGGCCAGAATCTTCAGTATTTGGTCATGAAAAAATGAGGATGCCATCGACATTGTCACTATCGTAATCATTGTCATTGGCTTTGTCTTTGGCAGTGTCATTGAAGATGTTGACAATGTCATGTACATTGACCTTGCTATTGACGTTGACATTATAGATGACAGATGATATGGAAGGACCTGAAGAAGACAATATTGGTACTACAATGAAATGTCCAAAGGTCTCAGTAACCTGATAGACGAGAATGGCATTGTGGGAGAGAGGGGAAAGAGACCATGTTAGCACAAACAGGACCTACCAAGTATTTTCCAAGCTGAGATGAAAGCAAACTTTGGTGTTCATATTCAGGGTCAGGGATTATAACAGAAGGATTGAAGACATGGTGAACAACTACACAGCAGGGATGCCTCGGATCGAGAAAACAAATGACATATGAATATCACTAGGGATGGAGAAGGAGGAAAGCAATGAAAGATGAATAATAAAGACAACAACAGAAACAGATGGAGAATGTAGATGAGATAAATACCAATTTGACTGGAGGAGGAAAAAATGTAAAAGGTGACACAGGATTAAATGATCTGAGAGGACTTCCCAAGAGACCAGTGGATGAAACGGAATACAAATTACAAATTCAGAAATGCAGTTGAGATGAAACCAGTTTCAACTGATTGTGAGAAGACTACCTAAGAGAGACAAATGAGATACAGAATAAGAATGCAAATAAGATAGTGCCAACCAACGTCTCTAGAGGAGGAACATGACCAGAGCAACACAAGATGAAATGATGTGAGAAGACTCCCTTAGGGACGGATGAATAAAACGAGATACAAAATGAGAAATGCAGATGAGATGAAACCAACTTGAACTGAGGTAGAAAACATGAAAAGACCAAAAGGATGAAACACTTTGAGAAGTCTACCAAGAAGACATATGAATCAAATAGATGTAAGATGGATGATGCAGGAAGAAGATGAGATAAAAACCAACTTCACTGGAGGACAACAAAAAACGGCACAGGATTGAACTTTCTGAGAGGACTACTTAACAGACTGATGCATGCATGAAATGAAATGCAACATGAGATACGCAGATGACACAACACCATATGTAACTTTAAAAGAAAAAAGGAAAGCAAGATGAAATTTTTTGAGAAGACTACCATAGAGATGGAGATCAATTATATGCAGATGACACGATACCAACTGTATCTGGAGAAGAAAACACATGAAAAGAGCAAAGCAAGATGAAACCTTTCTTTGAGAAGACTACATAGGTTTGAGACATGCAGATGACATACAGTAATACCAAATATCTTGGATGAGGAGAAATCTGCATAACATGCCAACTTTTGGAGAGCAGTACAGGATAAAATACCAGAAGAAGCTACAGTTTGAGAAATGCCAATCCAATGATATATAAATTTCCTGAAATACGAGAGAAGAAAAGGCAAACATGAGATGGGATTAAGAGATTGGTGGAGGTGTACACGGAGAAGTGCTCGGATGGAAAGAAGGTTGAAAACATAAGGGGCCTATAAAGTCAAATCTCTGAAGTTGGTTAATTTACTTGCATCTCTTAAATATCACCTGTATTTGCTATAAACTTAGTCACGAGGTGAGTACTCTGCATGTATGCTTGGAATGTACTGTCTGCTGTGATGTGATAGTCTCTAGAGTTAATACGAGCATGATAGATTTCACAAGTGTACCAATCATCAAAAGTATTTTGTTTTTAATGTTACAGGGTCCATTGTCACTATACTCTATTCAATATACATGTATGAGCTTCAAAATTTACTTCTCTAAAGAGATATTGCAAGTTGAAATACTCTGTCAGTTAACAAAAATTGACTTGTGGGTAGACTGCTTGAAACACCCATACACACTTGTATAGAACAATGCCTGCATGGATTCTTTTATTTTCTTCATACATCTTATCCGTTAGCCCATAGAGTTTTGAGTATACATGTACAGTTTGTTGGGGTTGATTTCATACATTATTCATACATGTATACACAAATTATTTTTCTGGGTGATTGGTACACTTGTTAGCTAAAGTTAGTGCATGACACTACCTAAAGATAAGCATGAGAGATAGGTATATCAATTCTGACATGCTAGTCATATCTTTTTCCATATAACATCCCTAATTGTTTTTGTTTGGTTGATTTTCTTTTTTTTTAATGACCATGGGTCAATTTGTGACCAAAATGAAGGAGGTTATATCACTTGTATGTGATTATAATAGGTATGCATGTGAATTGTAAAGATGCTTTAACAGCATATTCTTCAATGTAAGCAAACTACATTGTATGATGTTTACAAGTTGATTCTGAATGTCAGTACCACACAGCCCAATCACATTAGGCATTGTTGAATTGACTTTTTTTTTTCTTTTTTTTTTTAAGTGACCTGATGTTAAAGACTGATTTTTGAGTCATGATAAAAGGCAATTACCGTATATAGACTGTAAAGCAAGAATCATAACTGAAGCAGCATGTATAAAATATCTCTTTCAGCATTCCAGAAACCTCCAAGGTTTGACAGTCACTATAATAGTAGCCAAACAGGATTGTTTTATATTATAGATCACTTAATATTCATATGCATGTCACTTTCATTACATTTGACTTCATGGATTTCACTTTAAACTTATAATTTCCTGTTTTCTTGCACTTTGTTAGATGTATGATTTTAATTCTAGATGCCACAAAAGATGTTCACTTTGCTTTCATTAACACCAGGGTATTCAAATCGTACTGTGTTCAAGAGATATTAAAATGCTGACCATGTTACTGGATGATTTTAGGATATTTGAAAGTGATTTACTAGCAGACTGATAACCAAAGCTCATATCTCCATACATAAAAATAGTATGGGAGTATATCAAAGTGTTAACAAAGAAGTTGAAGAACGATACTGATAAATAGACGAAGAAATATATGAAAATAAAGCCAAGCTATGTTTAACTTTCATTCAAATATACATGATGTTTCCAGTTGGATACATTTTTTTTATATATTAGTATATGTTGGCATACAGTTTCCATAGACTCAAACATGAGTTATCTCAGGCTTTTAGTAGTACATGACTACATGTACTAAGTGGTTATTAAGTGCATGTGAAATTTTGATAGCGTCACAAACAAGTAGATTTTATTACTAGAGGCATCCCTGTACAAAGTTCCTCAAGCAATATTCTTTTTTTTATGTGTGCAGATCTTCAGGATCCAGTTACTCCAGATCTAGATCTCGATCACCAGAGAAGCGATACCGTAATAAAGACAGGTCTTCACGAAGAACTCCACCAAAGTATCGTCGTTCCTCTAAACAGTCACCCTCGCATGAAAGAAAGAGGCAGCAGAGATATGACCGTCAATCCCGCTCTGAGTCATCATCTCCGAGGCGCCGATCACTTGAGAAGAAAGAATATCTGGATACCTCCAAGGTGCTGACCGGTAACTTCTCCAACATCCCTGGACTTGATTACATAGGCCGAGGAGGAAAAGGAGCCGAGAATGAGTCTAGTCAGGATCTGGATTTGCGCCTCAGGGAGCTTGAGACGCATGGATCTGCAGGGTCGTCTAGATCCAGAGCTGCAGAACAACCAAAGAATTCACAGACGGACTATTATGATTCCAAAAGAGGTTCGCAGGAAAGTTATAAGCAGCGTAGTAGGTCACCCGGTGAGAAGAAGTATGAGTCATCAAGATACTCGAAGGAAAGAGCCATGTCTCCTGACAACAAGAGATATAGGGATCAGAAAGATCAGAAACGACCTGATTATGGCATCAGAGTTGAGGTCAAGAGAAAGCCATCGCCAAAAAGAAGAAAGTTTGATCCTAGTCTGGTGTTCATACCACGCAGGAAGGATGAAGGGCTGCAGCAAATATTTGATCGCCCAGAAATCATAGTCCGCAACTTAGAGGATGATCCTGAAATGTACCCAGAGAAATATGAACGCTTTGCTTGTTGGAGGAAGTCTCCAGAGCGTAGCCAACGGAAGAATGACCGCGAATACAGCAGAGAGAGGGAGGAGGGACCAAGGAAGCAGAACAGACATCACAAAGATGGCAGGAGATCTCCCAGTCCAGAGCCACAGCAGCCAAGGAAGGCGACGGTCATGATGAAGCCATTCACTGTCTTTGAGAAATACGAACAATCCTTGCGGAACAAACCAGCACAAGCACCACAGGAGGTGGATAACTACTTGCAGCGCCCTCAGGAGTTCAGTCTGTCCCACAGTTCTCTGCCTCTGTCAGGGTCTCTGTCAGGGACCACCAGCATGTTTACTTCTAGCTTGGGTATGAACAACGTCCTCGACGTAGACAGTGACCTCCGAATGGACTTGGATGTTCGTCGTCAGTTCCTCGTGCGGGAAGCTGAAAAACAGCTGGATTTGCAGCAGCTCCACTCCGCTACATCCCCAACCCTAGGCAGGCTGACTGGGTCGGTATACTCTCTTGATCGAAGAGAGATTGCTTCGTCAGATAGAAGACCTGTGAGGGAGAGGCTTGGTGACCTGGACAGAGGGGGGCTAAAGTTGGAAAGTGAAGTACCTGACTTCAGAAAGGAGGTTGAAGAACTACAGAGACTGGATCCCACTGCTCAGCCTATCAGAGGGAATTTTTACGAAGTAAGTGACTATATGCTTATAGAGTACATCTTAACGGTGGGGTGACATCCAAATATAAGTTGATTCCTGTCGATGTGCAGGGCTGCATACATTTCATATTTTGTTATTCAAATATCTATATATTTCATAGATTTTCAAATATTTTTAAAAACATTTTTCTCAGACCTGCTCAGCTTTACCCTTAAAAAATGCTCCAGATTTCATTCATCTTGTGACATCATCTGTCAATCATTTGTGAGCTAACAAGAGACGGTGTTATGTAGCTTTACCAGAGCTGACCACCCGTTTACAATAGATCATACGATACCAATATAGGATTTGCTATGTCAGACGTGCTATTAGCATCCCCAGAAAAGGAAAGGTAATGTGGAGGTATTGTATGAAAGAATGCAATTCTTTTGTTGGCATGTGCTGAGCTGGGGGAAGTCAAATTAAGGGATCATAGCATCTGACTGATAACCTGTATTACTGTTATATATTATTTTGTTTTTTGTGTGTGTGGTGTTTTATCAGCAATTTAAAATTTATTTCCAAACAATAATCCCTACTCTCAAACAGCATGATGATCGTGATCAGCGCTCCTTGTCAGAAGAGAAGCGTGGCATGAGACCACCGCAAAGGGGTCGAGGGGGCTTTGTGCCCCGTGGTTCATATCGTGGAGGGCGGGGCTTCATCCGGGGTTTCCGTGGCAGGGGTTTCAACCGTGGCTTCAGGGGTAATTACAACAATCGAGGTGGTTTCAGCGGACGGGGTCAGAACCGAGGAGGCTATGCCTCCGCCTGGAAGCATGATAAGTTTGAGGGCAAGGATAGAGATGATCACGACAAGAGAGAGAAGAAGGACAAGAAATCTAAATCATCAGACAAGGTGTGTACAGTATAGCCGAACTTGGTCAAATTAGAATGATCAGGGGGGTGTTTCACAAAGATCCTAAGACGAACTTAAATCTAAGTTGGACTTGAAAATTATGGAGAGCCATTTGTTGCCTTAAAATGAAATATATTCAAAAGTGAAAAATCAAGTATTTTTGACTTTTTATAAATTCCACATCAAGAACTTGAAATCTCCTTGATAATAGAAAATATAAATGATTTGAATCAACATTTTAAGCATTTTATAACTTTAACAAAATATTTTCATAGATGCTAATGGCTTTCCATAATTGTTAAGTCCAACTTAAAAATAAGTTCAACTTGGGATCTTTGTGAAACACCCCCCAGGCCTTTTACAAAATCTCATATTCTGAGATAAGACACAACCATTCCCAAACTGGGAGACCTTATACACTCATTATACAATATAACATCAATTGCAATCTTATGTGAATCTTGAAACAAAATTCTTATTAAAAGATTATTTTTAACATTGATATTTAATGAGTATGAATTGATATAAGACGGGACCTAGTTCTCTCAGTTGGACAGTACATGTACCGTACCACTGTACATTTCATAGCAATGTGATGATTTAATGATTGACGCAGAGATATATCCGTTTAAACTTTGATTATGCATGTAGAAAAAGACCAAGAAGTCATCAAAGAAGAGCCCAGAGAGATCTAAGTCCGTAAGTGGCATTTCTATCTCTGTTTTGTTGCATGCATCATGAAAGACTTTTGATGTGTATTGTTGGATAACATGAAAATTAAATGAGCAACTTCCTTTTTTTGGGGGGGGGGGGACCAAGAAACCCGTGGGTCGAACAGTTGATCAAAACTTGAAAAATAGAATAAAATACCCTTACAATAGGAAACATTTTTGTTCTGGTTTTGGAAGTGCGTTACCGGTATAACAAAACATACATCCAAGCTGATTCTTTGCAAAATACTTAGATTTGGAGTATATCGCAATTTAGTGTCAGGGATAGGGTAGATAATGTGATATACCACTATTGCTGCCTATCTGTTTATTAGTTTTGTTTTTGTCTTTGCTCATTTGATTAATTGTAAATATCACATGAAAAATTTAACCTGAGTGCACGCTAATGAATCTCAGCTTGCCTAAACAAGCATCACATTAAAAAAAAACAGGGAATTTCAATCTGCCATTTTTTGTGAAGCTATTGAATTTCCTGTTCAAGACAGTAAAATCTTTTAGACTTCTTGGTCAGATGCTCTAATCAAGTTTTGTACATGCAAAAAACTTTAATACTGCACAGTGAATTTGCTATACAGGTATTAAACTGTGTACATGTGTATCATGTAGTGTCAATGTATCCATCTTGTGCTGTGTGTAGTGCCTACCTATTCGTGAATTAGTGCATATATTTTGTTTCAATAATTTAACATATTTTTTTGATATAAATTTTACAATTTTACATCTCAAAATCTATATTTTTCTCTCCACACTTATGCAGAAACGAGACAGCAAGAAATAACTCCATTACCCAAGCGCCCATGAGGACATGCTGCTCTCTCTCTCTCTCTCTATTACTCCCAAGAGATACGAACTGTCCTTCATTGACTTGTGATTGCAGGGAAATAAGTTACAGCTTAGCACCTCTTAAGGCCATAATAACTTCTCGAATCAGCTAGATTAAAAACAACGCAGACATCATCTCTTGAAGCGACTGGACATGTCAGACACTTAGGGACCGGTCCTTTTTGTCCAAGAACGATAACAAGAACTGTAACTATAAATCATTTCAAAAGTGGCCTTGTGTCATGTAGAAAATTATTGGATATGGGTTTTGCAGCGCCTACCTGAGAAAAACGGTGCCAACGCCCATAAGCAGAGATCAGAAAGGACCTGAAGTACTAATATCCATTTTATTTTCCAGATAAATTGCAGGAGACCGATGTAGGAAGTATTAACAGTTGTAGTTACCGTTGTAATTATGGGTCAAGTGGGATCGGCCATTCATTCTAATATTTTTTTTTTTTTTTTTTGGGGGGGGGGGGTCTGGGTCTGAACATGCTGCTTCAAAGACAGGTTCTGTGCTAACATAAAATGATTAGTCATGTGCCAAACCATGACCTCTGTTCTAAAGTTCAAGGGGTCATTGCTGGTCAGAGTAAATGTAACTCTAGGTTAGAGGAAAAGTACTTCTACCACAGATTTGTTGGTATCCATTTTTGTAAATAGTTAGATTTGTTTTCATTTGCTGCATGTCATAATGTAAATATATGTATTCAACTTTCAAATTAGCAAGTATAAGTCCCCTTTCATAGCAACGATAAGAAGTACTGTTAACACTCTTCATTCATTTATGATTTGTTGGCTAATACCTGATTGCATCTTAGTCGCATGTGTTTAATTAAGGCCAAATAAGAATAATTCCTAGTTTTTTTTAAGAATGAAGAAGGTTCTGTGATACTTGATACCTTAGCACATCAAAATATTATTGGTTGGTCATTCCTGATACAAGCTCTTTAGGCTGGCTTTCTTGGGGCAAAACAACTATACAGCGTATGAAGTTGGGCGAGAGTATGAAACTAGGGATTGTGTTTACTGGGCCCTACGCTAATACTCTAGATCTTGCTGTTACAATAAATCATAAAAATATACATGTAGATAGTATAGTTTCAACATTAACATTTGCATTAAGTACTGCTTATTTTAGTAATAAACCAGTTTTTAGTTAGCACATGGTACAAATTACCCTGAAATATTAGTACATTTTTATTTTCGTGATGAAACATGTCTCTTTTGAATTTCAAATCGAGGGTTCAGTGACACAAAGACAAACTCTATATTTTGCCAAAATGAGTATTTGATATCAAAATGTTCAGAAAACACATAAGACTTAACTCCACCCAACACCCCATTGAAGTCAATGGCTAGTGAAACATAAACTTAAGTGCTCAGTGACACAAACCAATTTTTCTCAAAATGAAGTTACGTCTTTGTGTCACTGACCCCCTCGAAATGTAGCTTGCGCAACTCCAAAGCTGACTTTTGTCTCACCTTTTTTCTGAGGAAGAGGAGGAAGAAATAGCAGGGAAAGGGTGCACCTTTTTCCTGTCATTGTTCACTGCTCATAACATTAACATAAAGGGCTGGTTGTCTATCAGATCAGTCCGTTCAGAAATGTCTGTTGCTCAATGGTTGATGATCGAGCCTTCAGCAATGATGTTCTTGAATCCAATACATTTTATTCAAAGAACAATTCTTGTTGTTATTGGTAGTGTTATCTTTGATATGCGGCACGTTCTTAATCGTACATCATATTTACTTGTATTTCATACTTTATTTTTCATTTGTCTATTTTGAAGAGCAAAAAGTTTGGATTCGTAATACTCAAAGTTATGGCGTACTGCCATTGTTGAATACTTTAATGTCATATTCTCAAGAAACATAAATTGGGAGAATTTAATTTTTCACCTAATTTACATATTACAAAACTTGGTAAGGGTACAAATAATTTAGTTAACTGTATTTGTTTAATTAACATTGCATGTGTATGTTGTTCCCAATATTATTGTTCATGTGTAGATATATATTTAGATGCTTATTATCTTGCTTTTATTTGACTATTCAGTGGAACCTCATTATAGCAAAATCTTTGGAATAAGAGAATTATCTTCTTGTATTGAAACCCTGTTACATCAGGGCTATAAACAGAAAAAAGAAGAGCAATCTGCAAAATTGTTTAAAAGAGTACCTTTTTATAAAGAGTTTGACTATGACTCTGTGTTCTTTACAACAATGTTTAACTGTACATTTCTCCTTTTCAACATTTCTGGATTGTATTTTTAAAATTTTGGTGACCAAAAGAAAGATTGCTTTTTATTAAATTTTTGTTTAAAATGTGTAACCTTTTTTTTTAAAATTGAGCGTGTATATAATTTTATCATTTTGTTTCATGCCAGTGCTCTTACAAATACATTTGATATATTTCATCATCTCTGTTCTATAAAATTGATTTTATTGTTAAAGGTAAGAAGTTTTGGCAAAAAACACATGAAAGCATGGATCCATCCATAATACAATCACTCTCGCAACAGAATAGAGTGGGAAGAATAAAGAGCAACATGTTTTTCAAGATAAATAAAGCTTATTGATTATTTATTTCCATTAAGTGTAGAAGTCATTCACAATACAACATTTGCATACTTGAAAAGCTTTCTGTACAAGATGTATGTAGAGAACCCTGCTTACAATCAATCATGAATATCAATTTTTTATCTTCAATTTTGGGGCAATTTATTGTATCTACCGGTACCTGTAATATACAATTAATTGAAAGTTACTTTTTAATGAAATAGATTGAAGGAGATACAACTGAATACAATCGTAACTTTTATGTTACAGAGCCAAGTTCTCAGTCCATACATGTATAGAGACATTCTATGTCATATCATCCCTTTTCTAAATTCCAACACTTTATATTGACCAAATTTGGGTATATATGGGAAAATTGAGGCTGAAAAGTAGAGTTTTAGCTCCACAGAGTCCTAACAGTTTTTGTCCTATGGTATGCCCCTTCTTGTTGATGTTTGCCAAAATGTGTACAAGTATTTAGAAAGGAGCCTGCCCAAGCTATCAAAACTTGCCACTATATTCTATTATTAAAGTTCAATAAGCTCGTGACCTTGAGTTTCACCTTCTGCGTGTTCTAAAATCTACAAAAAAAATGGGAGGGATATTTTTTAATTTTTTTAAAGATGTTAAATATAATGTCATCAATTTTTATTTCTGTGACCTTTGACTTCATGACCTTAAAATCCAATCAGTTTATTGGTGACGATAATTCATGGGTAGCTAGAGGAGTCGTAGAACCTTCAGTTGATGAGATGAGAAAATAATGGCAAATGTAGATTGCTTGTGTTACAGACAGGCAAGTACGCAGAATTTTTTAAAGGGGGGGGGGGGGTTTTAACATTTATAAATCGGTCTGAAAATTTCGCAACGACTCAGCCAGCCGCTGAATAAGCAGGGGGGGGGGGGGGGGTAAGAGGTCACTTTTTTTTTGGTCCCAAAAAAATCGCAACGACTCAGCCGACCGCTGAATAAGTGGGGGGGGGGGGGGGTGGTGGTAAGAGGACACCTTTGACACTTTTTTTTTTTTTTATAAATAAAAAAGGGGGGGGGGTTTTAGGTTTTTTTAGGGGGTTTTACATACATACAATTACCAAAGGGGGGGGGTTAACCCCCTAAACCCCCCCCCCCCCCCCCCCCCCCTGCGTACGCGCCTGGTTACAGAGGAGCCTTGTAATAAGGACTATTACATTTATTTTTTACATGTACATGTATAAACATTGGTGTTCGTTATAACAGACAAAACATACCCTTTCAAATAAACATATCAAATCTGACCTAGCAGTGAGATACTACATGTATTTGAATGTTAAAAAGTTTTAAATATCTGTCCACCATCCTTGAAAGGGCATGCCATAGCACAACATTCATATTCAGCTGATGGTGCTAGCACTTCAGCTGTAAGTCTCGATCATCTCATATACTAAATTTTGACAGATTGAAGGGATGGCCGGTGGTTGTGATATAGCCAATTGGTGGTTTGATTAGGATTAAACCTATTGTATCTATTTTGCATAGCTTTGATATAGATCAGCATACTACAGTATAATGATATCAAATATATAATCTTGCTATCACAGGTTTAGTAGTGTTTCACTAACTAGATGGAAAGAAGTCGAAAATAATGCCTCTGCCATAAAGCGATTTTACAAACAAAGTTGCATTTAATTTATTCCTCACAATAGTGAGGGCTTAAAAATGACTTTGATAATACGGTAATAAATAATAATAATAATAGTGGGTTCTTGTATAGCGCTCATGTCTGTCAGACTTGACACTCCTGGCGCTCTCGATTATTACCCTGGCTTTAGCATGGCTGCCATTACGGAGCTCTAGCATTTCAAGGAATCAATTCCTGCAAGGTACCCATTTACATCACCTGGGTTCATAGGCGCCGGATGTGGGAGGGCAGGGGGGGGGGGGGCAGTTGCCCCCAGTCAACCCCCCCCCCCCAAAAAAAAGCAGTAAAGGAGTAAAGATGGTTGTATTTTTAACCCAAAAGAACATACCAATAATAAAGACTTGAATGAAATCACATATAAAATTACAGTCAAAGAAAAGGAAAGTTAACAGGAATTAAATTTCCTAAACATTGCACATGCCACCTATATTTATCAATGGAGGTTTTTATAATAGCGATACGCGCATATCGTGGGCATATTGTGAGAGAATGGGAAAGCGTGTCTATTTTTTGTTATAGGGGTGAGAAGACATGAGCCCATGAACAGTGGCGTACTGATTGGGGGGGGGGGGTTATTTCTTATTCGATACCAGTGATTTACAAATGTTGCTGAAATGTCTTGATTTTCCAGTATTTGTTCTCAATTTTGTTGTAAGTCGTACCTTTTAATGCGTTTATTGGAAAATTAGAAATTCCCAAATTTACAGTCGGGCGAAAAATATGCTTATTTAGAAGCCTTGGTCATGTCATGGTCTGAGCCCCCTCACTTTTTGAAAAGGTATGTTACAGATAAAAAGAAAGGAAGAGAGAAAAAATAAGTGACCTGCCAATGTCACAAATGAGGTATCAAAATATGCTCATTAAATGCCTAAAACCCCCGAGCTTCCAGGGGCTCTGCCCCTGGACCCCACAAAGGGCCCCGAGGTGGCCCCTGGATGCTCATCTGACCGTAGTTAACTATTAAAACCTCTGGGCTTCCGGGGGCTTTGCCCCCTGGACCACATTAATGACCTTAAAGAGGGCCCCTGGATGCTCATCTGACCGTAGTTAAATATTAAAACCTCTGAACTTCCGGGGCTCTGCCCCCTGGATCACATCAATGGCCTTAAAGAGGGCCCCTGGATGCTCATATAACCGTAATTAAATACCTAAAACCCATGAGCTTCCGGGGGCTCTCCTCCCTGGACTCTCCGCCAATTTGTGACCTGCCAGTGTCACAAATAAGGTATCTAAATATGCTTATCTGGCCGTAATTAATGCCTAAAAACTGAGCTTCCGGGGGCTCAGGCCCTTGACCCCCTGCCGAGGCTCTGACCCTGGACCCCAAGCCAATTTACGCTCTACCTGATCGTTAATACTCCACTTTGAAAAACGTTCCGCGGGGCCTGCATGTAACGTGTAAGAGTGGTGGTGATGCATATTTTTCTTCTGCCCCCCCCCCCTTCCAAACGTTTTTGCTCATTACGTCACTGCCCCTGGAAGGTGAGCCCCCTGGAATGTTTGCCCCCCCCCCCCCCCAATCCCAAACTGCTTCCGGCGCACCTGCCTGGGTTGAGTGTGGGAAATGTAGATCAACCAGCAATCTATAGAGGCATAACTTGCCAATTTTCCAAATTATCCAAATTTCAATGAACCTTCTCTTTGAATTTATAATTCTTCTTTGAAACTGGTAATTCTTAACAAACCAATCCAGGAATCTAACCAATTACTTTCACAGACTATTTCCAGGACGTAATTTGGTGGTAATACATCAAAAATATGCTTGGTGCCCTAATGCATAGTAAAATGTGGCAATCTTCCTAAAACTCTGTCCAAAATCTACTGGTCAGTTCCTTTAGAAGGGAGGTTGAGTATGGCTGGAAGAAAAATAACGGCCAACGAAAAGGTGTCACGTACGGCTTGTCTTCAAAAACCTCTCGTACTCTTGGAGTGAAGTCCTTGCGATGTCTTTGCAGAATGCCTCATCTGGTAGTTTGAACAGGGACATCAGCGGAACATAACCAGGGTCTTTGGGATTATACTGGTTCCTTCCTATTAATGTCAGATACTAGGAGAAATTCAAGAAAAAAAGGATTGTAACTTACATCATCATCATTTATAAAAGCGAATTAATGGGGCGGTGCAAGAAAGTTGCAAATCCCCTAAATCAAGCGTAAAGCTTGCGATTAATTGCAAATAGCCATAGACATTACTGATTCAGCCAATTTGAAATCCCATAATCACAGTGAGAGCAACTGCAAAAAACATCTGATTAGGCCTACTAGAGACTTTACATACATGTATATCTGATACAGGACTCCACTTTGTATACAGTATTAGCAGAAAATTCAGTCATCTTGCATATTCCGATCAAAAGGTTTTTAAAATTATTCAAAAATTATAAAAAGCTTGAAGGCAAAATTGTCAAAGAAATTTCCCCACGAACAAGCTGGAGCCTGCGTCTAGATTAAAAAGAATACTCAGATCAGGGGCCTGTTTCATGAAACTTGTTATCAATAAAAAGTTACAAGCTACTGTTATAAGCTACTGAACTCCTGGCATCTGATTGGCTGAGAGCAAATTTGTTATAGAACTTTAGCAGTTGTTATAGATAACAAGTTTTATGAAACAGGCCCTAGGTCATGTCGAGGTCAATAAACTTTACCTTGTGTCGGTCCTTGACCCTGTTGACCTGGCCGAGAAAGACTTGAGGCGACTTGAGAAGCAGCTTGTGTGGAATCTCCATGACATTGTGGAGGTAGTCAAAGGTTGCAATCAAACGAAATTTTCCTGTGAGGTATCAATACAAACAATAGATTATTTTTGTTCTCTTATCCTCAGTGAGGTTTTTATTCCCAGTATTTAACTCATTGAGTGAAACATAAAATAGGCTAAAAATTAAAGTATATTCAACAATTCTTCCAGCTTAGTATTGTTTTCTTTGCTGACACCTTATATCTTAAAAGTAATCTTAGCAACGACTTGAACAAACAATAGATTATGTGATCTTACAATCCTAAACGCTATCATTTCAGCTATTTCCATAAATTCCATTTCCATTCTGCTCATGACATTCGAGGCTCTTACCGCTCACTCTTGCACCAACTTTGTGCCTAAAGTAGTTGCTGGACGAACAATTTTAATTGTATTTCTGATTTTCTGATCTTTCAAACAATTGACAGCCATCAAATCAATATCACAAAATAAATCTTTGGGGGCTAAAATGATGTCTAATGAACATGTTTGAAAATTGGTTTGTTGTTTGTGTCCTTTGCCTGGTCACAAGTCGCGTAATTGTGCAAGATGCAGTTAACTATAGTAGCCACTTTCTCTGTTGTTCTCCTTCAGTGGCCTCAATAGACAGGTTTGACTGTAATTGATTTTCTAGGCACTATAGAATGCAAAGTACATGTATCTTTGAAACAAAGATCATAAACACGTACCATCAACACTCCTATCCAAATCATCGCTACTACCACCATCACCACTACCAACATATTAAATTGTAGTATTTCTTTAAAGACCCACTGTACTTCTTGTAGCTACTTGCTCCCTGTATATACATGTAGCAAACAATGCCTAATCAGTGCCTGTTGGTCCCCCATGATCCCCTTTTTCTTATGTTTTTAATTTAGAGCTGATTTGATGAGATAACCACCTGTCAGTGACCTTGCAGGGAGGTCTAATCCCCCCTGGCTAAACTAGTGCAGACGGGTTTTAATACTTACCCCTGAGCAGTATAGCTGGTTCTTTGAGCACCATAGAGCGTAGAGCATCCTTGCTAAAGCCACACTGGAACTCCAGGACAAACAGATTCTCCTTGGGCCTTGAAACTGTCATGGTGACCAGCTGAAAGCAACAAATACACAAGGATTGCATAGGCGATAGCAATGAACAGAATTAAAAAATAATTGTATGTCTTTTCACTCTAATGACCGACTCCAGACACAAACCCAGAATTTGTAAAAGAGCCGATTCTAAAAGTCCCTGATATATGCATTAATGAACAGGGGCGGCACAAAAGCTTAGAAGTAGATGAACATTTTTGTCCCACTTGCCATTTACATGTAGAAACAGAATTTCATTTCATTAATAAGCAGTGTCCAACACATAACAATCAAAGAGAACAATTACATGTGTTTTGCGACATACTTTCATGACAGATTGACCCCCCTAGGCCCCTATCCCCTCCTCCACAGGATCCCCCAATGATACCAGATAGCATTCTTGCTTCTTGCATGCAACCAACCTAGGACACCTGGTGATGATCTCTCTGACGTTGGAATCAGAAATTCTCAAAAGCTGCTGAAAGTAGCCTAGTTTGTTGTCAATTCTCTCCACCTTTGAAGATAAAAAGGAAAGATGGGTGTAATATTAAACAATTAATCTAATTGAAGGTACGGTTTAAAGACTACTACATAGTGTACAAATAGTGTAGTTATTCCATTAACCAGTTTAATTAATGAATGAACTATTATTTGAATCCAGTCTGGATACATTATTTGTTATGTCGGGCAAGCCTCAGGCAAGCTTTGAGTTTGTCAAGAACAATACTTTTGTATATAGAGAGTATACATAAAATTTGAATATTTTAGTAAACTTAGTAAACCATTCTATCGCCTAAGGAAAAGATGAACTTCGATCTTTCACACAAAAATTTCATGGGCTTTCAGAATTATACTGTGCACACTCTACTATACTAAGGAAGTGATATCATCCCTCATTCTTTATTTTTCAGTTGCATACTTGCATTGAATGTTCGTTTATGCTGAACCCCGGCCCCCCCCCCCCCCCCACTCAGTGTTATTTAGGGTATGCATATGCGTGTTCCCAGCGACCCCCCCCCCCCTTTTCAGCAAAAGTCTGGTGTGTAAAGTCAATACGAGGAGACCTTTTCTTTTGTTACGAGCCAGAGAATTTGGGAACACGCATGGTATCCCTCCGTTCCCGGGGTGGGGGGGGGGGGGCTGGTGCTGAACATTCACAAGGTCTCACATTATCACTTTAAGTAAGATTTGGTTAAATTTGAGGGACAGCAGAATAAAGAACGAATACTCACAGAAAAATTCAGAAAGTAGGGGGAACGACAAACTATCTGGGAAACATCTGCCTCCGAAAATCCATTTTGCAGCAAATAATGTACCCTAGCTTCTAGATTCTGCACATCTTCACCTAAGATGAACGGGTTCTTGGTGATAAACCATCCAAGTTGTTCTCCAGGAATCCCTATGTGATGCAGAAAGGCCAGCTTGTCCTTTATGTCACGGTCAAAGTCCATCTTCATAAGCATGCTGGCCACCCCTTTTCTGCTCTGCACTTTGGAAAGGTCCATGCCCATGTGCACTAGCTTCTGCAGGGTCTCAGAATGGTCCACGTACGAGGCCAGGGTATATGTCTCCGGCATGAGGGGCATGTCAGAAAAGTGTTCCAAGATCTCTGGATTCTCTGTCTCTTCAAGGATGTCAACCTCAAATTCATGGCTATTTTCCAACACCTCAACATCGTCTTCAGGAATGGCCTCCATAAAAGATGGCTTTGCATTTGCTAATAAATCAGGGGATAAATCAGCATCCTCAGAAGAGCTGGAACTTATAACCTTGTCCTCTCTTTTCTCTGATACTAGTCTCCTGGGAAGTAAGAAACTGTGTTGGGTCCCAGCCTTCTGGAGACTGTGTTCTACCGTGGCTGGACCAAAGCTATGGAAGCCATGCTTCTGCCATCTTTGGCCAGATGTCACTGGGACCGAGGATGGTTTACAGGTACTGAGACAGGAAACAGCTCCCTTGAAGAGCCTACAGCTGAGGTGGAAGTTGCTGCGATTCATCATGAACGATCATGGATAGTTTCCTCGTGGAAAAAGGGAAATTCTTCAGAAAGAGTCATCCACCCATACAACAAGTGGTGATGTTTAAATGTAAATAGCTGGCTGAACAGTCCTTATTTGATCATCCCTGGAGAAAGAAAGAATAGATTGAGAATCGAATCGAGTCAAATTGAAGTGATTTCCTCATCTCTATCAAACCATACAAAAATAACATGATATAAATATTTACAAACTTGGTTATAACTGTTATATTATATCCCGCTAAGAGCGGTCATGACCCACAAGGGACTGTAATCAATGTACATGTAATTAAAGCTGCCGAGAGCCTCCAAAAAGTCTGATATAGAGTATTAAAAAAGGCCCTGAAAGCCATATCCATCAGCATCACAACTTGCTCCTTGTCTTCTAAGTTCTATTGTGAAATTTGGGCACTGGAAATTTATTTCATATTATAAATTACTAAAACAGACTTTGTTAGCAATCATCTAAAAGCATCTTGGCAGCTTTTGACTGTAAAGTAGGAGAGCTAGAACCGCGGCAGCTACAGTATATTAACAAAAAATAAAGAATGCATCATATACATGAACTTGAGACCATAAATAGATTAGTATTTGTAAAACTCATAAAACATGATCCGGCGCTAGTTCAGAAGTCCATCCAGACTTTGACCCGTAACTCAGCTCTGTATTAATGAATTGCATGGTTAGATTACAGTCGCTAACTTAACACACCTGCGCGCCTGCACCCCACCGTCGGTACGGTATGCAATTGTATTGTGCAGCATGCAGCAGTTTGCTGTGAATCCTGTGAGAAAGTGTATATTATAAATCTTTGTTTCTAGGAGAAATACTCCAAAGATAAGAAGAAATTGACACGAAACAGGCAAGAAACATAACAACTTTTAAATTATGACCAAGATTATTCATTAATAATATAATTTGAACAATTGGTGAAGATTAAAGATGAAGTTGAGTTCTGGTCATGCGATTGCATTGTGAAAGAAAGGGTGTGGAACCGATCAGAAAAGGTTGATCATCTAGCATATTAGAATTTGTGTGTATTGCAAGGTTCTGGAATCATTTTTATTATTTTATTTATTTATTTCGCATCTTTATACAGAGTAACATGTTCAGCTAAAAATCATTACAAAACATTGTTAAAAACATTAAAAATAGGCTGGTTTACAACAGGGCTCTGTTTAAAAAACAACATAAAATGACAATGAACAATATAGAAATGACAGGGGTAACGAAAGCTAACACACACACACCTGTTTACCACCTGTTTACAAACTAAAAATTACATTAAAATCAAGCATAAAATGAATTTGACCTCACTGCAACCCCCTCCTCCACCTTCATTAAAAAAGCTATTTATTGCCAGGTTTAATACATTTTTTGAAAATGGCTAAGGACTGGGCAGATCGGCATTCATCGGACAAACAGTTCCATTCATTTACACTAACTGGTACAAATGTCCTCCGATAAAATTGAGTTTTGCATTGAGGGATACGTAATAACAACCTGTTGGTGCTTCGTGTTACACGTGTAGAGACATTGTCATTTAGAACAAATTTACTACTTAACTGGGATGGTGCTACCCCACTTACACATTTATACACCATGCATGATATTGACTTGTTAAACAGTTCTTTTAGAGTAGGCCAGGCTAGTATTCGAAAAACTGTTTCCGATTAGGTTTCCCAAGTATATCCACTTACAATATATGCTGCGCGCTTGTGTAGCGTGTTTAATATTTTGTAGTTAGATTCGGATGAAGATGACCAGACGGTTGAACAATATAATGCATGGGGGAGAACAATCCCCAATATAATCTTTTGAGTTGATCAACATTAAATATATACTTGTTTCTTCTAATTAGGCCAAGTTTTTGTTTCATGACTTTTGCAATAGAAGTAACATGAGATTTGAATGTCAGAGTATCATCAATCGACACCCCCAGACACTTATCTTCAGATACACATTCTAGTAAGGTACCTTTAATTATAACAGATATTTTTTTATCCTGCAAGGTATTCAATCGTTGTCGAGAACCAAGAAGCATCACTTTCGTTTTTTTATCATTTAGTACCAATCTATTTTTAGATGTCCACTTGTAGACTTCATTCATTGCAGAATTTAGTTGACTTTCAACCGATTCAAGATTACTACCACTAACATACAGAGTTGCATCGTCTGCAAACATGACAACTTTCCTGACTTTATACTGGAAACCAAATCGTTAATATATATTGTAAACAACAGGGGCCTAAAACAGAGCCTTGTGGTACCCCAGAGATAGTTGACCTTGTATTGGATAATTTACCCCATATTTCTGTCAATTGATCCCTAAAGCAAAAGTAGGATTTAAACCATGCCAATGCATTCTCAGAGCATCCTATCATAGAAAGTTTGTTCAGCAATACATCGTAGTTAACAGAATCAAAGGCTTTACGCATATCAATAAACGCTACCCCACAAAATTTACTCCTATCAACTTCGGTTGCCCAGTCATCAACCATACACAATAGAGCACTTTCACATGAATGCTTTGGTCTAAAGCCAAATTGACTTTCACTGAAGAAATCGCTATTTAATAAGTATGTCTGTAAATGCTTTTGTACCCATTTCTCCAAAAATTTTGAAACAATTGACAATAAGGATATTGGTCGATAATTTTCTATACATAATCGATCACCACCCTTAAAAATAGGGCGAATTTTGGCCAAGCACCATGCTTTTGGAAAATGCCCTTTTGACAAAGAAAGGTTGAAAATATAAATAAGACCATCTATTACATTTGTGGCATATTTCATCATTTTCAAAATTTTAACAGAGATGTCATCAGGCCCTGTCGCTTTTTTTACAGAATGGCTATCAATTTCTTTTACAACAAAATCGTGACCATTGATGCTCTCAGGAGCTGATGTTTTGCTTTGTAGTCTCGTAATTGATCATCTATTGTAAGGCTATTAGGTTCATTACAATGCTGATCTTTCTCCGTGCTTGCGTCGGAATCGATTTGAGCTTCATCTGTTGTCGTCTGATTAGCTGATTTAGAGCCTTTTGTTGACGAGATGATGCCATTGACGGTTTCATTCAAAACCTGGAGTTGGTTTTGAACAGATTCCAAAGTAGTTGTGATTGTACCACAGGTCTTGCAATTGTTTTCATTCTGATTATCTTCAATCCTCCCTTCTCCTGTTTGAGTAGATTTGTTTGGGACGCCTTGGCGGGAAAATTGGGGGTTACCCGCGCCATGTTGGGCCTGTGTGTCACTTGGTACCGGGTGTTCATATATGGTAACAAAATGCTCACAGATAAACTTGTCAAGATGAGGTAAAATATGACACAATAAATCTGTAACATAGTCTATACGGTTTTCTCCACCGTGTTTTCCATAGCGTTCGTATGAAATGTGAAGATGTTGTATGGCTATACGTAGACCAGCAGTAGTCATATATTTCGGAAGTTTGTAACGAAAACTCTCAGCTCCTGGATTGCCAGAGTGGGTATTCGACTTTAATTGTGTCATTGCGTCCTACAGTGTTGATATACTAGTACATATAAGTCTCTCGATAAAAAGTCTTTTAAGAAAATACAGTGATCACAATGTACATGCATATATAAGCTCACCCCATCATAAAATGTCACAGGTGGGACCAAGACTCTAGTCCGGCATCAAACTGTCTATATGCACCGGGTTCACAGCATCACAAATTGCACAAGAAAACACAATATAACAGTAGCACATCTGCATCCAAGTTAATTTGGCGTTTCCATGGCGATATTTCACTTTGCAAAACAGTACAACAGTATAAATAGACGGAATATAGCAGAATATAGCAGGAGTATAACAGACGTGCGTGCGTTGTCGAATGTACACTAGCCATCAAAATGATAAGAAATGTGGCCAAGTCTTGGTAAAGTTACAAACACTTGCACAGAAAGATGTATATGGGACTACACGAACACGTGGCGTAAAAAGCCGCCCCCCCCCCCCCCCGATTTTTACGATGTTACATGCATATTTAGAATATGAAGGCATTTGAAGAGCCATGCTTTTCAGGGAACATGTCTTAACTGATTTTCTTCCACACTTGCATAATAAGAATGAGTAATGCTCACAAATTATTTTTCACCTCTTCCCATAGAACTCAACCTTCTCTTTAAAGGTAAAGACGACCAGTATTGGAAACGCCCCAATTTCAAAAAGTGAAATGGAAGCTCTTATTAATATTACCAACCATGTGAAAGAATATGTTTTGACTAATACACGATGATAAAAATTTTGCCGGGAAACCACCTAGAGTCTAATTGATATAGACCTAGATCTATTTGGTAAATTAGTTTATTTAAAGCCTAAAGGTCTGTGAGAGATAAACGCACGTGTTGCGCACATGTGCGGTTATAGTCCCATATACATCTTTCTGTGTACAGTGCTTGTAACTTTACGAAAACTGGGCCAAATCGCATGACCATTAACTGGTCCAGCAAAGCATTGAGAGTCAATGATAAAGCGTATTGGACTTTAGAAGTTTAGCTTTAAGTTTAAATCAATTTTCGGTACGGTTTGTTCTATCGATCTCTACGCCGGAGTCACGGGTCAAAGTCTGAATAGACTTCTGAACTACCGCCGAAGTTTCTGTCTCATTCGTTCGTTAGCCTCTGATTTGGGCAGGGTCGGCTCCTCTCGGTCGGCTCCTCTCTTTAGAGGAGCCGACCCTGGCTGGCCCTGCCCAAATCAGAGGCTAACTGTATAGGCTACGTACGCGTACGAGCGAACGAAAGAGACAGAAACTTCCACGCCGGAGACCCGGGTCAAATTTTGGCTAGACTTCTAGATCTAGTGCCAAAATTGGTGATAAAAATCTACTTAGTATAGATCTAGACCTAACCATCATTTCTTGTGTGCAACTAGATGCGGTAGGATCTAGATCTAGTTCTACTTACTGTTGATCTTGACTGCGTGGCTCTGATCTTAATCATGTTTACAAGATGTGCGGCGGCGCTTCTGGCGCTTCTGTGTAGACTACACGTGTGTACGATCGAATCTCTTTGCCAAGAGCCAAGTAGAGCGCCACTTACGCTGGCTTTTACAGGAATAGTCTAGATCTACGATTTTTTTTTTCTTTTTAAATAGTCTAGATCTAGTTCATTTTTCCATGTAGATTGCTGGTACCAGACGAAAACCCCGCTGTTAGCATTGCACCCACTTGAGAAATGGACCCCCCCCCCACCCCCTCCCTTCTCCATCTGCGCCACCCCACAGCCATCGAGCCCTGGTCGTGTTGGCTTTCCATAACTCGCAACCCTGAAAAACAGGGGAAACCCCCTTGATGACGCATAGCGTCCATCGCACCGCGCCCAACTGCTTCCGGTACAGTGCAGTAAATGTTGTTCATACATGTATGTACATGTTGCATTATAACTAGACATGCAATTCCATTGACTCTATAAGTCTTAGAGCTCCACTCGTAATTGTGCGGTGTTTTTTGTGCAGACTGCTGCTGTGCGCGAATACTGAAGAGTAGAACTACAATCACTGTTTGACTGTTGACATCTGATTCTGAACTTCGATCTGAAGCTGAAGTCAGTTTAACGGGCCAGGCAAGGTTACAAAGGTATGTAGATCTAACAGTTAGGTCTATGTCCATGATGTCCGTCACCGAGTCCTACTCATACTAGACTGGCTAGAACTTTGAAAGTAGTGATGAATAGAAATGAAGTCATTACTCATTTTCGATTGATTTTTTTGTCATTAATCGTGATCGTTACTAGTCTAAGCTTGAGGAGAAAGATAGTGACTACTGTCTTCAATGCTATATATATAAGATGCTGTACAATTAAAGATAATCTGAAAGTTTGAGTGAAAAGATACCATTATTATCATTTTGATAATGATATTGAAAACAATCGGGGAAAAACTAAACTGATCTAGACTAATCCGTTTCTTAATTCTCCCAACTATATTATTACAATTTGATTACATATAAATATATAGGTCTAAGGTGAATGTAAATCGTCACAAAGCAATGAATCGGCTCTTGATTCCAGACATTTTAGATGTTGAAAGATTAGTAAAAGCCTTTCTTTTCTTTTTTTCAAGGAAAAACGGTTGGGGAAAATTCAAAAATGGTTGGGAGAATTTACTGTTAGAAGTGAGAGGGTGTCTCACAATGACGCCTTCAAAGAAAATCATAAATATCTTTGTGGTTTGAGAATTTTTAAAGGATTTTTTGCATGTAAGAAGAGGGTTAGTACAGTAAAAGGAATATAATAAGTAACATTTCATACACAATTACGCAGTTTTTTCATCAAACTTCAACAATGTTACCAAGTCATTTTAATTAGGCCTAGGCTGTATTTAGTTAATAGTTATTATACCAGCCCAGGGGGTAGACCGAAAGCTTCAGTCTCTATACCGTCGGTTGTTCCACTGAGACTACGTCTGGCTCCACTAGACCTCCGGTTATAGAGACAGAACGATCGCCTATGCCAGCCTATGTTGAAGATATCACGGCTAGATTTTAGCCGTTAGGCCCCTCCCACAAACATGAACAAACTTGCCACGGCTGTATTGTTATGCCCCCAAAATCCCCCAAAATGTCATTTTACCTCGTGCGTATCCAATTTTACATTAGGCCTAGACCTCTAGGCTATAATACATCGGCTCCACTTACTAACTTGATTGAAATAATCCGTTTAATGGTCCCTTTTAAGGAAATTATGGGTCAAAATCGACATCCATGTTGAAAATCTTGCAAAACGTGTTAAACTCTCGCTGCCGTCAATCTCATCCCTTCTAGTCTACGCCGAAGGCAAAATGATTATGAAGGAAAAACTGTGCGCCATCTACACGTTCGTAATGGCGTTATCACAGTTTTTCCTTCATAATCATTTTTGCCTTCGGCGTAGACTAGAAGGGATGAGATTGACGGCAGCGAGAGTTTAACACGGCTTGCAAGATTTTCAACATGGATGTCGATTTTGACCCATAATTTCCTTAAAAGGGACCATTAAACGGATTATTTCAATCAAGTTAGTAAGTGGAACCGATGTATTATAGCCTAGGCCTAATGTAAAATTGGATATGCACGAGGTAAAATGACATTTTGGGGGATTTTGGGGGCATAACAATACGGCCGTGGCAAGTTTGTTCATGTTTGTGGGAGGGGCCTAACGGCTAAAATCTAGCCGTGATATCTTCAATATAGGCTGGCATAGGCGATCGTTCAGTCTCTATAACCGGAGGTCTAGTGGAGCCAGACGTAGTTTCAGTGGAACAACCGACGGTATAGAGACTGAAGCTTTCGGTCTACCCAGGGGGGTGTTTCACAAAGTCGAACTTAACTCTGGACTTAAATATTATTGAGAGCCATTTGTAGTCTATGAAATAGATCTATATTCAAAAGCAAAAATTCAAGTATTTAGACTGTTCATAAATTCAGAATCAAGAACATGAAATCTCCAATGATAATAGAAAATATGAATCAATGATTTGAATAAACATTTTATGCCTTTTAATATAACTTTTACAAAATATTTTCAAGGATGCCAACAGCTTTCCATTATTGTCAAGTCCAACTTAGAGATAAGTTCAACTTAGGATCTTGTGAAACACCCCCAGGCCAGCCAAACTTGCAAGCCATTCTCAGCCTCAGCAGCTCAGGCATGTTAGACGACGAGTGCTTTGATGTCAAGCCAGCTTAGCTTAGTTTGGTATTGTGAAAACATGTTAGCAAAATGATGTTCACTGTCATAACAAATAAGAATTAGGAGTTGGGACAGGTTACTAGTATTTAAAGTTGATACTCTAAGCAAATAAATGTCCCTTAATTTGTTACCTACGGCAAGTATATGTTATTTTAAAGTTTTTCAATTACTTAGTATATCACACAAAAAATTCCGTCTACTCGAAATCCTCAATTGAAATGTTGAAAATATCCGCCTCTCTTTGCATAGAAAATCAGTCACGGCGCTGGTCTACTATTATGACCTCATGTCCGGGAAAGAGTATATTCACGTACCCGGATGTTCCATAGCAAACATGTGCAGAGTGATACGATTTTCTGCATATTTTTGTTTCAAAGGCTGAAAAGTCTAATAAATCATAATTCTATGTACAATTCTTTACCTTCCCCTAGTAGTACTTCATAGTATTAATATCAATTCCCCTTTTCAAAATTATGACATATACATGCCAACGTTGTGCTATTAGTCGATATTTTCACCATGTAATTTTTGTTTTGGTGTTGAAATCGGCCCAGGCACGGAGTGAACAGTAGCTGTCTACCCATGCACAGTTCATTACCATACACTACAGCGATCTCCCGATGGTTTCGTTCCTTTTTCCCATGTTTTTCGCCTTCCTTGGCCCTGAAGATCCTTCATCTACCAATTCTGACACCGGTAGTCAGGAGCAAGTCTTTGTTAGTTGTTTTTCTTAGCTGGCAACGTCGCTTTCATTCTCTTGCAATTGCCAATAAACATATAACTAGCGCACGTACGTTCCATCACAAGCAAGCAGCGCCTAGAGCAGCGGCTTGGTCTTACCTCCCGATTCTGCTCGCTTCACGAACGTTCATGCAAGAGCCGCATCACTCGCCAAAATATTATAGAGGAAGCGCGCTTGCACGATCTCGTTCAAGTTTGATATTTTACAACATAAAATGTTTAACTGGTACTGTATCCTTTTTTGAGGCAGTCACACACATTTATGATAAGTACTATCATAATTCTAGACCTATTCGTTTTACAAAACTGCTCCTTTACCTTATCTGATGACAATATAATGCATCCGCCTATTCATACGTGCACGATTTAACTTTAATTCCTAAGCAGTAACCTCGTCTTAAATCTCTACCAAATAGGTGAATATGAGGATATATAAAAAGAAATCAGCGACTGGAAAATGTTGCTTCGTTATTCTTCATTCAAATGAAAACAGAAAATCCATCAAATATACTCCTTAACAACAACAAATCTAAGCTCTGACAGGATAGCATTTACGTAGGGATATCACTGCCATTCACTCTCACTGAGCCCATGAGTCCCGTTCGTGACGTCACGGATAGAGGCCCGACTCTACGTGCACTTCCGGTTTCAGACTTAGATATTTTGGTAGAGTTTACTCGAATAAATTCATTATTCTAAACTTGTTTTGTCGGGTGGACACCATTTGGTGTTATTATGGGGGTTAAAAGCTTTCTATTTATGTAATTATCTCAGTATTTGGGATTGTCTTAGAGTATCAACTTTAATAATGTAGTATATAAGCCTAGTAAGTGTCTGCGCAAAACGGCAAAACCGACCGGTTTACGGAAAGACTAAAGTTAATATAGACACCAAAGCTGCCATGCAAGCAGTGTACCAATGCATGGTAAGGGTGTTAGTTCTGTGCAATTTCAGTTTATTATCATTAATACAATTGACATTTACAGTGTGGTTTTATAAAAAATTAAAAGATAGCATTGTTTTCAGGATACGTACAGGCCCTGGCCTGGGGCTATAGTTTAGTATACCAGTAGGCAAATTTCTATTCATCTACCGGTATTCCAAGGCACAATGACTGTCTGTGTATCAATATTTTGACCTACCAGATACTTTTTCTCTTTCTTTCTTCCTTTTGCAATATCTTCCTAAGTTTCTTTCTTTTTTAAAGCCAGCTTTTGAAATTAGGAGACATTGGTCAGGGTCATGTCAGTGTAAAATAATTTCAGGTAACAAGAAAGAAAATGAATTTTGTTCGACTGTAAACATATCATCTAGGTCTGTTGTAGACAGTTGGTTTCCTTTTACCCTTGTAAAATATTTAGTTAATGATCAATCAAGAAAGACATCCATCCATGCTTCAGAGCACAATCATTTCTCATAGGTACGGCCAAATTTCTCGTCTTTTATTAAAGTCTTTGAATTTGATTTCTGCTGTGTTGCCCATTGAAACAGTGATCACTGAAGACGCTTAGAGCCAAGAGGACTTGCATGCCAAACGGATTTACATTAGACTGCTGGATGAATAACGGACAAGACGCACAAAGTGACCCCAACCCTACCCAGACAGAAACACCCCTCGTACATCGAATCACCGTAATGCCGGAAAATACAGGTGTGATACACTCGTTTTACCTTCTTTGGACATGGAAAAAAAATTCACTTAAAATTACTTTAAAAGTTCAGTGTAATTGCAACATTATGAAGGTACACTCTGTAAGTGGAAGTGTCGTAGTCGAGTGGTTTAAGCACTTGAATTGCAATTCAAAGTTTGTGGTTCGATCCCTGTTATGGCACTAATGTCCTTTGGCAAGGCATTAATCTTCATTTGCCACACTCTACCCAGGTGAGGTAAATGGTACCTGGCAGGAATTATTTCCTTGAAATGCTAGAGCGCTATAATGGCAGCTAGGCTAAAGCCAGGGTAATAATAAATGAGCCTCGGAAAAGAATATCTAGACAGACGGCACTATAGAAATGCCTATTGATATTATTATTATTATTATTATTAAATTTGAAGAGGTCTACCAACAGCAACATGTAACAAAGACAAATATTTTTCTCAACCATAACAAAATTAGGACTGATGCTTTCAGCAGACTTCTTGTCATGGTTTAAAAACTGTGATTTCGGCATATAAGCATAAATCCAGGGCTGTCAACCCTCTCGCATTTGGAGGGAGTCTCACGCCACCACGCTCATTCTCCAAACAGCTTGTAGCGGGAGATTGCCACCACCACGCCCTTCCTCCCGCTCTCTCGCAATCTCCCGGTTTATGAAAAAACCTTCCGCCAAATATGTAAAATGAATCAGCATACTTGTATCGTATGGATTTTTTTTTGCAACGGGGGGGGGGGGGGGGGGGGGAGGGTAGTGAACACTTCGATTTTTAAATTTTGTTTTCTTACTCAACACCCCCTCCCTCCTTCCCTCCTTCCCTGTTGAGCCCCCCCCCCCCCCCCCCCCCAAAAAAAAAAAAAAAAAAAAAAAAAAATTGGATACGATCTCCCTCGAAGCAGTTCCCCAAAGTTGACAGCCCTGATAAATCTCATTACCGGTATCTTTTATTTTGCTCAGAATCTCAGATCAATGATATACTGTACTTATTCAACAAAATCAGTCATAATCACAATATTTACAGAAAATGTTAAGAATTATAACGGTGTTAAAAAAAAAGGGAAAAGAGAAAGAAAGAGAAACGGCAGCTAACATTAACTCTCCCAGTGAAGTTTAAAAATGTAGACATCTGGTCGTACAGAGTTACTTATTATATAAGTTACCGGTACCTGGCTATATTTGCAGAAACAAAAAATCCTGTTGAAGGTAAAACGGATTCAGGCAAAGAGAATAGGAAGGAAGAAAGAAGACACAGTAGACATAGTGGACCCTACTTTGTTGGACAGTAGAATATGAATCTAAGAAATGTAGTACCGGGGGGGGGGGGGGGGGGGGGGGGGGTTCAAGTCCAACTTAAGTCGATCTTGGTCCTTGTGAAACACCCCCAGGTTTTAAGGTTATTGATTATGTTTATTCAAGGAATTTAACCAATTTATTTACCCGAGTTGGTAATCTGAAAATGATGTTTTCTTTATAAATGTCAGTCAAAATGATATTAATTGTCATAACAAATTCAAATTGGACAAGTCATTGGTTAATATCTGCGCAAAACTAACTGCGGTCAGGTAAATTGAAAAGAGACATCTGTGCAAGCACCAATGGTAATTATTAGTTCCGCTCAATTTCAGTTTGTTATGACAATTCACGTACTTTTCTCTAACATGATCGAAAATCATTTTCAGCATACGCCATCTGACTGTTTTCAATTGTAGAAACACAAAAGGCCGACGACGGACTTGGACATTACAAAGGAGTAGAAGGAGGGGCAGTAGACAAGGAGAAGATGGAAATTGAAGGGAAAAACAACACTCCATTGGGCAGTGGAAAAGGAGGCTGTTGCTCAAGATTCATGGTGTTTTGCCTCCTGTACAAGCTGGTTGTTGCCATTATTTGCCTTCTAATCATCCTCGTTATAGTCTTCTTTGCCTTGTACATGGTTGCAAGTTGTAAACTTGCTAAAATGTCAGCACCAGCATCTACAGCATCGACACCATCGACAGCACCGACAGGTAGGAATGATATATCTTGTCTTTATAACACACAATCAGAAATCAAAGAAAGGGGTATGTTTCTCTTCAAGCAGACTATATGAAAGTAATGTAGTTTTCTCAATAGGTTCCTCAGATTCCATAGTACAGCTACATCACTATAAACATGACGGACAAAGAAAGAGGACAAAATATATAGTTCCTCATTCTACCCTCAACAATTGCTGTGGTAGACAAAGGAACATCCCTTCACTGCTACTATGTAAAAATGTATAGGACAGGTGTATCATGCATATTCACCTTTTCTACACATTTTTACCTAATAGCAGTGAAGGGACGTTCCTTTGTCTACCACAGCAATTGTTGAGGGTAGAATGAGGAACTGTATATTTTGTCCTCTTTCTTTGTCTATCATGTTCATAGTGCATGTCATTGCTCTGTGACCCCATTTAATAACTCATGTTGATGATAATAAATTAGCCTTCATCTGTAGAACCAGAAGGGTATTATAACTCTGTATTAAAATATAGGAGTCAACGTCCTTCCGGCTTCAAACATACAAATCCATGGTGACGGCAATGAGACAATCTTTATAGTTTACAGTGCTTTACTTTACCAATACAATCAATACCCGCTAAGACTTTAGATCATATCCTTCCCAAGGAAATACTCTTTAATATTCCATTTTGCTAGTTTCAGGGCGAGGGGATCATGGCCTTTGGTCGATGATGTAATTTTTGTCCTATTTTGAGATAATAGGGACGGTAAGGGACCCACATCTGAATGTTTGAAGGAAAAGATTGTTATTTCACCAGGAAACACAGGAAGGAAATTGACTTTCCTCAAATGACATGTACGGTAGAATTGATGTGGCATTGGTAAGTTCCTTCACCAAGATCCTTGCACACCTGTCAGTCAGTTAATAGTACTTACGTAACGGTGTCTGAACTCTGAGACTATGCAGACTGCACCTAGTCTATAGAACCCATAGACTCTGTGCCGAAGCTGCTCCTTAGGCACACAGAAACTGTGCACATTTGTGCATGATTTACTCTAATAGAATAAGTGGTTTTTCAGGTTATTATTCAGATTTGCGTTGTTGTTGTTTGTGATTTAAAGCATGTCTGCGAGTAGGATGATGTTTCTTTTCTTTGACCTACTAAACATCCGCTTGAAATTTTCAACACACAGAATTAAATTGAAAGTTTTGTCACAAAAGATGATAGCAGGGCTTACAGAATTAGTATTTTGTTATCTAGACAAAATATGTATATCTTTAGGAACAAAAAGGTGTTTATTACTTTTCAGTTTAAGATATTCTTACTTCTAAAAAAGGTAGAAATCTTTCAATTTTGTAGGTGTTACAACTCCAATGCCAGGTCCAACAGGTAAGCCTTCATTCAGGTATTACAAGACACAATAAAGATTGTTTCTCTAGTTTTTCATTTATATGGATTTGCTTTCAAACCTTTTCCACTAATAAAATGTTTTATTTACAAATACATTGTACTTGCATGACCTTCCTTTAGACCTTAAAAAAAACAGGTGTTGCCCTTTAGGTGCCAAAACATGGGTGGCCGGTCGGAAATCTTTTTTTTTTTTTATAAAGCCGACCGTAGATTTCAAGTTTTTGGGGTCGGTTGCATAGGGCAATACAACATCCATTTTGTTTAGGCCTTATTCCCTAATCCATTCTTTTTTTAATTAAATCAGATTTTAAATCAAATTGTATTGTTCTTATCAGAGGATAAGTCTTCAGTCAGGTATTACAAGACCGATTAAAGCTTAAATTGACTCTCTAGTTTGTATGCATGCTGCATGCATGTGTTTCAAACATACTATTCCAATAACACAAACAATAATTTGCTTTCCTTTAACATAAAAAACATATACTTTAAATTTTAAAATCAGCTTTTTTCTTTCTTTCTTTCTTTCTTACAAATTACATTGATTAACTAGCATGCAATATAACCAACAGCCAATATTTTACTTTTGATGATTCCCAAAGATAGATTGATAATATACATAAGGAATTGAAAGTCTTGAAGGAAAAAAAGGAAAAAAAAAGTTTTTTTCATTTTTTCGGCCCCAAAAATTGGGATGTGTCTTATACAGTATCTTGCAGAGTCAATTACCGTAACTGATTTAGATTTTGGGGTCACACGGTCAAAGGGTCATACGTGTATATATATATGAAAAATAGCTTGTAATCACCGTTCTGAGAACCTGTTAATTAATGGACTACAATCAAACTCTAATTTTTTTGAATTGCTATTGTTTTGGTTTGTAAAATTGCTCTAGCTCACTTGTAACTCACTTGATCCAGGATTATTCAGTCTTTAGACGGTTGTTCCTATCCATGGTTTTCTTTGGTTAGGGTTGTCATCATATTTATCTGGGGCATCTTTCCACCATTCCTCAAGTCCAGATTTGAAGCGATTGATAGTGGTACTCTCCACAACTGCTAGCTGAAAGACCATTCCACACATTGATTATTCTCTGGCTGAATGAGTTTTTTCTTAGTGTCTTCCGGCATTTTAGCTTGTTATTATCATTATATATTCGACCATTCATAAAAAAATAAAAAAAAGCACAAATACACTACAGCATGGCAAGAGACAAGTACATAATTAGAACGAGCGAACATATGCAAAGAGATGTTGCCCGGAGACATATGCCCCCACACATGCTACTCTCAGTACATAATTAAAAATTCTATAAATAGAATATGGCACATGATAAAGAGGGGGGGGGGGGGGGGAAAGAAGAAAAAAGATTACTATAACAAATTAAGATGGATTAATTGAATATCAAAAACTTAATTTAAAAGTTGATTAAAAAGTAATATTAAAAAATGCTATGAGATATGCCCTCAACTCTGAATATTTAGTTTGAGTATAATCCTAAAACCATTATTACATGAGTTGCATAAAATGAGCACAGCCATTCAGGAAATTAAATATAATAGTATTACTTTTCAATTCAGAATATTCTCATTTTCTAAAAATGTAGACATCTTTCAATTTGTAGGTGTTACATCTCCAACTCCAATGCCTGGTCCAACAGGTAAGCCTTCATTCAGGTATTACAAGACACAATAAAGATTGTTTCTCTAGTTTTTCATTTATATGGATTTGCTTTCAAACCTTTTCCACTAATAAAATGTTTTATTTACAAATACATTGTACTTGCATGACCTTCCTTTAGACCTTAAAAAAAACAGGTGTTGCCCTTTAGGTGCCAAAACATGGGTTGGCCGGTCGGAAATCTTTTTTTTATTTTTTATAAAGCCGACCGTAGATTTCAAATTTTTGGGGTCGGTTGCATAGGGCAATACAACATCCATTTTGTTTAGGCCTTATTCCCTAATCCATTCTTTTTTTAATTAAATCAGATTTTAAATCAAATTGTATTGTTCTTATCAGAAGATAAGTCTTCAGTCAGGTATTACAAGACCGATTAAAGCTTAAATTGACTCTCTAGTTTGTATGCATGCTGCATGCATGTGTTTCAAATGTGTAGAGATATCTACATATGATCCTTGAGACAATGTGGTAATTTCATGGTTCTTTGTTTATTAACACTCAACTGAACTCCAATCATTTCCATACACCGGAATGTACAAAGTAGCAATAGTAGTAGTAGTTTAGTAGGTAAAACAAAGTTTTCCTTCCTTGAATCCGTGCCCACATCATATCATATCTGTAGTTTCCATGTGACAAGCCTAGCTAGCTACGTTTGTACAACAATTCCAGTCAATCTACGGTATCCTCAAAACAAAAACTAAATTTGACTTCTTATATCTTGATCCTTACATTCCTCCCCCAGTTGCAGCTAGAGGATGCAACGATTAACATCTATTTAACCAAAACTTAATTGTCCAGCACTGATGTAAATTAACAAAATACCAACTGTATTATCAAATGTTTATGACCATTTTCTACATATTGTCTCATAACCTAGGTAAAATTAAATTCAAACACTTTCTATTAATATAATACCTAACTGTTTCCAAAACAAATCATAATCACAATGAGATGTAACACTTATATCTCTATACTCTGCCAATTTCTACTATCTAAATGCACAGAATACACTAAATTCTGCAAAATCGAGCTTTATCCCTGGATTACTATAAACATTCCTGTATCAACTCAACAAAAGCATCCAATACAAAATAATCATGAATCAATGATACCTTTAAATCAAAATATTTTCAATGTTTACTCATAGCTGTCAAACTTTTGTCAAAATGTAATACCTATGGTAATTAAATTATCAAAAACACAATTTTCGTTATAATTGCCTTTCAAAAAATAACTCTGGAAATAGACCAGTAATATGAAATCCAAACACAAGAATTGTTCTTCCAAAACAAGAATAATTAGTGGCTGTATTTACTACCTTTAACATTTTTCCTTTTGTTTTTACTTAAACATAAAACAATTTCTGAACACCTTCAATTGAACTGAACTGATGTACATGTACATCAACATAAAGGAACATCGAAATAACGTAGATGCACATGTACTTTCAAACAATAGAGAAAAGGAAATATTTAGCATTGTGCATAATACCATCTTCATACATGTAATACTTATACTTCCGCTTGAACATTAACCTTGTTCTTTCTATTTGCATATATCAATCTGTCCGAAGTTTACCTGCATGACTGAAGTCACATTGTGGATTGACTACTAAGCACATGCAAATATCCTTGCCATTTGCACATAAAACTAAATAACATTCCTTACTTCACTTAAACATGTTAATCCTCAATTTAAATATAACACAATCTGAACTTCCTTATAATGCTCTACACTGCAGAGTGCATACACATATATTTAAATCTTTTCATTCATGTTAATGTTCTGAACATCTAATGAAATGAAATTTCTAACTTTCTATGTCAACAAATACACTGTTTTCAAAACACTTTCTCCCTTTAACCCTATTTGAGTTCTCTCTTTCTGGTATGTTTTATATTAACAAAATGTATCTGATTTTAACTCTGAGGCTAATTCAATCATTACCTTGAACAAATTTTTAACAAAATATTCTTTTAATTATTTGTGTACATGTATGTTCCATCATCCTCAATTTAAACATCCCAATTGTGATAACACAAAGAAATATTGAAACTCAACAAACTTACATATATACATGTACATGTATGAGTATAAAACATCAAATTTCAAAACGAACATTTCAGTCATGAATAGCATTTCACAGAGTTCAACTTAAACAGTTTGAAAGTTCAATAGTTCGTTCCAGTTCATGTTCATATCCTTTATCGTTCTTGCAAAGCATAAACAATATTCGGTGCTGACTTATCATAATTAAATGTCTTAAATTGACATCCTTTCATGGAAGCGTCCTCTCTTGAAATCGCGTAAAACTTTGCTCTCTTGCAATTCGCGTGTTGACAAAATCATCCTGTGTAAATTCGCGACTTGACATATGTTGATCCAATGCAAATTCGCGATAAAACATATATTAATCCAATACAAATTCGCGATTAAACATGATTTGATCCTGTATTGGCTCATTATCACAAATGATTACCAATTACTAGCCAAATGGCTATTAATATTTTACTTTTCACTTTAACACAAACACAAAATTTCACTGGCGCTCTGAATTCCACTTGTTCGCTTGATCCAAACACAAATTGCTTCATTTGCTTGATATCCTCCTCCAATAATGATTCAAAGCACATCCATTTAAAGGCACTTTCACATATTATACATGTAGATCCTTTCATAAATTTGAGACAAACTCCATTCAAATTTCCTGCTCCAGTAGAATACACAACTTGGTTACTGGCCTTACTAGCGATGTTGTTGCAGTTTTCACTTTCGCTCTGCGGACGAACCCCTTGTTGTCTGGCATAACCTCTTGCACTCGGGCCATGGACCAGGAACATCTGTGCGCTGTTTCGTCTATGACGAGTACAATGTCCCCCACCTGAAGGTTACGACTTGGCTGCAGCCACTTTTGTCGGCGTTGTAGAGAAGGCAGGTACTCTCGCACCCACCTCTTCCAGAATAGGTCTGCCAAGTACTGCATCTGTTTCCACCGCTTCTTTGCGTAGATGTCCTTGTCGTCGAAGATCCCTGGAGGTAGCGTCGTTGAACCCTTCATAGTCAGCAAGCTGTTTGGTGAGATTACATCCAGATCATTTGGGTTGTCTGAACATCGGGTAAGAGGCCTACTATTTATGATGGCCTCCACTTCACACATGAATGTATGGAGCTGCTCCTCATTCTGGTAGGACTTTAGATACTGCTCTCTCATGACTGCACACAGTATCTTTCTGACTGTTCTAATTTGGCGTTCCCATACTCCCCCCTGATGGGAAGCAGCAGGAGGATTGAAATGCCATTTC